TAACTTCAAATCAATTGAAAGTAACTTCAAATCAATTGAAAGTAACTTGAAATCAATTCAAAATCAATTCAAATCAATTGAAAGTAAATTGAAATCAATTCAAAATAAATTTAAATCAATTCAAAATAAATTGAAATCAATTGAAAGTAAATTCAAATCAATTGAAAGTAAATTGAAATCAATTCAAAATCAATTCAAATCAATTGAAAGTAAATTGAAATCATATTCAAAATAAGTTCAAATCAATTCAAAATAAATTGAAATCAATTGAAAGTAAATTCAAAACAATTGAAAGTAAATTGAAATCAATTGAAAATAAATTCAAATCAATTGAAAGTAAATTGAAATCAATTTGAAAATAAATTCAAATCAATTGAAAGTAAATTGAAATCAATTCAAAATAAATTCAAATCAATTGAAAGTAAATTGAAATCAATTTGAATCTATCAATTTTTTTTGATTTTACACTATTCTGTACCCGGTACCTTGTTTTTCCACACTATTCTGTAACCCAAATTTGTTTAGGGGGGGGGGGGCCTCCCCACACTAATCAGTAACCTACATTAATCAAAATTCCGCGTTGAAAACATATAATCACAACACGCACACGCACAAAAGCGACAAAAGGGAAAAGAACAACCAAATCATGCGATGTCTGCGTCTGGCGGCGTCTCTCCAACCGAACTGCGTGTGCATACTTCAGTGCGAAATGGGGCCACTACAAAATGTAGAGGCTCCCTTCATGGGACATGATGTTTTCTCTAGACTCTACACAAGTGTCTGGCTGTGAAACTTCTCTTCCCCATCGCATTTCTATCTTCATCCATGGAACATGAAAAATATTTTGACGCGCGCCGCCTCATCTATCAACCAGAACGGCGCTTGTGTGTTTCGCAAGGGGGTGGTTCGGGGTGGAAACCACCTTGCTGCTGGTTCTTCCGTCCGGAACTCGCGCTGCCGCTCGCAAAAAACAACGACAAAACGTTTGGCATGGGACCTTTCAACAACAATGTTTGGCATACTTTTGGCAGTGCCCCCACCAATGTGTCAAAACAATCCGGAAACCACATGGGCCACACTCGATTTGTCAGCGGTATAAGTAGCACGTCCCACTGGATGCTGAACGTGTTGCATTTTGAATTCTAGAACGTTGTTCAAAACAACGCACATGTGCATCGTACCGCATGAAATTCATTGAAATTCGACGGCGCAATGCTCCTTCGGAAATCTACGGAACACTGCGGCCGCAAAGATCGTATCCTCAACTCCCACTGGAAGGATATATAAACACCTAACGATACCTAACGTCCCGCGCAATTCACTTGTCTGGACGGACATTGGTCACCCATGCGTCAAATTTGCAATGTTGCCTAGCGCAAGTATATATATATATATATATGTGGAAACATGATATTTTTATGAGCATTCGATCGCCAACACAGCACGACAGTTGCGCGGAAACATCCGACGTGGCGAAGCAAACCAACATAAACCAACCATTCGATGTGCTGCGTCACAAACAAAGTCGTTGGTCCAATGATGGCATATAAACATGCGCGGTTCTTGTTGCAGGGCTTGCGCATTTCAAAGCAGGGGATTTACTCTCAAGTTCGGTAACGTGGACGTACAAAATTGAGAAAATGTACGCGCGTACTATGTTGGTCGGTCCTGTTACTTTGGTCAGTTTTGGTGGTTTGAGCATCCACGTTGGCTCAACTTTGGCTTCGGGCACCAAGAAACACCATTTGCAGCGTGTTAGTGTGACACATGTCACAGTTCCACTAACATGGACACTCAAACAGGTTTTGAACAGTATTCAGCTACTAGTAACATGGACATTCATAGTAAGATTTTTGGCTTCTTGCAGCGTCCATGTTAGTGGAGATTCATCGATTTTGAACTTTCGACGTCCAGCTCCTATCTTGAAAGATATCTGGGGCACTCATGCGTGTGTCCATGCTAGTGCGTGCGCAGTGAATTTTGTCCTCATGGGTAAATTGGCAAGCCCGATGCTGACGTGGACGTTATAGCCAACAAATCTACGAAAATACCAATGTTTTGTTGTGGAAGACGCTGGTGCACTTTCCATTTTCACAGTCCTCTTTTGTGCACAGGGGAGTACAAGCATGAGGGGGTGACCGTGTCCACAAGACTGCTAGACACCAGACGGCACATGCACAAGGACTATTCCACAATGTTGCCCGTTGTGCTTGTCAGGGGCGTCCATGATAGTAGACTTGTCCATGGGTCGGTCATGCAACTTCCCCATGCACATTTCCGAAGCAAGAGGCTGCCAGTTTTGCCTAATTTCCCTTTATAGAAATGGTTAGAACATGTTAGAACAGCTTCAATAAGTCACAGCCTCAGGTCGGACCCAGTCTCAGACCTCCAAAGCTTTCATTTTGGTGAGCTGCGGTTGTGTTAGCAACAACCATGATTCCATCCCTTGCCAGTCCTGCGAAAAAAAGGTGTACGACATGTTTCTGGAACCGGTATTTTCTGATGGCAGTCATATCTTGCAATGTTTTGCTAACAAGGACTCTTCCAGGATTTGGGTGTACAGGCTATCTCTCCCTTGGAGCATTCCCCGGGAACTTACAAAAATATAAACATTGTGCAGCGTCCATGTTGGTGGACACTTGTTAGCTACATTTGGGAGGGCAGCGTCCTTGTTAGCTAAATTTTGATGGTTTTTACCAGATGCACGTCCATGTTAGTCGAACGTTTTTTTGGCCTCCACGTCCATGTTAGTGAAGGGGAGAGTAATTTCCACGGCCGCGGTTTCGCACGCGTTTTTTATGCAGCGCTTGCCATCGCTGTCCTTCGAAACACACATCAGCCGGTGGGAAAAAATATCTTTTGCCCTCCTCCAAGCAATTTCGAAAATCCGTCTGTAGGAACCGGTGGCGCATTGTTGTCGTGCTCATTTAGCAACCAGCAGCTTGATAATATATAAACATATGTGTTCTTAAAAAAACGAACAAAACTAGCAAGGGGGAAACTTTGGTGATCATCATCATCATCATCATCACCACCACTACCACCGCCACCACCATCATCAGGTCAGGCCATCATTTAAACCGTCTTTTCGGCTAGTTTTAAAGCTACATCATAGCCTGTCAGGATATATCCATATATCAGGTTATTGCTCAATCCTCGAGGGACTGCAGAACTGAAGCTATTTAAGGCGTATCAGGTTATTTCAAAGTTATTTCCATACATCGAAAACATATGAAAATCAAAAAACATAATTATCAGGACATGATTTTGGTAGACCTGCCCAGGTGGACGCTTCCCGGACGCGGGACCCGGGACATGACCACGACATTCATTCACATGATTCAGTCGGAAGTGATATATGTTTACATCACTGGACTAGATCCAAAAACCCTCAAAATCATAATAAAAAGTCTCATCTGGCATCTATTCCCACATTCTATCTGGCATTCTAACTGGCATCGTTTCTGTTATTTTCTTTGTCATTCTATCAATCTGGCATCTACTTTGTAATTCTATCTGGCACTATATCTGGCATGTGTTTGGGTCCATGCATGCCCAGAGCTGGTGGAAGGAGGAGGGAGGAAGAAGAAGAGGAGCAAATGCACGACCTTTGTTAAAATCTAGACCCTCACTTGGCAGGTGGGGAAAAAGGTAAGACAGGAGTACATTGTATTCTGATTTGTATGTGCTTTTGGCATGCAAAACACACAATACTCTGGCTGGATCCAATGGGTGAACCGGTACCGACAAACCGACATAAACCGAACCGAACCGAAACCACACTGGTTATAGCGGCTTGGAAGAAAACAATAAAACAACATGTCAGCTTTAGAAGTAGCCTTGCGTAGCAACAAATAGAGTTCAGCAACATCCGCCACGTCGCACGCATTAAACTTGCAATCACATATCAAACCTCAAGAAAGAACATGACACAAAAGACATATGTGAACAGGCATATGTCAACAGGCAAATTCGACAGGATATCAGATTCGTTGCGCTTCTTGCCGGGCACGCTGTGTCTGCATTTTTTTTCGCAACATGATCCAAGACCGCCTGCAAATTCCTGCAGTATAACTAAAGGTAGGTATCCAAAGGTTGTAATGTTGGTAAAAAATGTATAGAAATAATATTAAGTTCTAATAAATTATTTTTATACGTAGTATATGCCACCCATTTATGGTAAAATTGAGGGGTAGTTAGTTTATCATATACCAAAACTATAAGGTTCAACCTTGTACGCCAACAATCGCAGCGTCGTCCCTCGGCGATTCAGATTTCGGGCAGCCCAAATTTCGTGGTGTGTTCTGTTTGTTGCTTTTTCATTGAACAGTTTCATGCCAACATACAGTAATATAATATAATATAATGTAATATAATGTAATATCATGTAATATCATGTAATATCATGTAATATAATGTAATATAATGTAATATAATGTAATATAATGTAATATAATGTAATATAATGTAATATACTGTAATATAAAGTAATATAATGTAATATAATGTAATATAATGTAATATAATGTAATATAATGTAATATAATGTAATATAATGTAATATAATGTAAAATAATGTAATATAATGTAATATAATGTAATATAATGTAATATAATGTAATATAATGTAATATAATATAATGTAATATAATGTAATATCATTTATCATGTAACAACATCTATGCTACGTACATAAAATATGACCATCGGATTGCGTATGCCAAGTGTGACCACCCTCATGGTTTCACGTTTCGCCCATTTGAATTGTTGGAACGCTTCGAGGTTGCAAATGCGCTCATCGCAAAAAAAGGCTTCCGAACATGAATAAATGCCGGTTTCCATAGGCCAATTCTATTGAATTGATGGAAGATTTTCCAGCAAAGCTTGATGAGTGGCGGGTACAGTTTCGACGTGGCCTGTGAACTTTGTTGTGTTTTCGCCTTGGTTACGTCGCCTTACGTCCGCGTGGTCGATACATCGCCGCTGCAGACCCGGTCCCTTTTTCGGCAGGACGGCTAGCTCAGCTCCTTGAGGCCTCGCTCACAAATGTTGAACCTCGACAGCGGGTGCATCGCTGAACCCAAGAGAGATGATTTAGTGACTTCTCCACTGATTCTAACCATTTCTAACCCATGCTTTTTTTTCTGCAATTGAAACCGATTACAGAAGTCCTTGAATTACTAAAAATCGAGTTCTGACTCTCTGGTTCTCCCTTTAAGGATCATAAATCAATCAAATGTTGTAAGTAACTTTTTCAGTCAGAATGTTGATCACAGCCAGAGGTAGGCTAGTATTAGTAGGCTCTCAAGAATCACAGGCCTACAGGAAAACAAAGCCAACTCAATCTTACTTGAGCTGAATGACAACATTTAAAAACTAAGCATCAGTTAATTACTATATGATATTGGTCAATGGAACCATGTTGCAATATGTTGAAATCCTTCGCACCCTGTGTCTGACATGTGTGTGTGGTTCCTTCGCGGATGTATTAAACAAAAACATTTCAAAGAATTTTCATGAGACATTTTCCCAACAGATGTTCAGGACCCCAGCGCCAACCACGTGGGTCCTACCACACCAACGAACCAGCACCGAGTCAGCCCACGGAATGGTCAGAGTTGCACAGCAGGGGCTCTTCTCCACCTGAAATCAGGGAGTGCAGGAGGTTCATCTTCGATTTTCAGTTAAACTCAACTTACAAAAGATGTTGTTTTTTAATACAAACAACACTACAGAGATAGTAACGTGACAGTCATGTGGCTAAAATCATGCCATTTGCACCATCCCTCAGTCATCACCATTTTTATAGGTGGTATGGTTACCATTCCCAGCTAATTGGTGGTTTAAACCCCCCTGACAGATATTAGTCAGATTGGATCATCATCCCCAATCTGGTTGGGGAAAATAAAATTCATGTTCCAAACCACCAACCGGCCAGTTATGGGTGGTAAACGTGGCATTGTTTTACTCACCTTATACCAAGCCAACACCGGAGCGCCCTGGAGGCCCCTGGAGGCCCCGGCCAGCAAGTAGCGGCGTCCGAAGGGATCCGCTTGTTCCTTACTTCCAGGACCTGTAGGGCCTGGCGTTGATCTGCGATGCTGGTGGAACATGGTTGAACATTCAAACAGACATGTTGTTTGAAACATTTGGAAAGCACCAATCTGATATGTTTCTTGATTTTGAAGCAACTTTATGATGATGGATATGGTGGTTGGAATCACTTTCAAGCCAAACACTTGTGATTTTGTCCATTTTGGACTTAGCATTGGCTGCTGTTCAAGCAGCACCACCCCAGTTGAAGCACATATCGTGGTATGAAACCCACTAAATCATAGATCTTTGGATAGTTATTTTTCATGAAACCCACTAAATATATATATATATATATATGAACATTTGGATATTTTTCCATATCTTCATAGATAATTATCTCTCTTAATGATAGCCTTACAAAAAGAGCTCGAGATTTGTGGCGCGTTTTTATCATCCGTGCCTGGAGGAACGTGGCTAAGGACAAGGCGCCAATTCACGGCATGATGCCAGACCTTTCCGACAATGGCTGGACTAAAACGCACTTTTGCAACTACAATTACCTTCCGGTAATCAAACGTGGCAATGGAAAATCCACCATTTATACTCAAGATGACCTTCCCACCAACACCTCCATTGAAAGTGGATTTCCCATTGCCACGTTTGATTACCGGAGAGTAAGTCTGAACATCTCATTCTCCGATTCAGCTATTTTCAACAGGAGAATTGACATCTCAGCTATCGGCGCTGGTCAATTGGGATCATCCCAGCTCAAAGCTTTGGGAAATAGAAAATCACAAACTGGATATATCGAACATGGATGAAACCACCAAGTTAAGTGACTCATCCAGACTCAGACACAAAAAAATGGAACATTGATCAAATTCCAGAAACGGTTCATGATGAATAATCCATAATTACCCAACTACATGAAGCTGTTAAGACTGGTGGTTAAGTCACCCCTTAAGCATCTGCTTGGAAAATTGGGGATCATCATCCCACTTAAGTATGGTTGAAAATCGAAACTGACACCAAACATTAGCCTAAGACTTGTTGTATATATGCACATTCTATCCCCATTGATTATCCCGATTATACATGATTATACCTCATGATATCCTCATCATATCCCCACTGTATCATTGTATCCCTATAGTTTAAATGGATATACAGTTACACATGTCCATGTATTTTTCATATGTTTTAATCACCAAACAGATCTAAAATCGGAACCAAATCATCAATGAAGGGTCGTCCAATTCCCCCGACGGGAACTTGTCATCGATTCCCGTCACCGGTGCCGTGACCAGCCTGGCCCAAGCTCACTCGCGTCGAGGCGGCCGAACCCCCGCTGGGGTCGCCCATGACCTGATTCGTGACCACCTCAGATTTCGGGGTGTCTGGACACAGAAAGGAACATCACCAAACAAAAGCATCCATTGCATTGGAAATCATTGGGAAAACAGCATTGAAAAATCATTGAAATCATGGAATTGGGAATTCATTGGAAGATATTGGAAGATATTGGAAGATATTGGAAGTAATACCTTAAAATTCTATGGAACAATATGGAACATATATATGGAATTATGATTCAATCGACTTGATTGAAGGGAACATCTGCAGGAAAGCTAGCTGTTAACCCCAAAATATCAGATTTCTCCTGTACATTGTAGATATTCCCTTCAATAGATTTCAATAGCCCATTATGGGAACTATGGAAACCGACAACAAAATAAAACTTAGATGGCCTTACAGTCTAGACTTCGCCAGATTCCACTCCAATTTCTGATCAATTGAGGTTTATCCAAAAATCAAATCATCATCCCAAAATGAAGTGGTCTAGATTGGTTTCCCCCGCACTTTGGACATTGGACAACCATTCGTTTGGATTCCAGGTGTTTCCAAGTCACACAGAAAGTGAGGACCATAAATCTCAACGTATCCAATGATGACCGGTAAGTCGACATGGAGATGTCACGCTGATGAGTGACAACTGGCACAGGATACATCACCAGGTTTGTTGAATAATAACAACCCCATCAATTACAGTACCTCTCGGGCTGCTGCCTGGTGCGGGGGAACCAGTTTGGCACCAAATGTATGCAACTTCGCAGTTTTTTAACGTTTGCAAAACAACTCAACCAGTGCCAGGGTCTGTGCCTTTGGAATTCTTTATATATAGTAATTCCCAGAAAAGGATGGGACGGTATTTCCAGGATAGCTTGTTGCTGATGTATTTTTAGGTCTTTTTCATATTTCCAGCTGTCCAGTCCTTTTCTATCTTTCACTTTAGGCATTGCTATATGGCAGTGTGTCAAAACCTTGGACCCCTGGTGAACATCAAAATAGCTGGTAAATGGATGTTCATCCCCCTAAAAATGGTATTAATAGGTATTGATCCATACTCTATAGATGGAACCCCATCAACGCCGAACTCTTGGCTCCAACCGCCATCTGCGAAAACCCTCCAGGTTTCCCTACGACGCTGGGTACATTGGATGCGGCCTGCCACGTTTTGCGACGCCATACGATGCAATGGAGATGGAGACCCTGCTGTGATTACTGAGAATAGATACTCTCTGGTAATCAAACATGGCTGGGAAATCCCTTACCCATAGGATCCATATATGCTATATATGGTAACATTTACCATCAATATACCCCCAATGTTAGCATATATACTATACATGGATCCTATGGGTTATAACTAAAGATTTAATTACTGTGAATGGGAAAATCAATGAGGGGAAAATTCCAGCCATGTTTGATTACTGGATGATAATTATACAAAAGTTGGACACCTGGAAATGAGGCAAACATCATTTGCAACATCCCCGGAAGCCACACCTCCGCAGAAATGCTGGGGGCCACGAGCACCTCATGTTGTTTTAAAGCATCTCCAGTGACATTAGTAAGGCTTAAAAATGTCATGCCCCGGGAGTTCTGCCATAAATTCCCGGTTTCTGGCAGAAAGGTATGTTTTAAAACTATGGCAATTTTCATCAATTTTCTTCCCCAATGTGGTACAGACATTTGCACCAGGTTGCAGTCCCATTTTGTAACTGGTAGGGCGGTAGGGGCTCATCATCTGAGGAAGCCCACTTTCAGCAAGCTCGCCAGGCTGCTAAGGGCTGCCTGGGATTTGCCGAAATGAAGGGCGGTGTGTTTCAAAATGGGGTACAAGTACCAGTAGAAACCCCCAAGGTATTCAGCCATTTTGTTAGGGAAAATGATGTTTAAGTGCCATATTTTCAGACAAACCATTTTGGGGGGATGGCAATAATCGGGGGTGATCAAACAAGCATCTAGATGTTGGCCGCCTGGCTTTAGTTGACGGTTCAATTTCATGGATGTTCATCACCCAGCATTACTTCGGAATCTCCTTCAAACATGGCTACTGTCCTCAATGGTTTCAAACCTCTCCGGGTGTCACATCGTGTCGTTTCCGAAGAATTTCATAATGTTCATGGTCGAAACACACTCATCAAAAATCCAAGGAGTTTTAGTATGTTTCAGCATGTTTCAGCATGTTTCAGCATGTTTCAGTATGTTTCAGTATGTTTCAGTACGTTTCAGTATGTTTCAGTATGTCTCGCTGGAAACTCCCAAGCAGTCTTTAGGAAAAGACATCATGTGATTGGGATTTTCAACTGAAACACTTGACCAATACTTGATCACTTTGTAAATCCCAAGCAGTTTTTTTGCTGGTTGGTGGTTGAGCCAACCCCTCTGAAAAATATGAGTTCGTCAGTTGGGTTTATTATTCCATATACTATGGAAAATAAAAGCCATGTTCCAAACCACCGAGCAGATATGGTATAATTATAAGCATTATTACAATGGGACAATAATGGGATAATATCAACCCATATGGGAATAGTTATCCATACGAATATTAGTGATTAATGGTGATACTCATGTTAGTTATATACATGGGATAATCATGGGATAATCATGGGATAATCATGGGATAGTATGATCATAATTGCACATCCCAAGCAGTTTTTGTATTATCATACTATCCCAATTATTATCCTGCGTGGGATTTTCACTTTGATGGGATTTTCAATAATGGGATAATGGGATAATCATGTGATAATCATGGGATAATCATGGGATAGGATGATCATAATTGAAAATCCCAAGCAGTTTTTATATATATATATTCAATTATTATCATACTATATCCCATTATCCCATTATCATACTATCCCATGATTATCCCTCCTAATCATGTTCTTCAAAAAGTGATCCACGGCTTAGGAGGCCACCTGCCGCCGTGGAATGGAGGACTGTTCGCTTTCGCGGCGGGCCACGGCCGCCACGCTATCGATGACCTGGAGAAGTCGTGCATAGTCGTCGTGCTGTTCGACCGCGGTAAACGTTGATTTTTTCATAGGGTAACAAGGGGGATCCATCCCATAATATAGTGGTAACCTATTATAATAATATAGTGGTAACATACTAATATAGTATTACTAATATAGTATTACTAATATAGTAACTATATATAGTATTACTAATATAATAGCTATGTATAGTGGTAAATCACTGTTCCATCTTTTTGTTGCGAGGCACTATATTATATAGATCATAGGGACTAGGTTCCATCAAGTTAGATGAATGCACATTCCGCTCTGGGGATGAACATGGGTCACCCCCTTCTGTATGTGTAGTCATCCTGGAGACGTTAGAAAATGAACATTTCAATACATCCTCACTAAAATGGGAATCTCATTCAAAATTCATCTCATCTATCTACTTCTACTTCAGAATCATTTATATTATCTATTATTATCTATATATGTACTAATAGACTAATATGATACAGTATGATATAGTAACATAGAGGTTTCCGCAAATTGTGCCACCCTCAAATCATCCGAGCATTAGACCGCTTTAGTATTGAAACAACCATCGTGACTTGGGGATTCCCCCCATGACTCAAGAAAACTCCATATGGTATCTAATTAAATATATAGTACACATGTTGCATCACAGGTAATTTATATAACTCGTCTATTAGATCTATAATGATCTATGTAGTACCATCTTTTCAAGTTACTATAGCAATACATATACATACATATATATATTATATATATATATATACATACTCATATGATATAGGTATCATCCAACCAAGGAAAACCACCTCCCAACGCCGCTTCCACTGCGCCAACCCAGTCACTACCAGTGCTGGCAGGGCCGGTTGTTCCACCGCCGCCGCTTTCGACTGGGACAACTCGGAGACGATGCTGTGAAGTTCCTCCCAGAGGAGATGATCATCCAAAAGTATGAAGGGCTGATGGCATTTAGTAACTATTAGTATAACTATAAGTATTACCCTCTGGTTATTTAACATAGCCATGGAAAATCACCATTTTTAATAGGTAAACCCAGGTAAAACATCTATAAATGGGCCATTTTCCATGGCTATGTTAAATAACCAGAGGGTACTTATAGCTAATCATTCTACTATTAGTATCTATTAGTGGGTAAGTATTACTAATATAGTAACTACCCAAACGCTCCCGATACCTTTGGGACCCTCGTGGGGCAAGGGGCCCTGGGAGTCAACCTGGCGAGGGTCCGATGCATGCTGGGTGCACGGTTTTGGCCCAATTTCCCATGTTTTTTGCTGCAGCCTTTGGCTGCCTCATGCTGTGCGGAAACCCAGCAATCCCAAACATGATGGCGTTGTATTTAATGGGATAAAATAAAGAGCCTTGAGTATAATTTAGCATATACTGGTTACTTTCATACATATGTTTTCATATCTAGCGCAACATGCCTGGAACTAGTTCCCTCGGAGTTCCTCCTTGAGGGCTTCGATTTTCAAAGCCATTTTCACGGCCCACCTCTCCAGGGTCCGGATTGATACTGTACTTCGGTGGCACGACCTGGCCACTCGACCTATGTCTCCAATGAAGGATTCGGCGGACAACAACAAGCAGGTCTTAGGGTTCACCCTGTTCTGCAAAGTGTCCCAGCTCAAATGCCAAAGGTGATGCAGTTTTGGAAGTAGCAACCAGCAACGCCGCCCGGGCATGGTCCTTGCGGCCCCAGGCATCATCCCATGTCCGTGCAGCCAGATATAGGAATGTAGGTGTTTGATCACCCAACCGTGAAAATCAGCAGCTTGCCGTTCCGTCATCAGATGGTCAGCCTCGTCCATCACCATGATCATCTTTGAATAGGCATATAAACAGATGGCCATGATACGGTCAGCCTTCGTTGCGTCAGGCCTTTGCGCAAAGGTAGTTGCTCTGTTGGCGAGCCAGAAAGTCAGCACTTTGCTGGCCACTGCTTTGGACTGCAACGCAGGGAAACCTCAGCCACGCAGCTATGACAACCCCGGAAACAACAGCACTGGCTGGGACACTTCTAACAGCTGATGCAAAAAATATACCCGTTTGGGGGCGAAAACAATACAATATTCATAGACCGAAGGGCTAGTTTGAACCTTTCGATTCAACCTCGCAGGTGTAAAACGTGGCTGGCTGCAAGAGAGTTTGTGCATCTTCTTGAAGAGTAAAAAGTCCCTATGTGCCCGACGAAGTGCTGGAGCAAGGCGGTCAACATAGAGGCCAGGCAATCCCATCACCTGCCCAAAGTAGCCAGCCTCGCACATGTAGATCAGAGCCGCGCCTCAGCCACACAAAACAGAACACCACAAATAAGGCACTGCTTTCAGATGCAAATGTTACTTGTCACAACACAAGTTACCAAAGAAAACGTTGCAATGAAACCATGCAAGCTGGGGAACCATTTGTTGTTTTTCCCGTGCCGAGATATTGGCTGTGGGCAACATCGTGCATCACACGCTCCAAGCACATTCCTGGAAGCCCCAGAAGTGGAGAGAAAGCTTGCAGTTGTTCCGAAGAGTAGCTGCGTACTGTGTGTGCATCCGGGTCATTGCTCATGTTCGGAAGGGTCAGCTGTGTGTTTGGGTGATTTTTCACACACTCGCACCTCGAACAAAAGCTGTTGGCCCGATAATTATGCAAGCCTCCCATGCGGGAATTCAGCCATTTTAGGTCGCCTTGGCAAAAAGTGAATGCGATCAAATATCCTGAGCTGGTCCATGGCCAAGTCAGAGATGGATCAGTCAGGCGGCGCCACCGTTCAATCATCTCCTTTTCAAGATCTGCAAAAGTGAACTCGCTTTCGCAATGCTCTGACCATACAGCAATTGGGAAATATCTCAAGAGAGGATTGTTCTGAGTGGAGAATTCTGCTGTCCAGGCAGTCACGCTGACTACCCCGCATTCGCTGTTCTTGTAACACTGGATTTCGTCTCCATAGGTTCCCACACTTGCCACCTTTTGCTTCCACTCCCAGTTGTAAGCGGGGCTTGACTGAAACCACGGGCAATGCTTCTCAATGTGCTTCCAAAACTGAAGCGTCTCATCTTCAGTCATCTTCCCGAAGAGACAATATCGAAATACATCCTCACCAGCTTGCCAGAGGGCCTGGAGCAAAGTGTCCGGAAACAGCACTGGCAACGGCTGCCATTCAATTTCCAGCGTGGCAGGGTTGTACATGCGGACCATGATGATCTCCGGAGTTGCAGCAAGCGACATTGACACGTTTTGCAAGAGCCTATGCAAGTCTCGTTCGGCATTTTGAAGATGTCGCCCACCTGTGGCGACACCAGAGATTTTATTCACCAGATCGTTCTGCGGCGTGTCACCACCATGCCGTCTCAGCCAGCTCAATGCTGAAGAAGCCGTCCTCTGCACCTGGGTTGCTTGCAAAAATTCCAGGCATGTTGTGTTATATATATATATATATTGATATTGAATAAAGTATCTAATCTATAATCAATAGATAGATAGATATACAATATACAGATAGATATATAGATATAAAATATATAGTAAATAAAACATAGCCAAAATTATGTGTATACATACATTTATATTTAGAATTATTATTATAGCCCCTTCCCCCTACTAATCCCAAACTTCTTAGGGGCTACGATGCTGCACAAATTATAATTTCGTGTTTTGCGGCCATCCACGATTGAAATTTTAAGATGTATATGTGTTTTTTTGGGGTGACTAGAGCCACCACTAGCCTAAAGTTTTCTCACGGAGTGAGTGCCAAATATAAACCCAGTGCACCGAGGTAAAATAATAATGGTGAAATAAAAACCTAGAATTTGGCCCCGAGGGACACGGGACGCACTGGATGTCCCGGATGCAAACTCATCCACCAAAAGTTCACCCAAGTCAGTAGGGCGTAATGGTTGCTTCCGAGGCTCCAGATTTTCCTCAAGATGGGGAATAATGAAACCAGTGACAGTTAGATAGGGTGTTTAGCTACAAAACCCCAAAAGCTTAGCATCGTCATCAGCATCGTCATTGCCCTCTCCATCAACATCATCAACATCATCATCATCATCATCAAAGTCACCAATCATCATCATGATCATCATCATCTTCACCATCACCATCACCGCCATCATCATCACCATCACCAGCACCAGCACCATCATCATCATCATCACCATCATCATCATCACCATCATCATCATCATCATCACCATCATCATCATCATCATCATCACGGGGACGTGGTAACTCACACGCACTCCCAGGGCTACCACCCCCTGGGGACGTGGAGATACGCACGCACCCCCTTCATCATCACCATCATCGCCATCATCATCATCATCATCATCATCACCATCATCACCATCATTATCATCAATCATCAATCATCATCACCACCATCATCAGCATCATCATCACTATCATCTTTAACAACATCAACACCATCATCATCATAACCATCATCATCATCACCATCATCACCATCAGCATCATCATTACAATCGTCAGAATCACCATCAACATCACTATGGCATTCAGCAGCAACATCACCATCGCTACCATCATCCGCACGTATTGAACAATCATTCTCATCTTTTCAATGGGTCAAATGAAACATCCTTGAAATGGTTTTTGGATACCTAGACACCCTGTCACAACTGTGTTGTGGGAACCCACATAAGATTTAGAATTGGTATAATGGTTGTATGAAGGGCTGATCCAATAAACAGTTTTTTGTTATGCACGATATAGCAATAGGGGCCACCTGGAAGACTTACGGAACAAAAGACTGGCCACCGGGCATATGAACATAAAACATGTATATTTAAATGAGACATATATATATATATATACATACATACTAATTTTTCAATATATATATATATATATAGATATAGACCGATAAATATGTTTATCTATATATATATATATGTATAGAGGGTGGACCTTAGCATAAGTAACCCATTGTTTGCCCAATTAGCACCAAGCTACCACTGCCTTGGCCGCTGCGGGTGGCACATACGGATGCAACTCAACCCGAGGCCGCTTGGATGGCTGTGCTGAGTTGGACTGGCCTGTCTCCTGACAAGAAGGACAGCAACACCGGTTGGTTTCTTGCGGGGCATTGCCAGTTTGTTCCAAAAAACTTTTTGATTTGGAAACATCTAGATGATTCTCCAACCAACACCACTTCACAAACCACTCCTCATTGGATCTTTTGGGTTGTCGCTGCACAACTCTTTCTTGACGCAAGTGTCCTGGCCACGCGCAATTCAAAAAATCATCTATTGTGGAATGCGGGATCCGGGATGAGGGTTGGCACAGTAACTACAGGGACATTTGGGGATCTTCAGTATGCAGGATTTATCTCTCGAGATGTTTTTTTATACAATTCCTATTTAGTGGAACCCACAGTATAGTGTCGGGCCAAATGCACTTTGTTCAACCGGGTGGGCATCAGCTCTATCCCTTTTCAAGCTCTTCGAAAGTGGTGATTTGTCCCCGGCAGCACGTACGTAATCGCACGTCACATGTTCACACCATACAGAACATCGTGTGAGCTGTTGCCGCTGCACATGCAGGAAATTAAAAAAAATGCCAACCAAAATGATGTGTTTGTGTTATGGCAAGTGTTTGACATTGAGTGCAACAGCATCACTCTAAGATGTCCTTTTTTTGTAATTGCGGACATTGCGGTCCATACCTTTTTTGGTAGCAGGACCCATGGGAATGATCTAGATACCCCTTTGATCTGTCCCCATGTCTCAAAATTCAAGACACACCGGACGCAGCTGCTCAATCCATGTCAGGAGAATCATCGTCATCTCTCACCTTCACCGGTGCGGGCCCCAATTACGTGAAATGGATCTGACCCATGGCAGGCAAAGGGCTAGGTCATGTACATTTGGGCTGAGACTTTTGAATCCGTAACAACAACATTGGTTGCAACCCTTGAATTGGACCAAGATCTTGCCTTCTGGGACTTTCGTCCACCCTTCGGTTTGCAAAGAGATTCAGCCATAGATGCAAGTTCAACATAGTGCTGACGCACCCCCATGGCATCATTCAAGCATTGGGACAAACCCGGAAAATGTTCTGGTCGTGACTCCTGGCAGGGCGCTAGGGTGTGGTGCACGGTTAACGGATGGGACCCGACAGGATCACACCAAAATCCCCCAACCATGGACATTCTGAAAGACCTGTGATTCGTATGAAACTATGAAGAGGGATGACAGATGATGTGTCCTCGGTTGAAACATCGCAAATGCCTTTCAGCTGGAAATAGCACTTCTCCAGGTCAATGGCACACTGGATCAGGGAATTGCCTTACCCAGCAAGTTGACCACACCAATGCAACATTGAATGGTTTTGAACATATAGTATCCCGGAGAATCCATCTTTGAATTGGAAATTGACATGAATGCTTTGAATTTGGAAATCCATCTTTGAATTTGGAAATATATCATAATCAAATATATCATGAATGCTGAGCTACGAAGACCTTCCTGATGCTTCATGTTGACAATCTTGATGGGTAGAACCTTTGCATTTTGCAAATCCTTGAGTATCTGTGTGACCATCCAACCGGCTGCTCCCAGGGGATCGTCCTCCAGATCAGGCATGGTCCTGGGCCGGGCTATCGACGAACAGTATTCCCCGGCCAAACAAATTCTTTAAGGGGATGTTTGCAGCAACAAGGGATAAACTTCTGTGGGAGTTGTGGTGATTCCCGTAATGCCCATGTTTAAAAACCAAAATTTGGTTCATTCCCATGTGGGTTTAAGAAGCCCCATTCTGATTCATTCCCATGTTTACGAAAGGTCATTTTGATTTGGCAAACCCACCCTGATGAACCATCAACCCACAAAGACAACTTGATGGGTGTAAATATGGATGAAGACAAGTGTCTTCTTTGTCTTGGAACCAGTACGCGGTTGACCATTGTCCCCGCGACCTCGCCCTCTTCCCTTACCACGGCCCTTACCTTTGCCCCCATCGACACTTGGAGGTGGCGCAACCGGCGCAGCAGCTGCGCTTGCTTGGCGACACAAGTTGCCGCTTGGCTCGGCAAAAGCCTTCGTGTGATCCAATCCTTTCATCAGCTTCTGGGCAGCCTCCAAATGGAAGGGGATCAATTAGGGGAACCATTGAGTGGGCAAACATTGAAACAGATTTAAACCATCATTAATTGCTAAGACAATGTCTCACCGTACCTCACATCCATGGGTGAGCTCGGCTTTGCTTCCATACTTAGTCTCATCAGCCACTTCCTCCTCGTCCTTGCGTCCTAATTCTGTGACTACCTGGGGACCAATGGGTGGAAAGTCTGATGCATATGTCTAGGACAGCCATGCCTTCAATGATTTCAATCTTCCCTTTTCCAATATATTCTTTCCATATGGGACTTTATATAAGAATTATACCGAAGCTTTGCAGGTGTGTCGAATATTGGGTTGAAACTGTATCTAAGGGCTAGGCATAAAAAGTTTCCAGGTCGGGGTCATCAGGGTGACCTTGGACCATTCCCTCTTGTCTCTTCTTGGCGATCACACGATCAGCTGCATCATGGTCTCCACCATGCAGCGCAATGATTTGGGCACGAGTACGCCATCCTCAAAATGACAACAAGACCCCCATCATACAAGATCAACCTGCGTAGTGTTGATTGCAAAATTAAACGCCCCGGACCAGAAAACCCCATACGCCATGGCCGAGGCTGAGCAAGATTCGTCTCTTCTTGGTGTCGACGGTGCGATCTGTGTGGGTCTTGGAAGATTCAACATGCAGCCTTGGTGAACTTGGTTACAAAAAAAGGAACACCCACACACCAATATCAACACATTATTTGGAGACGAATTCTGACCATATGTATTTAAAGATAGCGGTCAAGTCTCAAACTCCAGTCCTTTCCAGCTTCCAGCCACTTCGCAAACAAAGCCGTCTTAGCGGCCTGCTGTGGTCAGTGAATGTGCTAACAGTTTTCAATGGTGTTCTTACATGCACAAAAGTATTGGATGTGTCACCTACGTATGTGCAGATGTGGTGAATGTAAGTGTAATATATATATATATATTATACATGTGTGCGTGTGTTTTATTTCTGCACATGTATGCACATCCAACATATATATATATACATCCACATGTATGTACATATATTTATATATACACATACACGTGCATACAATTATAAATACAAGAACATACATATCATTTATGTATGTAAATTATATATATATGTATAAAAACGACATGCATATCTGTCTAGCATCCAGTAGCTGGCCTTGTTATTCTTTTCCACGGCTTCGTTCCAAAGATTCACAAACTCCTTTGGGATGCTGTTTGCCTCTGGATCCTTCAGTCGCCTGCGCGCAGAAGTGTGGAACATACTTTTTTGATCTGCGTAGGGTGTGCAGTGCGCAATCATTTGTTTTTTGTTTTGCTGCTTTGGGCCTCTTGAAAACACCTTGCAAAGCTTGGCGCTCGTTGTAGTCCATGGGGTGGATGGCCTACGCAACCGTACATAGCACATGCACGCAACACAAACAGTGACGATACCCTACCTGTGAAGTGTCCGCCACATTTACGTTGACTGATGCCATAGGAGGTTGTGCAGGGGCTGGTTTGGCAGGCAGGGATGCTGTTGCTGGTGCTTTCGCGGCGGGAGCTTCTGGTGCCCAGGTGATGTGCCTCTCCAGATGCTTCTGGGGTGTGGCCACAGTGGCTGGGGTAAGCTTCTTTGACGCTGCTTTGAGATCTTCTCGCTCTACCCATAGACAGAAATCCAACAATTCATGGTACGGATCATTTGTCCCCCACTGAGACTCAACTTCGTCTATGGATTCAAACCCGAGGTCTTTCTGCAGGAACTTCATGTAGTCCTGGAACTGCGGTTGCGCCATGGCCTCACACAGTGAGTCGTCGAGCTCCTCCTCTGTGAGCTTGCTAAGTTTTTCTTCGGTGTAGTCACTGATTTCTTTCATCTTAGAATCGTGTTCGCTGGCATCAAGTGGGGCTGCTCTGCGCAGAATGGGCGGTGGCGGTGCTGTAGCTGGTGATGGGAGTGTTGATGGAAGGCTACTTTCTGGTGCAGTTGGCGGGTGTTTGGGTGGTGGAGGTGCTGGTGTGACATAGGGATTCATGGAATCTGCTGGCGATGTTGGTGACGCTGGCTTGGTGACCATTGTCTTTGCTGCAGTGCTATGCTTGGCAATCGCAGGCTTGATGCTAGAGGTTGTCTTGGCTGGGGGGCTGGTCAGTGCTGCGCCAACTGCTTTGGGCATAGGAAGTGGTGCTCCTGGTGCTTCATGTTTTGTTTGCATTACTTTGGCTGGGGGAGGCAGTGGGGGGCTCACAGGTTTGGGCACGCTTGCAGCGGCTTTGGGCGCTGGTTCATCCAATGGGGTGCTTGGATGCACAAGCGGTGTCAACTCAGGAACTCTACGGGTTGAAGGGTCGGGCGGCACCCACTCAGTCTTCCAAGACCCAACCTTGCACGTTGGACGGGGGGAAGCTCCTACAGGAAACAATTCCCTTTTCACTGCTCCATTTGTTTTGCTACCTGCAACTGGGCTAGGATGTGGGCACTTTGCCTTTTTGCTTGGACGGGGGGCAGGGCTTGGCGCTGGTTCTGGAGATGGGTTCCAAGGAAGTGTGTCTGCAGTGGACGCCCGTGAGAACTCAGCAGGAGAAATGGACCTTAACATGCACGTACACAAACACGCACGCGTGCAGACATGTGTCCGTTCAACACTGTACATAATGCATTTGCATTGCGCAAAATATGTGTTCATATTCTCAATTCGACCCCAGTCACTCCTGTTAGCTGCTGGGATTTGCACAAAAATATTGCGAATTAATTCAAACCAAAGTGGGGAAGACGGCAAAATAAAACTGAAGGTGCTTCATGTATAACTACCATGTTGTGGGTTGCTTGTTAACCTGAGCACTCCACTCATTCAAAGAAAGTTGGGATTCATGCTCCCGAGAAAGCCCCATGCCCCGAGGCCAATCCACTGGAGAAGGCTCTGACATCTCCTTTTGCAGGACTGGAGAGACAAAGTGGTGGTAAATTGAAAGGGTCTTGAAGGGGAATATAATATATATATATATTCATTGTGTATATAGGGCTGTTGTGTGTTTTTACGCACATATGGGGATACCATATTATTCTTATCATAGGTGGAAATGAAACGAAAGATTCCTGTCCTTGCTGTCTGATCTAGCAGGGCCGGCCGCAGACGGAGGTGTTGGCGACAAAATGTCACTCTTTGAAGGGGTCCCCATTGGCAGTTCCTGTGCAGAAGTGACAGGGGAATACCCTAAACCAAGTACCAATGGGCGACGTAGTGGATTACTTGCCTTTGTGGATACCAACATGTATGAACCATTAACAACCACACCTTGGGTACTGCTCCATTCCAACGATCAAAAAAGTGTCGTACTTCACCAGCAGAAGGTCTGTGAAACGGAGGGAGCTTGGGGTCTTCCGGCTTCTTTGCAGCCTTTGTTACTAAATGGATCTAAATGGTGTCTCATGAAGGTACAAATGTATTCACATCACAGCATGCCAACTTAAGCGCAGGTGATTCACTTTCTGCAGACAAGAGGCCATAGCACAAAGGCCAACCACCAGCCAAGTCCCGGTGATCTTTTCCCCAGATTGCTGCAGGATGAAGAGAGGAACAAAATGAAAACAACATTTCCCGATGCAGGAATGTACAACCATGATTTCCCGATGCCTTAAAAACATTTCCCGATGCAGCAATGTTCAACCATGATTTCCCGATGCCTTCCCGATGCCTTTTCGACGTCAGATCGTGTTGGATCCTCAAATTCCCTTTGTTTGAGGGTCCGACGTGAACCCTCCCGATGCCTTCCCGATGCCATCCGATGCCCAATTCTGACATAAACAGTTCCGCCCGATGCAATCCGATGACACCCGATGATGTCAGGGCCAGTCTCCCGATGGCAGGCCCAAAACAGATATAAACTATATATATATAAATTGTCGCACCATTATGTTTATTTTTGGCTGTTATTGATGGTTGAAACATTGCATTTTTTTTTCTGCACGTGGCACCATGTGAGCGCAGCTTTCACCAGGTGAATTTTCACAAGGACCCCCACACTAGAGTTTCATAAGCACACCAACGGACTTCTATATCCTCTATTGGTTTGCTCTCACGCAGCCGGAATGCGATACATACGTTAGCAGTGCCATGTGTGTGCGGGGGACCCTTGTGGATTCAAATTAGCATTGGACAAAAGGACTATGGTATCGCATAGCCTCAAAAGCCATGGAAATTGAATTTTAATGTACAGCTTCACCACTATAGCTGCATTTGATTTTTTGGACTCCATATCATATGGATTCCTTCCGCTTGGCCACCCGGTTGTTGAGCATGTCTAGGAGACATGCTTCCACTTCATCCAACCTGCGCGCGAAGGAAAGATGGAAGGCTTGGAAGTGGACGGACCATTGGTGGATATATCACTTTTATCTCAAAACCTATTTTCCGGTTGGCTCCACCTGCTAAAAAGGGCTAGCGCAAAGGAAAACTGCCAAAAAGGAACCCCACCCCCCGGAAGGGGGGGGGGATGGGGGGTTCCTTTTTGCAAGTTTTTGTTTTTTTTGGGGGAATGGCAAACCGGCATGTAGTTTGGTTTGTTTTTTGGGGGGCGACCTTTTCTCTGGTTTTAGGTAACTTGTTGTAAGCAAAAAAGGCCTCGTTTGAAACCCAGTCTGAATCCGAAGCCATTACGACAGGAAAAATACAACTTTTACACATCATGGATTTGTTTCTGGTCATTGAAGGCCATCCCATGTGAACCATGATACCGGCACCTTACCTTGCATCGTTCCAATCATCAGGGGTCCCATCAACTAATGGTTCGCCACCAGGAGGTGTAGCATAGCGGCTGAAGGTTGAACATACCTTGGTACAGCAGGTGGGTACCTCAGGGACTTGTTGTTCCAGTTGGATGTTCATCGATGTTCATATTAAATGCCACCCAAAAGACAACCAAAAAACATGTCCATAGTATGTGGCCTTAAAATACATTTCCAAACAGTGTCAGAAGGGTTGCCTCTTTTCCACCCTTAAACAAGGACACCACAAGAAGGGCATTAGTGGTTTATGCGACGCCCGCCATATTGTATTATACCCATGCAGTCTTTGAACCGATTCATTGCAGCTGAAGGACCGCCCTCCCAAACTCCGGGGGGTATACTTCAGTCTCACGTAACTTTCCCGGAACCCCCTGAAAGCATAGCTTCCCACTTGCCGACCGGTACTGTCGAGTGCTCCCACTCTTCCCGAACTTCTTCTTGTTGAGCTTCCTGGCTATGGATTAGTGATTTCTATTGATCTGACATTTGCACATCGTATAGTCCAAGCTCAGGGATGACAACTATGTTCTGTTTTTTAATATAATTGGAGAACAATAAAATGCATGCAGTCCTATAAAGACGTTGAACTTCCTTTGACGAACTCACCAGTTTAACAGGCTTCCAGGTCTTGGCACCATACATTCCAAGCCAGGTCATTTGTTCCGTGTGGCCGCGCTTCTTGAGGAACTTGCGAAGCCGTGGGTGGAAGTAGATCTGGCGGAATGGGTTCAACCATATATTCGTTCAAACAGTCCATTTCAATTTGTGATCCAATCCAGTCTCTGAATTTTATGGTTTTTTCTTGGCTCTTGCAACTATGGAAAACTGTGGTATGTAAGGCTGGGGCAAGAGATTGCAGAGGATTTTCAAGCATGAAATTTGCTCCACGGTGGAGGGCCACCATACATAACAAAGTCACCTTGCAGTGGGAAAGGAACAATTGAGCCACCCAGCTACTTTGGGGCAAAGTCCATGTACATCATATATGGGACTATCTCAAACTTTGTGGTGAGCGAGCATGATTCTTCCCATATAAACTATACACAAACATACATATATATTATATATATAGATATAGAATTGTATAGGAAACCTAGTTTATACCAATTATATATAGTTATATCATACATCCCCAACGACATCACCGCGACTGACTCAAAAAGCCCAAGTCTCACGACTCACCATTAGATTGGCTTCCCGCACAGAGCGGTACAACCTGCCATGTGGCTGGAAGGAGCACATGTAAGCATCAAGCAAACATGTAGTTTGATGTGGTACTTTGCCTGCTGTATTGGAAACCTGACCTTGAAAACTGTTTCCCAAACATGCAGCTTCCTACAGTGGGAAACGCCTAGTTTGTTCAACATGTAAACGGGGTCCCGGCCTGCATCCTAATGGTCTTTGTTTCGTTCGTTTGGACGTTCCACCTAGGAGAGGCCGACAAATCATGGTCTTGAGACCTAAATAGATCTCAACACTTCAACCATTTTTTTTACAACAAGAACGACCAACATGCTGACCACATGTCCCATCTCTATGCAGAGGTTTGTTACAGATACTCACTTGGATGGAGGAAAGGGATTTGACCATGCTACTTGTTTTGGTGCTCTGTGTGCCATCCCTGTTTTACATGTGTGCAGCTTAGAAACGGTTGACTATGCTCCAGCTCGAGCATTTAATCCCAGCAGAAAGCAGTCCTCCCAGCTTCAAATTCATCACTGCCCACAGCGAGCGCAGGAAACCAACGGGAGATAGCAGGTCCTCAGTCAGGTCTGTGAAAGCACCCGGGGGGATGATTGTGTGGAATCAAAAAACTATATATATATATATTATATATATATTATACATAATATATATATATATCATTAAGTAAATAAATAAAATAAATAAATAAATAAATATATATATATATATATATCATTACTTCCTATGAAAGGGGTGCACGCTTCAAAGGAAATCTTTGGTATACTTCAGGATTCTTTCAGATTTTTTTTTGTATTTTTCCTATCCGTTGGGACCCCAAAACAAAGCACACACACATATAGAATCTATATATATATACATGTTATATATATGCTTACTCAGTGGGTGTCCTTGCGGAAACAAATTAAACTTTTTCCTGGGTTGGGTTTGCGCGCGTTTCTGGGGTATAAAATAGAGCCCCCTCGGGGGCACGAACCCAATCAAAGAAAACAGTTTAAAATTTGCACACTTGCTGAGTCAGTATATATATATATATATTTAATATACATGAATATATATATATATATATATCCATTATGTTGAACCAAGAAGCGTCTCGGACATCAAGAATGATATCCATCGCAGTTGCCTTAAGGGATTTATACCGGTATGCCTTTGCAATTGCCCGGCGCCCCGCGAAAAGATCAACGTTGTCAAACTGATCACCCGGCGGTAGGAAGGCCTGGGACCGAGAGTAAAACTTATCAATCTGATCAATCTGGGGAAATGTCGGTATATACTATAGAAACCGTCATGCCACCTGTATTTTTTGAGCTAAGTCCATGGCCTCTGCCATCAAGTTCATCAATATCATAAGCCGAATTGGAACATATCCAGGATGGTGAGGTCCATCACGGGGAGGCTTAGGCAAAAAACAGGGCCACCACTCTTTCCAGAGCGGACACCATTCTTCCTTTTGAACCTCAGGAGATCTTAGGGCAGAAATTCTTATTCAGTGGTTGATCTCCGGGGCGGACCCAAGGGAAACAAGTTAGTTTAGAGTTTAGAGCTTAGGCATTGGCTGAGCAAGAGTATATCATAACAAGCGTCCAAAGGTGTTCAACATGTGTGGACCCAGTCTAAAACAACCCAAGGAACTGAAATTCATCAAGGCCTGTGTTCGGCCCCATCAGTCCTTAGATAGTTTGATATATATATATATGTTTAAATCCAGCCAGCGTGCAGGACAGTAAGAAAGCTACATTGCAGACTTTCCATCTTGAAAGGACAGCGGGCGCAGCCGAGGGTCAAATTGCCCAGAAACGGTGGCTAAGGGCGGGCTGAGGGTCAATGGCTATCACACTATATCACACTCAGTAAAAGACTGGCTAGCACTGATCACATCTTTTGTGGGTGGACTGCATCGGCAAAAGAAAACCAGCATGACAGTGATAGTGACATTATTTTTGTCCTCCCTTTGCATGTCTTAAATGGTCGGTGACACAGGATCCAACATTTTGCACCTGTGCACAAGTAAGATCAAACCCCAATTTGCCAATTTGCATCAATTTGCCAAATGAGCATCAAAGAGCTACAATTGGCAGCCGCACCCTCGTTCCAACATGTTGATGTTGGGAAGGAATCATAGGAGACGGGCACTCGCCAACACTTTGGATGTGTGGGTACAATGCCCCAACCAGGACCACGCAAAATAGTCAGATGATCAGATATCATGATATACATGAGAGAAATCTACAAAAATTATGCCACGGACTGCAAGCAAAAAATAACATCCTGGTTTGGGAATCAAAATGTCAAGCTCAAGCCGAATTTGTTTTGCAGACCCATTTTGGGTTATCAACGAGGATCAGGTTTGCCCTTAGAGACATTGTTCTTTTTATCCCTGGGCTCCCTGGGAATCCCTGACAAACTTGGTGAAATCTTGTGGTGCACACGGAGTAACCACGAGGCATGCTTTCCCTTATTCTTACACTCAGCGACTGTGCACTTGGTTGCCTGTGCCCGACGGTAGGCTGTGCTGTAGACAGCATTGTATGTGCAATGGGCTGGGGCTTCCACTGCGTCATCCGGAATGCTGAACTCTGGCTGTTCCTGATTGCTGCTGGGAACGACAGGTGCCTCAGTGGTGGAAGTGACAGGTGCCTCAGTGCCAGGTTGCTTTGCCCTGCGTGCTCTCTTGGATGTGCTTGGGCGTGGTGCGGCCTCTGACATGGAGGCCTCTGCCGGGGATGCAGCTGACGAGGCAGCTCGAGACTGGGATGCGCGGCGCACCCTCTTGTTTTTTTCTTTGCGGCCTCCCCCCACTCTTCCCTTTCTCACTCTCCTGGCTGCCCCCTTCCCTGGAGTTTTGGATACCTTCGACTTTGCAACCTTTGAAGCCTTGGTCTTTGTGGGACCCTTTTTGGACTCTTTCCCCTTTGCACGTCTCTTGGCAGCAGCCTTGGGTGACAACCTTTGAGGTTTCCTTCCCCTTTGCTGACCCTGTTCTTCGTACTTGGGGACTTCGTGGGTAAGATCTTCATTCATGAACTCAGGCTCAGGTGGTAGTGAATATTTGGGGTCCAGAGTGACCTTCCAGCACTTGAAATTTTTGTTCAAGGGGTTCTTGGCCCAAGCAGCTGAACTCCAAGATGCCCCTGTGAGGTCAACTTGCGGACTGCCAGTATCACTGGCCTAAGTTTCAAAAATGAAACCAAGCCCCATGCAGTTGAGATTTCTTTTATATGAGAATATATGAAAGTATATGCCATATACTGAGAAAGACACGCATGCGACTCGACGAGTTCGCTCATTCATAGGGGATGAAGGCAATGGCATAGATTTCTCCTTACATAACAAGACGACACATTAATGAAATCATTATGGGAAATTGAATGGAAACAAACGAGCGCACCACACACATTCCCGCCAGGACTCATGCTGCACCGAATCAGCTGCCAAAGGACCCGGCCCAGCACAGCACTCCTGTGTGACAGGGACGGGGGCTTATTCTATGATCCCGACACATGCGGCGGCTAAACCATTTTAAATTTTAAACATATGTCTGACTGCATGAGCCCAACAGGCATCAAGAAATACCCAACAGGCTCAACGAAATAGCTAGCACTAAGGGTGCATGTTGATTGCAGCATCAACCCCTAATTCAGCACAGTGACTGGAACCGAGGGATGATCAGCTTTCCCAACAGCTTCGTCACAGCTACGGTCCTCGGTGTTCATAAAAAAGGCAACCAAACACTTGCCATGGGGACATGCATAGGAACTTATCGTAAGTAAATGTTCGTTGGCTTCTGGTGATAGCCAATCATCCACCGAAGCTTGGAGTTTCCAGGGTGGAACCGTACCCCGTCAACGGTGGTTTCAATCAATTTTGAAACACACGGCATTTAGATTTGTAGCCAAACAGTAGGGTTATATGCGTGATCATGTGTCCATGATATGTATTCAAAGTTAAGGAAAACGCAGCCGAGACACATGAGGGCTGCCACCACTGGGCATCTCATCAAGGTCCTGAGTCCGTGCCACCCATATGGATCATTCTTTGGTGCTAAGTCAGTTCTTCATATACAACACATGGAGTTAATAGATGTATGAAAGCATGTGATAACTAAGCCAGTGGCTACACTTTAAACTTGTTTGGGAAGCAAACCCACTGAGTAAGTATGAAAGCATATGAAAAGTCATCACACGGTGCACACTACATGTTCTGCTGGCTTACGTGATCATATATGTTCATGAAATCTGCCTATACATGTTTATGTCCCAGAATCTGCATCAACGGAGTGCAAACTCTGACTGGCAGGAGCAAGATCCGAGAGAATCACTTCCAGATCCACTGCGTCATCCTCAAGCAGGCGGGAGACTGGTGTGTAGGGGGTGCGCCTAGCTTGAAAGTCGATTTTAGTAACCTTCCCCAAAAACCAAGTCCGGGCACCCAAAAAAAATGAGACATACCCGACATACCAATTTGTTGACCCTTTCTGGTTCTGCAACATTACTTCTATCACTCATGACTTTGATATTCTTCACCATTAAAATTTCGAACAAGGATCTGCATGTGCAGCACGGTCTCCGCAGTCAGATGAAGCGGTCATGTCCGGTTGCACCACGTTGGTCATGTCGGGTTCCACCACGTCCTGGGCTCATGAATTAGGAGCTGTAACTACATAGGTATGACGGTATGACAATTGAAACCATGGCACGTACAAGCAAGACTTGAGCTTAATCTTTTGTGAAGGCGGCCCAGGTTGCAACATGATCATGGCTTATCTAAATGCTTCACAGATTCAGTCATCAAACCTGGTTCGTGCTGGGTGGCTACCGCACTGGAAGGAACCATGTCAACATCATCATCCTGCAGAGTGTGAACAGTCTGAGACTTTCCCAGGGGGGGTGAATATGTCGTCGTGGTTTCAAAAGTCCGCTCAGTGCTCCGGAACTTCAGAACGGTGTAGCTTTTCAAAGATTCTTTTTTTATCCCTAGCCGAAAAAAAAACACAGAGCCACAAACGTCGGCCTCTGAGTCAACAATCTCTGTGCACTCAATTGCCATCTCTTCCTTGTTGCGGGGCAGCTGCGTGACAAGGTTGGCATGGCTCATTTGGATATACCTCTGGCTATACCATGCAACATATATTTATGTATATTTATTATATCGACCATATAGGCATGGCATAATATATAATTTTGAAGGGATTTTTGTTTTTTTTGAAGTTGGATCATCCCATTGCCAAGGAGCAAATTGTTGGGACAACATGGCACGTCCCATTCCCTTTTTGCGCGGCCAAGGTTCAAAGATGCCATCGGAAAGTGTTTGAGAGGCCGGAGCTTCACAACCAGTCGGAACAGGGATTGGGATCGATGAATCCTGAGGGTCAAGCAGCCAAGGGCCTAATAGGGACTGAAGGGTCGAACTGAAAAGCACCAGTTGTTGAAACAAACAGTTGTTGAAACATGAGTAAACAGCATAATTCTCTTGTAATAGACTAGGGTCATTGAGGAGATACTGTGGGAGCACATAGGGATTTCGCACTGCAGTGGGAATCGCACGCACGGCATGCGGCTGTGGTGGCTTTCGCACATCATTGGTCGACTCACGGATCTGAGCCTTCTCAAGCTTGTTCAAAGCAAGCTCAACATCACCCTCGCAGTACTCCAACAACTCAACTGCCCTTTTGTAGTCAAGACCACTAGCCATGACCAAACCAATGGCATTCTTCTTCGACTCAGTGTCAGCATCAAGTTGGGAGAAACCTTGAGGGACACGGGGGGGTGGCCCATACATCTTCTCCATGGACTCTGACCATCTAGCAGGGCCATTTGACCCAGAAGGCAACTCCTGGACAAAGGGTGGAACATGGTGGAACTTCATTGCGTGTGATGCCTGATAATTATGATAATTATTTGTACATAATGCTATATTTCTGAGTTCGTACGCGCGTGTGCCTTTATGTGTGCGCAAACGTGATGTTCATTGTCTAGACATGCCTGTCAGTCATGAAATGCCAAGTCTCCTCGCGTGCAGACTCGGCTGAAGCCGCGCTCATGCTCTCTGGAACTGGCGCGGTGCGGGTTCTATAAAAGAAATATATGTTCATTTTCCTTCATTCCCTTCATTCCAGCCACATGCCAAGTATATAAGTAGCTATAATATAAAAGAATCCGTTGTGCCCTCGCCTGAGCGAGTGGCTTTTCGGCAAGTCTCTCGGGCCCGCCGATCGTTTGGTCTACAAACAGCTTGCAGCTGCACTGCTTCGGGTGTCAATGTAGTTTTGATCAATGATTTTCGCCAATATCTTCGTGCATATGACAAGAGGGCTTGGACTACGTAGCCTTCCTTGATTGTGTGTTCCAACGTTCATGCAATAGATAACATGGATATCCACACCATACCACATAGCACGCTAAAAAAATAAAAGAAAACAATGCTAGGCTTTAAGTGGAAGTCTTTCGAGGCCCAATCCCTTTTGTCTTTCTTGTATCTGGATTTGGAAAGGTTACCCTCTGTCTCATCATCGATGCTCGCGAAAACAGCATGCAGGTTGCCAAGCGTGATCTCCCCTGAGATGTGATCTGCATGCAGAGGCTGGCGCCGGGAAATATATACATATTGTTTTACACGTGTGTAGACATACATTTACGAACCAACAAAGCCAAAGGCACATTCAGGTGAGATATCAAAAAGTGCGAGGATCAGGGGCATAAACCTCTGCATCTCGTAGAAGGACACATGCCAGGAGTTGACATCTTCAAATAAAGTGTTCTCTGGCTTGTTGGCCTCTAAGCACTTTGTGAATGATGCCATGGGCACATGTAGCTTCACAGCACCTCAAATCCGTGAGTCAAAATCACAATAATACTCATATATAGTTGGGGTTGGGAAAACTTGGCCATGCTGACTTGGCAACTTTTGAAAGACAAGTTGCATTTGATTGCATGTTCCAGCTCAGTGAGCGGGATGGCCATTGCGAAGCCAACCCATCTACACAATATACACTTGAGCCTGTCACAATCAGCCGTTAGTGGGGTTTCCAAACTATTTTATTTTAGGTGGTCGATGCTGTTTTCACCTTGGGAACCCATAGCCCATGCAGCTCATCTCCCCCACCAAGACCCTCTTGGCCACGCCCTGTCCTCCCGGGAAGGCGCAGCGGCGCATCCAGTGAGAGCGCAAGGTTCATGATGACCAACCCAGAAGCCATGCGCCAAAAGGTGATGCAGCGCTTGTGATGTTAAACAAAGGGGTAGTGTCAATGTGGATCATGCTTGGTATATCGGCTAAAAGGTATTTTCGAAGTTTTGCACCAATGAAAACTAAATTGATCACTAAACACTTTGGCAAAACCATGAAAAAGCAGGTAAAGATCGCTAGGACCAGTGAGCCAACATCTGTCATGGTTTTGGTGGATGCATCATCTCAATTCCTGATCCCCCAGCACCCCTGGACCCTGTTGGATCGTCGGCTCTTTCCCCTGAGGGTCCGGGACCCTCGTGGTGAGGGTCGAGGGTCAGAACCCTCACTCAGAGGGTCAGAACCCTCGTGCAGAGGGACCCATGAGTCTTAGGGTAGTACTAATATATAGTAACTAATATGGTTATACGGTGAGATACTGATGATCATCATGACCTCTTCTTTCATAAGAGCATATCATCACTATACCAAACACATTGGTGTATGAAAATATAGATATAGTGATAGAATATGATAAACATGATTAGATGACATATGGTTACAGAAGCTATATAATGATAATTACAATGATAATTACAATGATAATTACAATGATAATTACAATGATAATTACATAGAGACAGTATACATACCAGACATTAGTACTGTATCAGACATATGGAGGTTTGCTGAAATAGGGGTACCCCTCAATCATCCATTGTTTATAGGATTTTCTTTTATTAACCATCCATTTTAAGGTCTCCCCCTTTAAGGAAACCTGGTCCAACTGAGCCTGCAAAGAGCCACAGACCTGGCGGAGGCGAGCGCAATGGGTGGCTGTGGAAAATGGCGCATTTATGGATGTTACTTCGATTGAGATCATCTAAAATCGCAATTGTGCGCATCTATGTTAGTGTGTCCCAGGATATTTCCCACCATCCAATTCTGGAATTTAAACATTGCAACATTGATATCTGACAAATTACTGGCACTGTTTGAGTTGAAACTTTCGAACTCCCAAACGTTCCCAAAACCTCCACGTCCAGCCTTGTGGCGTACGCGTTGCAATGCTTGCATTGCCACCTACCGCATGGGCCGGCCCTGGGTATCACATCTACCCCCTGGTAATTTGTTACATAGCCATACATAGCCACTAAATAATATGGCCCATTTATAGCTGATTTACCCATGAAAAATGGTGATTTTCGATAGCTATGTAAACGTTTACCAGAGGGTAATATCAATTGAAATTGACCAAATGAGGTACCCAAATTGGGGTCTATCTGTAGTTTCCCAATGGTCTGGCAAACGTTCACATCCCATTTTTTCAGGGGAGACTCCCTTTTTTTATTGTTTAAACTTCCATTTTTTATGGTTGAATTGACAAATTGTTGTTGGTCAATTGGTGTAAACATGTTTAAACAACTTCCCAATGTTCGCTGCTTTACTTGACTTTACTTGATCGCAGGACATCATACAGTACCCTGCAGCAGGTCAATAAAGAGACGGAAACGAGTTATTTATTTATATATATATATACATCCCATGTGTAGCTAAATATGAAGTACTAAAGTACAACTTCATTTCTTCGTACATATCCCATTACAGTATATCCTAATTCTATCCCAAAAATTGCCATAAATTGGTTAACATCCAATAAAGATCCTCAACTTCCGAGTTTTGCACTTCCTAAATTTCACACGGAACCTCAAAACGTGGGATCCCAAAGATCATTTTAGATCATTTTAGTACTGCGCTGCATTTAGTGGAGTCAAATAAAAACTATCGCCATAAGTCAGAAAATGGCATTCTTTGGCATGCTAGTTTGATAGTTGACCGACTTGACTTGACTCCACTAAAGTACATTTCCATACATTTCCCATCATAATCCCATATCATCATGACCAACTTGTCATGGGGGTTCATCACCAAACAAAATACAGCCTTAGATGCCACAATGTGGGGCCCCCCAGTTATAAGTTGGTTTATAAACCCCCATAACTATAGTTATAAGTACCATAACCATAGTTATTGGAGTTATAAACCAACTTAGCTATCGACCAGCGGCCCCACATTGCAGTTTCGTTGTAAAATCATCTGGGAGAAGATGTACCCCAGATCCCCCCGATCACCTCCCCGGGTTGCAGGTGCTCAAGCCTCAGCACGGCGTTCGATCTTTTTGGGGTTACTATATAATGTGCATATATATATATATATATATTTATTATTATCATTATTATTATATCTCGTAATGATATAATATAATATAGTATAACGCAATAAAATAAAATAAAATATATAGTATAATACCATATAATATAGTATGCTATAATACAATGAATTATAACACAGTTTTAGATACTTTCCCAATTGTAGCAAAGGATTGTAGAGTTAAAGTAACCATCCAAGGTGTCCCGATAACGAGTTGACCAAAAAACTGTCGCAATTTAACAGGCAAAAATAGGATGTGAACAAGCACACATTGGAATTTGACCAGCAACACTTGAAGGATTTTCACCAAAAAACATCTTCCAACAAACGTTGGGATCATAACCAAAAAACAGTGGTGGAACCTGTTAATTTCCTCCATTCTTTCCTGCCTCGCAGGTAGTTCTCATCATTTTCCGCATGGGCCCCACGGCAGCCATGGAAATCTCATCGACTTGATACCATTCTCTTTACTTAACTTGGCCACTATTTGAAAAATATGTTTATATATATACATATATATATATGTATGTTTCCAATAGATTTTTAACTGGGCTTACATGGCTTGTTGTGTTTCATGTATTTTTCCCATTCCAAGACTTGATCGTTTCGAGCCATACAGTACTCGCTGGTCATCACCTGTGCTGTTCAGGGGATTTCCTCACCATGTTGACACTGGAGAGTAACCGGAGTTCAATCCTTTTTTACCGTTGAATCATTATATCACCATAATATCCTAATTAGATTAATTAGATCATCATTATATGGGTATGGATCAATACCTATTAATACCATTTTTAGGGGAATGAACATCCATAAATCCCAGCTATTTTGATGTGAACTACAGGGGTACTATTGGTTTTGACACACTGCCATATCATTATATATCCTATATAATTATAACCATTCTATCACCACTAATATCCCTACGAACTCCCCCATGTTTGGTGCCCAGAGAGTTGGTTCCCCAGATCTTCCGCCCAGCTGCATCTCCAAGAGCCTTTGCGCACTGAAGCTTCTCTCAGCGTCAAGCCAAAACACCTGCAGCATTTTTCGTAAAGGCCATGGTGTCAGGAATGCCCAGATGCTCCATGTATGGTATATTTGCCTACAAAACTGGGTGATTTTTAGGGCAAATGTTGGTAAGTCTTCCATACATGGAGCATATGAGATTTAAACCAGGGATAAATGGGATAGAATGGGATTCAAACGGTCAATTTTCAGGAATTTTCAAGATTTGGCTCAAGGACAAATTCATTCCGGAAATCTGTAACCAACGGACACGTGGGTTTACTGCTTTTAAGTTCTATCATGTTCTATCCCTGTTTACTTACAAATTGCTTTCTGAACATCAGGGAGAGTGCCGATTTTTCCAACTTCCAAAAAGTCAACTGGAAGGGATCACTGTCCCATTCGCAGAGAAAGGACCATCAAACATCTTCGGACACACTTGAACCCACCATCTGCATGGATTTGCCTATTTCCCATTCATCCCAAACTAATGTGACTACTTCTGCTTACATATCGCTGATTTTGTTGCTCCATTCCACTTCATGTTTATTATATTTTATTATGTTTATTCATCTTTCTTGGCACCTAGCCCGGCTAGCTGGAGGAAAAAAACGAAACATTTCCGACTCTAATTACATGATTCTCCCGGAAAAAGGAAGCAATATTTATATCATTCCTCCAGATTCATTACATACAAATCTGAGGATGATTCATTCCTCCAGATCTACGCCTTACAGATCTATGATCTATGGATGATTTTCCCAAAATCCATGGCAACCTCCATGGCCACTCACCTCCCCCCCCGAGGCTGCTGTCAAGGCGGCAGCGTGCAGGCAGAACCTCAGAACATCAGCATTTTTTGTCGACATGGCAATGGAAAACCATCCATTTTTAGATGATGTTTCTCAAATGTGAAGTTGAAATGTCCCATTAAAACCATTTAAAACCTCCATTAAAACCTCGATTTTCCTGTGTACCTCCATTTGGCTCGGGGATTTTCCAGCTTGCCATGGAAACGGGAAACTCTTAGTTGCTCCGATATAAATTCAAGATAACATAATATATATATAATATGAATACCATTGCATACCCATAGCTGCCATAGCTTCTTGGATCCTTAATGATCCTTAGCTCCCTCCCAGCGGATAGATAATCTCCGTTTGGGGGCTACGAAAAAAACGTGATGTATTCATGGCCAATAGGGATTTATATAGTGCCAATATTATATTGATAAAACAATTTTGATAGCATGGCATAGCGGATATAGATGGATATAGATCGTCGATAACACTCGTTGCCCATGCGAAGTCGAACATCCTGGTACAACGCCAAGGCCCTTTGGGCGCATCCCTTGGACGTCCACATAGCCAAGTCATGGTCTAATAGCCTGGCTATTCAATATCTCCATTGTTGCAGTGTGTTGCTCAACATCCCCCTCATTTTATGTGTGAAAAAAACAGTGTCAAATGTGGCTTGATGAAAGGGAACATCTGCAGGAGACCTTGCTTAATAAACCCACCGATTCCAAGATTGTCATAAGCCAATTCTATAGGGTCAGATTTATTAACCAACTCTAGGAATGCACATATGGGTGTGTGTGTGTGAAAATGGCGTATACCGTATACCCCAACAATTAGTCCTTTTTTTGATAGGAAAATGATCATTCGGTTATTTAACATAGCCATGGCAAATCACCATTTTTAAAAGGTAAATCATCTATAAATGGGCCATCTATACCATGGCTATGTTAGTCATAACCAGAGGGTATATCCCATTAATATCCCATTAAATCACCATAAAATCCCATTAAATCACTATAAAATCCCATAAAATCACCATTTTTAACCCATGGGTATATCTAATCTCATCTTATTTTGAAGTGCTCTCATCTCAAAAAACCCGGACTCCGCTGGGACGTCCCGTGCTGTGTCTTGCCCACTCCGGGCGCTCCAGCCACCTGACACGGTGCATCACGGAACGATCGACCATCCCGTGACGGTTCAATGGTTAACTCGTGGCTTTATGGGAGATACAACAAACGTATATCATTCATAAAAATAGGGGGCCTCACCACATGTGCCATGGTCAAAAGATGTTAAAAGATTGCATATGTTTTGTGGATGTGTTTTTTATCACCCATCTCATAATGGGAATCCAAACAGGGCATTTTTGAGACTTATAAATCCCTATTGATGACCATCCCCCAAATATACGTACGTATATTTTTAAATTATATACAATCCAGCTTGTAGCCACGGCACACATGATATTGGTTGGTACATAATTGGACCTCGTAGTCAACCAAATATAATTCAATTTTGATATTGATTAACTGGTTGATGATGTTGCCACATGTTGATAAAGTTTTGATTTTGTCACATCGCAGAGCATCATCAACCAATGCAATGTGGAAGGCAAAGCCCAATAGCTCATCATGGACAGTTTAAACAGAACTGGAACTGTGACAAATCAAACTTAAGACTTGAATTCCCCAAAACCCCACATTGCTCACAACATCACCTGAAAAACGATCAGTCCTTTTTAATCCTTTTTATTCCATCTCCCAGGTCAACTCCTTTTCATGTCTATCATTTCAAGTCATTTGATTCCTCCAAACGTTTCAGTACCCCAAAAACCAATGGGTTTCTTAATGTTTCCTATTGAGATGAATCTATTCATACATATATAAATATATACATATGCCAAATACATTGGATGATTTGAGGTTCAACAATTCATGACTCGCCAGCTCTGGTGAGCTATGCACGCGACGCAGACCTCCAACAAGGCCGGAGTGCCACCCAGTGCCGCTTGCAGCGAAGGCAATGGTGCCAATCTGGACCTCAAAATTCCACAGGCCAAAGGCTGAACAAAAACCTACCAGTTATATACTTATTATATGGTTTGTGTGCATGGTTATGAAAATATGGGGTGATCATTCCGTTTTTATGGGGTTATGAACTGACGTATCACCGGTATAAACCAGGCAATGTATGCGGGCATGATTTCAGGCCTGGGAAGGGCGGATCCAACCAAGATCACCATTTTGCTGCTACACGCTACCCTCTGGTAAACTAACATAACTATGGAAAATCACCATTTTTAATGGGAAAATCCACTATTAATGGCCATTTTCAATAGCTACGTTAAATTACCAGAGGGTACAACCCATCCCCAGTCATGGTAGGTTTATGGCAAACGGTATCCCGTAGCTGCCAACCTCGGAATTGCATGGCTTTGTGTCGCCAACTCCTCGGCCGGGAACCCCACGGCTTAGCCGATCTCGGAGACGAAAATTGGAGTCTCACCGAGGAAAATATGAAGTTTCCCAAAATGATAAACAAACTCCAGAAAATTCCATCAAATTCCCAGATGTGTTCTTCTACAGTAGTGCTGGTTTGCCCTTTCAGAAACCTTGACAAAAAATGTTTTACAGATCTTTACAGCATGCTACAGCTACAAACCAAACAAACGTTGCAGCAGAAGCAACCTGTACTTAACATGTACCCTCTGGTAAATTAACATAGCTATGGAAAATCACAATTTTGAATGGACAAATCCACTATAAATGGCCATTTTCAATAGCTATGTTAGTTTACCATGGTACTTCTTGAGTTCTGAGTTCAGGCAAAGTGGTAGGATCAAATTCCAACTGGATCATTTGTTTGTCTCACCGGTGCTTGCCGCAGGGTAGGGAAAGTGACCGGTGTAACCCATGAGACAAACGTTCGACTATTTAACTCACCAATTTTCCGTTAGTTAAATCCAGATTTCAATTGAAATCCACCAGTTCCACTGGTACGAGCCCTCCAAAACCCGGGCAAAAATCACCAATGTTTGAAGTTTGGTTCACTCATCGAATCTATATGATAAATCATGTCAAAATCCAAAAATCCACCATTTCCACTAGTTAAACTCACCATTTCCATTGGTTAAAACATGTTCAAAACCCCCAATGTCTCCCAGCAACCACAGTGGTTCTCATCTCAGTACCGCACCCAGGCGCTCACCGGCTTGACAGCGCAGGTAGACCAGGCTTTTCTCAGCAGCAAAATGGCCTCTTCCTGCCATATTTCTGGCGAACATCCGCCATTTTTCATGGTGAACTCCACCATTTTTCTTCAGCTTTGCCAAGAAAAAATCCGTTCATTCCCAATGTTCAGCGGATGTTTGGGGATTTCGTCATGAAAAAAAATGTTCAGATTTCTGAAGCAAGAAACATTGGGACTTCGCGGCAATTCATCAAGAAATCGGGATTGGATCATCCATAATTGGGAGATGAGCCTAACTTTGCCATGAAGAATTGAGAATATAACATTCGGCAAGTAGGCTTTAACATGTTCCGTCGAACCCGGACGTTGCTCCACACTTACAATCATTATATATCATCAACCTCATCCTCATCATCATCATCATCATCATCGTCATCATCACCCTCATCATCATCATCATCATCATCATCACCTCCTCCTCCTCCTCATAATCATTGCATCATCATCATCACCTCCTCCTCCTCATAATCATTGCATCATCATCATCATCATCATCATCATCATCATCATCACGATGGCCTCGTCTTCATCATCATCATCATCATCATCATCATCATCATCCTCGTCGTCGTCGTCGTCGTCGTCGTCGTCGTCGTCGTCGTCATCCTCATCATCATCATCATCACCATCATCATCATTTTCTTCTTCATCATCATCATCATCATCAAAATCAACACAATCATAATCTCAACATCATTATGATCATGATCATGATGGTGATTATGATGATGACGATGATGATGATGATGATGACAATCATCATCATTACCACCAGTATCAACTCATGTGGAATGGGGTAAACCATCAACTTATATGTCTTATACTCATAAGAGATCAACAATCCGCCACCCCCTCTGGCAAATATGTTGAATGGTGTAATCACATCAACCTACCTTCATAGGGATCAAAAATCCACCACCCCCTCTGACAAATTCGTTGAATGGGGCAATCACATCAACTCATCTTCATAAGGGATCAAAAATCCACCGCCCTCTATAACAAATATGTTAAATGGGGGAGTCACACCCACTTATCTTCAATGGATATCAACACCCACCACCCCCTCTGACAACTATGTTTAGTAAGGAACCAACTTATCTTCATAAGGCTGGACCAAAAATCCACCACCCCCTCCGACAAACATGTTTAATGGGGTTAATCACATCAACTTATCTTCATAAGGGATCAACAAACCCAGTACCCCCTCTGACAAAAATGTTGAATAAGGGATAACATCAACTTATTATCTTCATAAGGGATCAACAAATCCACCACCTCCTTTGACAAATATGCTGAATCTGATAATAGCATCAACATATCTTCACAAGGGATCAACAAATCCTCCACACCCTGTGGCAAATATGCTGAAACTAAAAAACATCAACTTATCTTCATACGGGATGATGATGATGATGGTGATGATGATGACGACGATGACGACGACGACGGCGATGACGACGACGACGACGACGACGACGACGACGACGACGACGAGGATGATGACGACGACGACGATGATGATGACGACGACGATGATGGTGATGACGACGATGATGATGGTGATGACGACGACGATGATGATCATGGATCACATATACGTCTACATATTATAAGTCCACCAACATGGCATTTCAAACATACGCAACCCTTCCGCAATTCCGGCGCGGAGCAACGTCAGGGTTTCACCAAACATGTTTTAAGGGTGAACAATTGACAACCATTGGGCTTCAGATGGATTTGGTCATCGAACAGTTGGAATTTAACTGCTTCAGCGATCAAAAAGATTCAACAAGTGGAAGTTTAAGTATGTTTAAGTGTTACAGCTGACTTGACCATCAAAATTGGTAGTTTACCAATCACAACTTGAATTCAACGTGCTTCATTTCAGAAAAAAAAAGTTGAGAATTCAAGTATCAAAAGCAAGGTCTTTGCATGTCTTGGCACGATTTTTAAGCACAAGTACTGGAACTTCTGGCAGTTCAACTGCCCCAGAACTGGAGATTTCACCCTTGGAAGTTCACCTCCTATATCCTCCTATGTTGCGCCTCGGTAATCAGCAGCCAGTCCCGCAGCTCCCAGGGTGGAAGATGCACCAAATCCTTGATGGTCGACAGCCGTTTGGCCCGCAGCAACTCCAGCAGAGACACCGCGCCGACGCCAAGGACCTGACGATACGAGGGACAGTCCTGGAGTCCTGGACGGGACGACCTTTCTGATTATGACATAATAGTCGATTTGGGCTCATCACTATAGACATATTAGTGTAATACTACATTATGTCTGCATGATATACTATTATACATTATGTCTATACTATAATATTTGGGCTAATCATCACTATAAAGATTTGTATAATGTCAACATTTATCATCACTATAGTGCTTATCATCACTATATACAATCGTATTTGGGATAAACAGTGCTTTCAACTAGTACCAAAATACGACCCAATTAGTTATTCTGCTTCACCTTAGGCGCCCTGGATCTGGTGGATTCATGGTGGCAACGTTGGGCTCGGCGAGCCCAAAACGCAAAACGTTTGTTTCTCAGCGCTGAAGATGTATCATACTTCAATATCAACTTACCAGCAAAATGAGTTGTTTCTGCCATTAGAAGCTCTTATTATATATGTATATGTATATATACATACATACATTTTCAAACATGCTGTCAGGTAGAGTATGGTGGTATCCCGACACAACGATTCAACGCATCGTGTAACACATGAAGCTCTGCCGCCTTCAGGTGGCTGGTTTCAGAGCTATCCCCATATCCCCAAAATAGCAAGCTGGTGAATCTGTCAAAATAAATTATGTCAAATTTTATGAATGAAAATAGCGTTTCTAGCGCGTTTCTATCTATCGGTGTGGGAGCTGCCGTGCATAGCAGTGCATATTTCATCATATTTCATCCCGGCCCCATGAAGGACATGAAATCGCCATGGAAATCATCATAAATCCATTCACATTTAAATATCATTAACTCATCTTCACACGAAATCGCCTTAAATCACAAAATCACCCCCCCTAAAATCACATGAAATCACATGAAATCGGCTGATTATGCTGGCTTTGAGACCTCCCTTTGCTCCACCCGTTGGAGAACTTAAAATGGGCGCACCGGTTCAGGTGCGTCGCTGAAGAGTCGGTCGAGGGGGAGATCGCCAAAACCTGGCGGATTCCGGGGATACCATATGGAGTCAACATAAATACGGGATACGGATATTGTTATATAATATTGTTACTATTGTTAATATTGTTAATATTGTTAATATTGTTAACATAATATATATATATGGGGTATCTGTAACATCATAGGTGGTTGCTGGGGATATCATAGTTACATATAGTTACTATATGGTGAGTCAACATGAATCGAGAATAGTTAATGGGGTATATATATATGTAACCAATACATAACAATACCATGATATACATTGATATACATTAGAATACATATATCTATATATATATATATGGAATCAACTGTCAACCATAGATAATGGTGACTTGTGACTTAATGGGGGTTAATGGGCATTTCATATAGATAAGCTGGGATATGTAGTAATATACCATCAATATCCATCAATACTATAATATAATCCCTTCCTCCGTTCATATTTAATACCCCCAGAAAGCATGGTACAGTAAATTGTAGGTAGGAGATTTGCACATATTTGGTAGCATTTAGCGGTTGTTTACTAGTAGGGGTATGGGACTAGAATGTCGCTCGGGATTAGTTGATTGGGGGGGAACCCCCAAAATGGTCCCCTCCCCAATTAAACAGCCCAGGGGTTTGGTAATGCGGGGTTGACATGAACGGTAATCCGATATAGAACATATAATACATAAGGAGTAATATTAATATAATCATATACAGTAACATATAGTATAATATAGAACATATAATATTAATATAATCATATATAACCAAGGAGTACCAACAACTTAACCACACCAATAAGGATCTTATCTGATCTTGTGATCTTGTGATCTTGTGATCTTGTGATCGTGAACTGCAGATCTTATTTTTGTTGGAGTTCTTTGCCACAAAAATAAGGATCTTGTGATCTTTGACCAACATTGGATTGAGCCACGACATGGAGGTGATTGAGCCGGAACAACATGGGAAATCCCGGTTTATCATCACACCCTCAAACAGCCAACACAAATTGCTATACAGTACCCCTTTGTGTTCAGACCCAGGACCCATGATCCCTAGACTCCCTGGTCTCTCCTGGCAGTGCCCGGCTGTGCCTTGTGCTGATTTGTAGACCATGGCATTGGCCGTGTAAGCCATGTGGACTTTCAAACTACCAATGGGCAAAGCTGCACAGCTTTTAATTCAGACATGGATAATGTATGTTAATGTCTCATAGATCCAGACAGGATGCTTGATTCCTTTCATTTTTGAGGTTCCATAATGTTCCATAGTTGCTGCTTATGTAACCAAAAGGTAAATATATCATATCCTCATGTTTTTCCTGGTCATTCTTTTCATCTATATGTGGCTGCAAGTTACGGAAGCACCAGCTTGAAAGGGTTTGGGTTACGCCGAAAAACTGCCAACATCTGCCAACACTGAACCCACGGCTGTAGGAGAAATCAGGTTCCAATGCAACGATGTCCGACACGGAATGACATGAATCTGTGTTTCACATTGATTTTGTTTTTTCAAACATCAGAATTGTATGCAAAGCATTGTGAAACTAATGACATGTTTGTTTTCTCAGGTTTGTTATGATTGTGAATAGTTGAAGGTTTCAACATGTCTTATGGCAATCTGCTTATAGAAGCCTTGCAGCTCTTCAAGCACAAGTCGCTTTTCAACAGCTGGATGTCAAGACTTTGCTATTCCATCATTGAGTTATGAGGTTTTATAATGTTTTATATGTGTTTAGTGCTCTTATGAAAGTACAAAAGTGGGAGGCTTCGAATCAAAGATGCAGCTGGTGTCAAAACTTCCATCCCCATCTCCAACAGGCCATCTGGCCATATCATATAGGTTGAGCCACCCCTCTGAAAAATATGAGTTCGTCAGTTGGGATGATGACATTCCCATATGGAAACATAAAAAATGTTCCAAACCACCAACCAGATGATATTTCTATAAAAATCTATAAAATCTGCTCCAGGATGCACCCTGCCATCTGGCCATCACTGTGCAATCACTTTTTTTTCCCACGCCAAGGGTCCACTGCGGGCTCTGTCCTTTCTGTCCCTGGTGGTATCTGCAGAACCACCACCACGCCGCACGTGTCTCATCTGTCCTTCCTGTCCCTTGTTGTCGCCGCCGTCACGGTAGCAACGGTAGCGGCGGCACGATGGTGCTTGGGGTCTTGGAGATGTCCTGCAAGGGCTAGAAGAGTGAGCTCCTTAGGGACAGCAACACACGTGGCAAATCATGGCGAATCCCATTGAAACTCATGGAACATACTTCAATACTGCTCAGAATGTTGGCTACTAGAAATTTCCCCATCAAAGAACCAACCACCGTCTATAATATGTTGGTGATGGTATAAGAGTAATCATAAATTACCACAAAGACAAACCCAAGTCGATACACCATTCGTCACCCAGATTGCCTTATTGAATCTTATTGATGCATCAATCTTGGACATTTTGACAAACCCAACTTTCTTTTGTCCACATCAGGTGGTAGAACCAGAAAATTTAACTCTGGACTTACATAAAGATGGCAAAATCATGCAAAATCCATCATCCTCAGTCATCGTTCGGTTCCCGAATCTGGGTCAAAACCCGACCCCAGTGAGCATCCTTTCAATCATGATAAACGTGAACACAATGGATTCTATACAGCATTATGATCGATATCGTCGATATTCCATCACATTCCCAAATGTTTTGCACGGGCAAACTTCAGTACAAACGGCAGCTGGAAGATATCCGTGCGACCCGAGCATCTCTTCGATCATGGGTAGTGGACCTTGGCCCACCAACATCACTCTAGTTCATTGGTTTAAGTCATTCAAACAATTGGAAAAATGAAACATCCATCATTTTTATGGAGGTGTTGAATTGGAACATATGGGAAAATCAATGAACATCATCTATTGTTCCTCTACACTTCGATTCATTGAGTAGTCCGACGACAATCTCAACACCATTCTCAGGCCAGCACCGCTCTCAGCAGACGATGCGTCACGGGTGCGCCTCGCGAGCTACGGGGATGGGACTCCCACCCCTGCAGTCATCAGCCAACAGGGGTGTTGAACACTGCTTACCCCCCCGGTCATTTGCATAGCTTTGGAAAATCACCACTTTGAATTAGGTAAATCGTCTATAAATGGGCAGGTTTCCACAGCAAACCGTTAGTTTAGAGGGTAAGTATCATAGATTATCATAACATCTATGTTCATCCAATTCAGGCAGTGTTTACAGATGCTTATAGTATTATAGAGGAAATGCAAGGAACCCTGTTTTAGTTGCCTAGTCCTTCAACCTGGCGGCCTAACCATCCACGATTTTTTAAGGCAAGTGTTCCTTTCAAACAGAGGGACTTCCCATTGACAGCCTTGTCGAGTCTATCCACTGTGCATGGCTTTTCCATCCAAATACAGGAGTCTCCAATCAAATTTCTCTGAAACCAAGCCTAGAAATTGCTGGAATCCAACCGAACTTCCTGATTGGCCTAACTGGCGATGGCTTCTGTGCTTTCCCAACTCGAAACAATCGGGCCTTTCCGCCAGAAGCTGTCGGACGGCGTCTCGAGTCTCAGGGCTATGCTGAGTGGCGTTCCCTCAGTCATTGGGCAAGTGATAGATTTTCCAAGATGTTGTTGGAAAACCATATCAATTGTAGGGGCTCCTCCACATGTGTATTTTCATAATTTTTGTAATCAACTGTAATCATAATCAATACATAGCAATACCACACAATGACCTTTAGTCGATTTCTGATGTTGAACATTGCCAAACGGCGCTGTTGTGTGACAAAGCGATTTTGACCCATGGTCAACCTTATAGACTGTAACCCCTGCCAACAGCTATGGATCACCACCAACCAGCACCTCAACAGGCAGCTGGGCCGCCAAACGCACGGCATACACCCCGGCTTCTCGCAGCAGAGGGAGCTCTGGATCTGCGTAGCAGTGCGACAGCAACGCCGGCCTTGCGATGGCGTGGGGGCCTGGGGATGCCTGGGGTTGGGATTTGCAACACATGTCTGAATTTGGGGCATTCATCCCACAATAGCCGGCACTAAAAGGGAGCAAAGTTGGGGAGCAAGTCAAGCATTGGGGACTTGGACTCAAGGTAATTATTGAGATATGTTTCAATCATGTTTCAATCATGTTTGATCCGACTTTGCTCCATCATGGATGCCATGGACTTGAAAAATTGGATTTTGTATATTTTGTGTTCAACCTTAGGCGTTGGAATTGTTTTCGATCTTTCGCAAGGTGTCTAATTGAGGGGGACGGGGAGTTTGTTTCTCATTTTATTTTGGTTCAGAAGAAGGAATGCCGTACGCACTTGTAGCCACAAGTTGGCCGTGCGCTACATTTTTCGGCTGGAAAACACATATTATGCCTTCCCCACTTCAAAAGCAATGCTCAAAATGATGGGTTCAGACCACTGTTGCAGACTCCGTGTTTTCCTTTGAGGTCCCAACAATCCACCAGAGATGCGCAAGAATTCGGCGCCCTGAGAAATCACACAGCTAAAGGAATTCCGACGGGTCGTTGGAAAGTTGGAAATTTGGCCATATTGTCTATCACAAAAACAATTTTACCATAAAAAAATCCATACTTGGGGACTTTCAAAAATTGGGACGCTTACAATAATTCAAAATTTGGGAAATTGTATTATTGTGCCATGAGGGAATTTTCTATACCAATAGTGCCGCACAAAGCGGTGGCGGAAGTTTCAGAATAGAAAACCTATAGGAGCGTTTGGTTGTTGTGAACCACGGATGGCAGAGCGAATCCACTGATGGACTGAAAGGTGGTTGAGTTGTGTTTTTGGAGTGGTTCCAAAGGTTGCAGTGGCCACCTGGTCGGTCACCTCACCCACAACTGCTGGATGTAGTGTGGTGCAGCGCAGCTGTAGTTGTAGTTTTAGTGTAGTGGAGTTGTAGTTGTGGTGTAATGTAATTAGTATAGTGCAGTTGCAGTTGCATTTGTGGTGGTGCAATGAATGTAGTGTAATGTAATGTAGGGTAAAGTAGCGTAGTTGTAGTTGTAGCTGTAGTTGTAGTTAGTGTAGTGTGGCGTGGCGTGGTGTAGTGTGGTGTAGTGTGGTGTAGTGTGGTGTAGTGTAGTGTGGTTTAATGTAGTGAAGCGGAGTGCAGTGTAGTGTGGTGTAATGTAGTTTGTGTAGCGTAGTTGTAGTTTAAGTTGTAGTTGTAGCTGCAGTTGTAGTTGTAGTTAGTGTAGTGTGGTGTAGTGTAATATTGTGTAGTGAAATGTAATTAGTGTAGTTTAATGTAATTAGCGTAGTCTAGTGTCGTGTAGTGCAGTGTAATGTAGTTGTAGTTGCAGTTGTAGTTGTAGCTGCCGTGTAGTGAAGTGGAGTGTAGTGTAGTGTAATGTAGTGTACTTGTAGTTGTAGTTGTTGTTCATGTAACTAGTGCAGTCTAATTGAGTGTAGTGTAGTGTAGTGTAGTGTAGTGTAGTGTAGTGTAGTGTAGTGGAGAGCAGTGTAGTGTAGTGGAGTGTGGTGTAGTGTAGTAAAGTGTGATGTAATTAGTATAGTGTAATGTAATGTAGCGTAGTTGTAGTTGTAGTGTCGTGGAGTAGAGTGTCGTGTGTGGTTGTAGTTGAAACGCGAAACGACATCTGAACGTCCAAAAGTGGTGTGAACGTGTGGTGCTTTTAACATTTTGACTTCGAAGTGTGCTTCACGCCACAATGGCGTGCACTTTTTCGACATGTCAACTTCCAAAAGTGCTGCGAGACCGTCAGTTTTTAACATTTTTGAATTTGAAATGTGCTTCGCGCCACAACGGCGTACACTTTTTCGACATGTCAACTTCCAAAAGTGGTCCGAACATGGTGAGTTTTGTACATTTTGACTTGGAAATTTGCTCCGCGCCACAACGGCGTGCACTTTTTCAACATCTCAACTTCCAAAAGTGGTCTGAGAATGGTGTGTTTTGTGCATTTTGACTTGGAAATGTGCTTCGCTCCACAACCGTGTGCACTTTTTCAACATCTCAACTTCCAAAAGTGCTCCGAACATGAGGTGCTTCACACCTCAACGGCATGCAATTTGTCATCTCTCATCTTGCCAGATTGCTCCATACCCGCCGCTTTAGCGAGCCTACTTTTCGACCTTCCGCAGCCACAAATCATTGGAAAAACGCAGTGTTTCGCGGCTTTCCTAGCTTTCGCGCACCTGGATCTTCTTTTTTCTGACTGTCTCTTCTTTGATATTCTTTCTTCTTCTTCTTCTTCTTTTCTTCTTCTTCTTCTCTTCTCTTCTCTGACTCTTCCCATCTCTGCTTTTCATCTGTCCATGTTGTCGGAAGTTTGACTTCTAAACTTCCTTCGATAATTGTCCATTATTGTCAAGTTTAATGATAGGAGGGTAGTTAAATATCTGTTTGCAAGTATGGTTCAAAAAAAAAATCATTGTCCCCATGATTACTGGTCATGATCCAGGCATGTTCATTGGCTATCGTAGCTTCATGGAACATCCACCAGCCACCATTCTAATGGGAGATGTTCCATTGCCGGGTTTGGTTACCAGAGGCTAAATCCTATTGCAATAACCACTAATCAATATTCACCACTATTAGGGGTTATTGCATATAGTGGGATAATCATACCACTTTAATGGTTGCTAACTGTGGTTACTAGGTTCGATTAATCGACCACTATTAGCCTTTAACAACCATTATCCTACACAAGGACGATCGGATGGTACATCATCCCCATCATGGGTGTGTCTGAAAATGGGGTATGCATCATATACCCCTAAATGGCTATTTTGAAATGGAAAATCATGATAAGCCCATGGATTTGCGGGTGCACCATTTGATCATTCGATCTATTTTCAGACAAACCCAAATGGGTGGTACAAACCATCCCAAAAATCGTAGGTTTAGGGCTTAGGGCCTCCCCAAATCGAAGAGTGTTGGCTGGTCACATCCGCAATCTGCAGAGACTTTCATCAACTACCTTGTAGCAACCCCAAAAAGATGGACAAATAAAATCTTGTAGTATAGTTCTGATTTATTGATCTATTTTTTTTAGGGTTACTATACAGCAAGATACTGCAAGTGTATCAAACGCACTTAGGAAGGTGTGACCAGCTGCCACCATGTCAACCACAAGTATTCAACACGCCATATGAGGTACTCATGATGTCATCGACGATGATGGCCAGTAAATATCACCAGATATAGTTCCCCTGATGAACAGACTATATACCCTTTGGTAATCTTATAATCTTATATATATGTATATGGAAACCGACCGTTTTTGCAAGGGAAATAATCTTAATCTACAAATGGGCCATTGTCCATAGCTATGTTAGATTACCAACGGGTAGATTCGTACTGGCTACCATGGTCCTTTGCAAAAAACTATCCCCTTCGAGCCAAAAAAAACAACGATGGTCCAGTGGCGCCTGCGGGTTTTCGAAGAGGATGTTACCACAAAGCCTGATGTTGCTACTGGAAAGGAAGCCGCGGACCGGAAGCCGTGGACCAACTGCTGAGACTTCTATGGCACCAGGGTCAGGATAAAGCTGTTTTACCCTCCGGTAATTTAAGATATGGAAAAATCCCATGTTGCAGATGGTCTACCTGGTAAGGTGATTTTCCATAGCTAGTGACTACATACTTGTGAATCTTGTTCATCCCCAAGAAGATGGAACACAGTTTATGAACCCTACTAAGTTGCTGATGATTTTTAAAGCAACCCCCAAGAAGATGCCGAAAAGTATGCCCAGGATGATATAGATTAGGCTTACCTCATATTGCCAGGATTTTTGCATATGTTTGCTATCTATTTGGGGGTTGCTATATGGCTGTGAGTCAAAACCTGGTCCCCAGGTGCCGGGCACCGCAAACTAGATGGTTTAGATGGTTATGGATGTTTATTCCCACACATGTGGGGAATAATAGGTTTTGCCGTTTTGCCCCATCCCCATATACTTCAGATTTCCAGGTGTTCAGTTTTCCTATCTATTTGGGGATCGCTATGTTACTCGTCCATCCTGTTTGGAGGATAACCTGAGCCCAACGGCCCCCCGCCTCAACTGTCCCACCAATTGGCATGCCAATGCCGCCTTCACCGCCTCGTTTCCAGTACACTGGTTGGTTAAGAACAGGATTCCCCGTTCTTGGATAATCATATAATCACCCATTACACCCATTTTTTGGGGTAGTAACAATCTCCTCTAATACTCATCGATGGGATCTATGGATTTGATATGATATCCATGACATGTATGCTGATATATATATCTGGTTGGTGGTTTCAACCTTTCTGAAAAATATGAAAGTCAGTCGGGATGATGATTCCCAATATATGGAAAAATAAAAAATGTTCCAAACCACCAACCAGATGATGATCAACAATGAGATTTTTGGGATCACCCATTTTGCAAGCCCAAATGTGGCATTTTGCATGCTATAGCAACCGAGAATAGCTAGAGTTGCAAACCTGAAACTGCGAGGTATTTTCTTGTACTTAGCATCCTAGATTGTGTTTCTGTCTGACAAAAAAAGGGTATGGCTATCAGTCAAACTTTGGCAGCCCAAAAATTGATGTTTCAACACGTGGTTTTCTGGGTTTGAAACTTCGACCCGCACTGCACTGTTGGGTTTCGACATGTTTCGACCCAGGGCCCCGTTTGGAAAGGAGTGGTACCGTCGCATTGACCTTCCTTAATGGGGAATCAAACATGCCAATGGCAATCTCTGATTTAGGTTGCTGAATTTCCCATTCAGACATATTCAAACCTCCATTTACAGTAGTTCGGGGATTTCCCATTGCTATGTCTGAGATTAACGGAATGCATTTCCCACTCATATCCCCATTTTTGATGGTTAAATTCCCATTAACCCCCGCAATATTCCATTCATATCATAAAATTATTGAAAATTTCATGAAACTCCATTGAATCATCATTAAATCACAATTAAACCAATTGAATCACCGTTAAATCACCATTGAATCACCACTAAATCACAATTAAATCTCATGTATTTCACCCTGAAACCTACCATCTCTTCACCAGAAATTCTTTGTTCATCGGGCAACCACAACTCCACAACTCGGCGCATTCGTCGCCGGCCTTCGCCGGATCTCCAGCCGTAGGCTCCTGGACATTATGAAATGATCAATGGAATTAGTGATATATCTATAGTGATATTTCTATAGTGATATATAGTGGAATATACCTATAGTGAATACCTGGAATTAGTGAATTAGGACTAATATTAGGATATACCTATAGTGATATATGATATTCGTGGATTATATTAGTGATCTATAGTGGACTAATATTTGGATATTATATGAATGAAGATTAGTGGAATGATTATTAATTATATATACACAACTATATATGATTGTATATGATCAACTGGATCATTAATATGATCTACTCTATTGATGTTGATTCAGCTACTCCACCAACAATAAAGTGGCTATGAAGGGCGTATTAAGGGCTTATTAACCACCAACAACCATTGATAAGGAATTCTTTACCATCTACTTTGGGGGGGCTTGTGAATTCACTTCGTGAATCAGAAACCCCAGAGAAAAAAGAAGCTGATGGGCAATCAATGGCTTTGAAGCACAGGTCTTGTTACCAAAAGGTATTGATTGGGTCTATCCTTTTCAACTGGGGTACCTGTATATATTATATACTTATATATATATATATGTAACTTATATTATATAACTATATATACACATACCAGTTGAATCCCAACAATTTGTGGTTATTGGTTAATTGTCCATGTTTGTCTAGTTGAATTCTGTTCAATTCCATGTTTTCTCGGTAAACAATCCCCTTGGTCTGTTGGTTAAATGCAAGCTTTTGCTGGCTAGACCCCTATAGAAAAAAACATGGATTTGTCTGAGACTAGGGCATAATTACCTCTAAATTCACACACCGAAAACAATGCCCGATTTTGAAATTGCCACTTTGGAGGGGCATACCAATGTCCAAACAAACCCATCGTATATTAGTTGTTTATATAGGTTTATATAATTTATATACGTCCCATTGTTATACGCATATGAACTATCCGAAACCATTAAATTAAACCCCATTACATATCCCATTAAATCATCATTTACTTCCGTACAATCCCATTTGGTTCCCTCCCACTTTTGGCTTGTTAAACCCTATTAAAATGGACAACCCAATGCCGTAAACCTACCATAACTGGGGATGGTTTAGACCATCCCCAGTCATTAAAATGGTGATGACTTGGGGATGGTTTATTATGGTGATCCCAATATGATCCCACAAGTATCCCTATAATACACCATTATAGTCCTTGTTATCCCATTATATATAAATCATTCCATGATTATCCCATTAAATTATTCCCGTCATGGTGATTTATATGGTATAATCACTATTGCAATGGGAAAATTCCGGGATAATATTAACCCATATGGGAATAGTTATCCATACTAATATTAGTGTCTAATGGTGATACCCATGTTAGTTATATACAATGGGATAACAATGGGATATCCCACATGGGAATAGTTATCCATATTAATATTAGTGATTAATGGTGATACCAATGTTAGTTATATACTATGGGATAATAATTGGATAATCATGGGATAGTCGTTAACCCATATCTGGTTGGTGGTTTTAACCATCTTGAAAAATATGAGTTCGTCAATGGGAAGGATGACATCCCATATATGAAATGGAACATAAATTTCATGTTCCAAACCACCAACCAGCAGTTCCACAAGTTCCATCGTCATCTCCTTACGCTTGGGCAAGGGAGCGCCGGTCTCGGCCACAGCCTGGAGATTTCCGCCGGTTCTGCAAAGGTGGCAAAGAAACCAGGGAAACATCGTCCTTTTCATGAGATTTCATGATGGTTTAGTGGGATTTAACGGAATTTAATGGGATTTATGGTGATTTAATTGTGATTTAATGGGAATCAATGAAATTTAATGGTGATTTAGAGGGATTTCATGGGATTTTATGGTGGTTGAGATTTGTCACTATCAAGCATGGGGGTATTCACGGGATTTGCACAAGTGAGTATAGAATCACCATGAACCACCTGCAAACAGGTAAAATGTGTGTGTCTTAAGTTGCCGAACTCATCTAATCATCTAATCTAAAACATGTCTTCTTTTGGGGGGGGGCTGCTAGAAGGGTTGGAATTTAACTTAACCAGCATTAACCTGGAAGACACGTGGGTTTAACCAGCGATTTGTAGTAATACATAGGAATCCATAGGATCTGCGCTAGCAAAACATGGTACCAGTAGAGTCCAGTAGAAGTTGTTTCCAGAACCTCAACATGTGGTTCTTTTATCAAAGAAACAAAGCAGCAGAATCTGTGCTTCCACGGATATTCATCCGCGTGATCTAAGTCCTATGGGTTTCTTGGATTTGCTTAAGGGGTACCCAAAAAACAAAAAATATGCACTATAGATTCCCCAAATGGTGGATTTCCCATTGGGAAAATAAAAAATCACCTTAAACAAACCCAGGGTTTGTATGGTTCCCCCAAATCATGCCAAAACCCTATGGTTGGCCATCATTTCCCCATATTTCCCCCCTGAACTTGGCAATAACTGGGGGTCTGCCCACATTTCAGACAAACCCGAATCGTACATGTATTAGTTGGGTAAGGGTATATACGCGCAACGCCTGGGTTTTTCCCAGGCGTTGCAGCGTAGAGGTTTCCCATTCACAAACAAATGATGTTGCAAATTACCGTAATTCCTATGGGGATAATAACAAAGGTACTAGGGACTATTAAACAAACAAGGTCAAAACACCCGAAATTCCTATGGGAAAAACAAAAACGGCATAACATTTGAAATTCCTATGGGAAAAACAACAAAGGTACTAGGAAATTTTAAACTCTCAAATCGTGAAACTTAACATTCAATTAGGAAGACCAACAAAGATATTAGGGAATATTAAACTCCCACCCCCGTTAAACCTTAAATTCCTATGGGGAAAACAACAAAGGTACTAGGGACTATATAAAAAAAAATGTCAAAACACCCGAAATTCCTTTGGGAAAACCAAAAACGGTATTAGGGAATATTCAACTCCCACCCCCGTTAAACTTTACGTTCAATTGGGAAGATCGACAAAGATATTAGGGAATATTAAACTCCCACCCCCGTTAAACTTCTACATTCATTGAAGATCTTCGATCAGGGTTTAATTCTCCCACCCCCGTTAAACTTCTACATTCATTGAAGATCTTCAATAAGGGTGTAATTCTCCCACCCCCGTTAAACTTCTACATTCATTGAAGATCTTCAATAAGGGTTTAATTCTCCGACCCCTGTTAAACTTCTACATTCATTGAAAATCTTCAATAAGGGTTTACTTCTCCCACCCCCGTTAAACTTCTACATTCATTGAGGATCTTCAATCAGGGTTTAATTCTCCCACCCTCGTTCAACTTCTACATTCATTGAAGATCTTCGAACAGGGTTTAATTCTCCCACTCCCGTTAAACTTCTACATTCATTGAGGATCTCCAATACGGGTTTAATTCTCCCACCCCCGTTAAACTTCTACATTCATTGAAGATCTTCAATAAGGGTTTTATTCTCCTCCGACCCCTGTTAAACTTCTACATTCATTGAGGATCTTCAATCAGGGTTTAATTCTCCCACCCCCGTTAAACTTCTACATTCATTGAAAATCTCCAATAAGGGTTTACTTCTCCCACCCCCGTTAAACTTCTACATTCATTGAGGATCTTCAATCAGGGTTTAATTCTCCCACCCTCGTTCAACTTCTACATTCATTGAAGATCTTCGAACAGGGTTTAATTCTCCCACCCCCGTTAAACTTCTACATTCATTGAGGATCTCCAATAAGGGTTTAATTCTCCCACCCCCGTTAAACTTCTACATTCATTGAAGATCGTCAATAGGTTTGATGATGTTGATGATGATGATTATTACTATGTTGATGATCATGATGTTGGTGATGATGATGATGGTGATGATGATGATGATGATGATGATGCGTCGCCCGTCGTCATTGCGGGTCCGGGCAAAACCCAGGCATTTGCCGTATATATATATATATATATCGTACCGTATCCCCATGAAATACCCTCATTAAACTCCATTAAAACACCACTAACCATGGTTGGACGTGAACACAGTCACGCTTTGAGAGTCAAGGAGTCAGTTGGGTCAACTATCGGTGGTCACAGGAAACTTCTCATCAATTTTGCAGTCCAAATCTCAATGTTCCCCCCAAAATGCCGAAATTTGCCCACAAAACCGGAATGACGATGATATCCGATGTCAAACAAAACACATCAAATTCACTGCTTCGGCAATCCGCAGACAACTTGGTGGTTCCACATCTGCAGTGTTCAAGTTCTACACCCGTAGATCTCAGCACTCCAAATCCCATACAGCAGGCAGTTGCTTATGAACGTTTGACAACTCATATTATATAAAAACGTTTAGAAAAAATGCGGCTGAGATTCACTAAGATATTCCACATTAAAAATGGTGATGACTTACCAAACCACCCTTCAGGATCTATCCAAACCGAGGCCAAAGCCGCGGTGCCAAAGCCTCGGCCGAGCTTAGATATGTTGGATAAGTTGGAGTTTCCCCATTGGTTTAAAAAAACACATCCATCATCTGTCCAAGTAGATCAACCAATTTTCTATAAGATTTCCAACTTATCTAGCTCTGCAATCTAGCATTTATATAGATCCATCTAGTTTAAGAGTCTTACTGTAGTAGAAAAAAACTACCAAAAATGCGGCACATCCATGGGGTTTGATCTATCTTCTACCTTCTGCTGCACTGTCATATGCCCCACATCCTTTGCAATTCAAGGATTGCTGCTAACTCATTAGTTTCTCCATGGCCAAATGCTTACTTGGGACGGGGGTACAAGTCCAGTTCTGCAGTTGTCACCCCAGTTGCTGGCATAACTTTCAATCCAAACAGAATCAATGTAAAAAGATGTAAACTGCACATTTACATACATGCACCCAAAGAGTCGTCACTCATTTCTGTCAATTTTTCGTTTCAGCACAACTTGCACTTGACTCCATGGCTCCCAGGCGCAAATGATGAAGGCCGTGGATCAGCTTCACATTGCCCCACAAGTACAAACCTCACGTCGTGTGGCAGCTGGTAGCAGGGACTCCAGGGACCAACTAAAATCCCCCATGCTCCGCTGCTCTGCGCCTGCCAACTTGGCCGGAAAGGCACCACAAGGGATGGCCGCCAGTTCCTCATCGGAGACGACGTGCCGGGAGGTGCGTGAAAATGTTGGGAAAAGCTGCCGAATTCCCCATGGGTTTCCATCTCTTTCGCCATAAAAATGGCATAAGATGGCCATATAAATTTCTCGGTCCTAGATAATGTGCAACGATGCGGTTTACTCTCGCCATGGGTTTCCAAGACCAGTCAATGTGAAATGCACATTGCTAATATGTCGATGTACATCCTAACAGGTGCTGCTGAACTATGTTCAAACAATGCGTTTAGATCAAGGATTAGGGTAGCTATGGGAAAGTATAGCTATAGTATAGCCAAGAAATGCCATTATGTACTGCTATACTATAATGCTATAATAGTGGTACTGGCAGCACACTAAACCATGGTGGGCTTGGAACAAACATACAGGCATGTCTTCGTGTCTTCAGCGGTGACATCATCAGTAAAATGGCAAAGGTGGATTTAACTGTGGTGCTATGAGCAAACAAAAGGGAATCTAATCAATCATATGTATCTACAGTATATATATATATATAAATATGCATACCGGGAGGTGTAATAAGCATCAGATTGAACGGAATTTCCTTCGAACATGTTGACATAGCCCACAATGAACACTGGCTTGTTGTCTTTGCAATCCAGCTGTTGGATGCTGGGGTACCAGCCACTCCCAATGCCTCCGAGGCACAAGACAGGCAAAAAGCATTTCCCGGAAGGCTCCACTTTCGGAGTGTTCCTGTTGCAGCTCGGAGATGTCCGAGGAAGCTTTGTCAGTAAAAACTAACATCTAAAACGTCTTTGAAATAAGATCATGGAGATGAAAAATGATACCCATTGTAACGTACAACTTTACACATGTTGAGGTGTAAACTATAAAAGCGGGCAGTTCATTCACAGAAACACTTGATGAAACTGGCTATATTGGCCGGTTTTCTACAACTTTCTTATTGCTGCAGAGCACACGTGATTAAATGATCACATTGGGTTCTGCTCAAAAAGTATGTAGCCTCCGGTAGTCTTCACATAGCTATTGAAGCCATGGCCCATGAATAGTTCGCTGATTTTTAGCTATTCAATTCAATATGGTGATTTTCCATAGTTGGGTAAAATTATCAGTGTAATAATGTGGGATTCAGCCTTTTTGCCAGTCACCATCCCCAAGTTTCAGGTGGTATTATTTGGGATGTTATAATGGGATGTTATAATGGGATAATAGGATGTTATCATTGGATATACTAGCCTAGGTTTATGGGATGATATCCCCAAGTTTGAGCTTTATGGGATGAAACATGAAAAATGACCAGAGCCAGCAAGTTATCAGAGGCGACTGTGTCCACCAAACTCACCAAACCTGGAGACGAGGCACCTCTTGCTGAACATCGACCCCTTCGGTGCCCTCCTCCTAGCCACGTGAGGCACTGATGCGCCACAGGTTTTGTTTAATTTCGGAAGTTCCAAGGGACTCAGGTCGTATCACCCTTTATACATGGCAGTGTGTCAAAACCTTGTACCCCTGGTGAACATCAAAATAGCTGGTAAATGGATGTTCATCCCCCTAAAAATGGTATTAATAGGTACTGTATTGATCTATACCCACATGATTATGATATAAAGTTAATATATGGTTAATATAGTCCTATTATGTCATAGTTTCAGATTTTGTGCAGCTGATACCCCTGAACCCTATTTTTTGCTTAGCTGCTTAGCAACAACATCCCTCTGTATTCGAGTACCCGGTGCCCATCCAAGATATTCACGGATGGCAACCAACACAATCCCATAATATCCAATATACTACATGAACAATGGCGTCTTTATGTAACCATATATAAATCAGCCAACCATCAGTTGACCCTATATTAACATTGTTAATTATATCTAAATATATACATATAAACACATAAACCATTTAACCATTTATCAACAATATATTTACCATGTACCCACCATATAGCAACCACATCTAAAACATTCTAAAACCTTATGACCTTATGTTGAACAATAATCATCAGCCAACCAAAAACCTGGTGTCCCATCCATTCTTCCCAACCTCGAAGGCATCGGCCGCGTACCTTGGACAGTTGGGATTCATCCATAGGGCCATAGGGGATGATGCTCACATCCCCACGATGAATTGTAATCATCAACCAACAGGGAGAAAACTGATGAAAACTCTTCAAATGATGGTATTTTTGGTGATTACAAAATAACTGGGGAGATAACATCGGGATATTTACCGGTTTTTCCTGGTTTTTCTGGTGAGTAACCATCTGGGTTGAAATTTAGAGGGAGGCCTAACTGCATATTTTGGAAACTGAAGATGAACTAGATTCTGGCCCATGTTGTGGACCCACCGCCCACCATGCTGTAGTGGAAATTTCAACCCAGATGTGTAATCCCTTTAAAAGGCCTGATGTCGCTGTCATTGACACTTTTCACTGACAGCAAGATCTTCCTTCCAATCTGCTACAAGGTACCCAGAAATCTAAGTTTCACCCCTGCTTGGATACACATCCCAAATAGTAAGTGCTTTATAAACCCAGAAAACACCATCAAAACATGGGAGATGAAGGGATCTCACAATTGACCTCTGACAACAATGGTGATTTTCACCCGCAAACTGTAACAAATTACCAGTTACCAGAAACATGTTATGTTGCTAATATTTGCCAATAGGATTTATATATGTATATATATATACTGTGTATATATATATATAGACATATATCCTATAAATATCACTGGGGATGTCATAGACATATATCCTATATACATATGTTATGTTATATATATACACACACACATATCCTATGACATCCCCAGAGATTTCCATCCCCCAGTCATTTCTTCGTTGCTGCCAAGCTGCATGGCCACATCCAAGTCCTTGACCTCCAGCGATAAGACGCCAGCAGCTGCGGGCGCCACGGGGCACAAGTCCAGCCTAGAAAGGGAGGAAAAACAGCAATTCACTGGATTGGTTTAAGGGAAAATTTACAGGAAACCATGGTTTTTACCATCAAATATAGGGGTTTCCTGTAAATTTTCCCATCATCCAATTCTATGAGCAATCTTTTTGCGGCTGAATCAGTCAGTTCATGGTTTTAATGGCTATACTCCCGTGGTTTACTGTGCTTTTAATGGGTTTTAATGTGGTATTTACTGGTCATCAGTCAGTCAATGCTGGTTTGATTGCGATTTAATGTGGTTTTTCACGGCTTTACTGGGTATTATAATTAATATCGTTATTATGGTATTTAATGAAAATGACTGTTCGGATCTGTTCGGGCTGGGTATCTGCCAAGGTGCCTGCAACCCAAGCTTCTTTTTTGTTTGGAGGAGAGAACGATAATCACAATGTAGACATGATGAATCCAGATCTTGAGTTTTCAACCAATAAATTGTGTGGATTTGAATGCTCGATATTAAGAAGAAACCGGAAGTTCCATCCGCAAGTGCAATGTTGAAGCGAAAGAATCACCAGAAGACTGTCTCTCCTCAACCTGTCACATTGTCTTATGGAACACGCATGTTCTTTTTGCAGAAGTGCATCCACAAAAACGGTATTTTTCTTTCCTGACGACGTTGCTTCACCAGAAATTTGTGTACCTTATGTAGGCTGTCAACGAAAATGTGGATAGTGACCATAGCTTTTTGCCTGCTGATGATGTTACAACCCTAACCAGCAACATATCATTTGCACTTCCATAGCAGCAAAGCCATACCGACCAAAGTCTGGCTGCCTGGCTGCCTTCCCATCGACATGAGTGGTCGCTGCACATTCCATGTTCAATTCCAATGTCCATAATGCCCAAACATTGTGATGAGTCATCAACAAAGTCCAACAAAGTGGTGGCAATTGGTAAACATGAGGATACTACTGCTATATTATAATAGATGCCATTATATTATAATACAATATTGTAATGGATTACAATCCATGGTATTCAAGTTATATAACATTCTAATGCTCAGATCAGATTAAACATGCCCATCGCTATTTTTAGTCGGCCGAATCCCGAGACAGGTCGCCCCCAATCTGACTCCGATGTTGGGGGGTCCCAAGAAGTTTCTTTTGCGGCCCTGTAATGTGTCATGTGTGAGGAGGCTTGAAAATATGATGTTAACATCATACAACCGATCCACACAAATACAATATATACAATTCCCAAAACCAAAGCAAGGATGCGTGTATGGATGTATAGAGATGTAGATAGATATATATATATATATAGATAGATATATATATATATATTATAGATGTATAGATATACAAATATATACATTGACATACGCGTGTATACATCACATCTGACCCGAATGTAAAAAAAATGCACGGTCGCTGTCATGTGTTTTTCATCAAATAACTTGAACCTACACCTTGTTTCCTGAGAAAAAGACAAGCTTAAAACACAAATACACGCAGTAATGGACAGTGATGGATGAATAATGGATGCATAGATAACCAGGGATCATCTCATACCCTCCAGTAGTTTGTTCCATAGCTATGGAAAATCACAATATTATAGCTATATAGGTAAATTATCATAAATCATCTATAAATTAGGCATGTTCTATAGCTATGTTGGTTTATCACAGGAAAATTCCCATTAAATCACCATTAAATCACCCTTAACCCCCTATAAATCATCATTAAATCACCCTGAACCCCCTCTAAATCACCAATAAATCATTAAGTCACCAATAAATCAGCATTAAAGTCACCATTCACCCTGAAAAAAACCTATAAATCACCCAGAAAAATCACCCTGGAGTCTGGTTCCTGAGCTCCCCAACTCCAATTCCCAGGTGGCTGCCAAACTCAGCAGGGCCGAAGACATCTCTCGGAGCACCAGCTCCTGCCACCAACGAAAAATTGTGATTTAATGATGGTCCAATGGAGTTTAATGATGACTTCATGGTCATTGAATGGGATTAAAAATATGGGGTTTTAATAATTAATGACTGAATGGTGGTAATATGATAATGATTTATATAAGGGTATTCAAAGGGACACGGCCTGGGAGTATAGAATGAGATAAATATCACCAACATTAATACCCTCTGGTAAACTAACATAGCTATTGAAAATGGCCATTGATAGTGGATTTACCCATTAAAAATGGTGATTTTCCATAGCTATGTTAGTTTACCAGAGGGTATATCATTTGGGTGTGTCTGGACATAGGGTTTTTCCCCCCCAAATGGCCCATCATCTATTTTAGATGGGGCCCGGGGTACCCTATATAATCTCAGACAAAGCCATGGATATTATTTCGCAACTCCCAAAAGGATAGAAAGTAAAATCTTGTTTAAATGGCGATTAATGACTCTTCTATCTGTTCGGGGTTACTGTACTGTTGCGGATAAAAGTGGTGAGATCATGAGGATATGAGGAATATCAATATTCTCCTGGGAAAGTTCTCATCAACTCACCATCCACTGTTGCTGCCCCAGCAGTCCACAAAAGCTTCATCTGACAGCAGTTGCTTTGCGAGACCTTGCTGTTTCCGGTCCCCGTCAGTCCAATTGTTCTGGTCATGGAAGAATTGTTTGAAATGGGTGGAAACTGGATCATCACCCCAATCTTGAGAGTTATTGTATTGATATTATATATATATACATATTATAATATTATATATATATATACATTATATATGGACTGTTCATACCCACTATATCGCTATCTTCTTTTAATCATCACCAGCCGGGCCTTCCATCCTTTCCCTATGACAGTTTGATGATGTCACTCGGTAAATGGTGACTCAATGGTGATTGACTCAAGGGGTTTTTCATGATGTTCAATGGGGATGTAGTGGGATAATATGGGATATACAACCAACATATATATATATATATGAGCGATCGGCAAAACTTCAATTGAAAAATGCGATCTCGGGGCAAAGTTATCGTTTTTGGGACTTCACTATATCGTTTTACAGTATATCCTGATTGCATCATCCGCATCCCCTGGCAAACTGCATGCGGAAAGCCTTTTTACACCTCCACTTCGCGTCTTGGGCATCTTTGACTGCCCTGCGCTTTCTTTTCCAGCGCTTCAACTGTATGGTGGGTGTGGTGTGATACCTGCCAACGCAACTGCAAATCACAGTTGCACCATCCTTTCTCCAGCTCAGAAACAAGTTTTGAATTCAGTTTGTTGGAGGAAACCCGGGTGAGCTCTCACAGCGACATGCTCCATGCCTTTCATTCACTCGCCAGCGTCTGCGCAGCAAACCATCGACCTGGTCCAACGCCTTTGCCTTGGCTATCTTCATCTAGGATAAAGATCGTCAAACCGGACCTGCAGGTGCAGTTGTGCCTGAGATGAACCGGGATTGACTAAAGCAGTGGAGCGCTGCAAAAGAATATGCATAGCAGCGAAAAGATCGCAATGAGCAAGTGATAATATTAAACGGCAAAGGTCTCAAGAATCTTTTGGCATCTGGGCCATCCATCAGCGAAGGACATTTTGTCAAGAAATGGTTATCGTTTAGTTATCGTTTTCGTTATCGTTCAAAGAGGGAAACATTTTTGGGAAAATGACATGAACCAAGGAAAGTTGGAAAGGATACCTGTTGTCATCGTCACTGCTTGCATGAAAGCGCGGAACTCATCCGAAAGGCTTGAACAATGGCGAGACAAAAAGAGCATCCAAATCCAGCTAGTTACTACATAACAATACGTGATTCAGTGATTGGATACAAATAAAGAAATTGGCCTAGATCAAGAGTGTCAGCATACTTTTGCACATCTTCCGTAGTGTGAGCTGGGCATGACGTGTACCCCACAACTGAGAGCCTAGATGATCTACATGCTTATAGAACAGGTATCCACCATCATGTCATGTACACAACCCCTTCACTTCCCACAATGCTTTTACATATAATATGATTCCCAGGTTATCGTTTTTGGGACTTCACTATATCGTTTTACATATCAAGATGCATATTTTTACATACGAGAGCGCTCGAATACATACCTCCTACACGAAGAGTTTAGCCTCTTGCTCATATGTATATGTATGTATATATATATATATATGTATGTACATATATATATGTATATATATATATATTATATATACATATTAATATATATATATATATATTATGTATAATATGATAAAACGGGTGTGTCTGAAAAACGGGACCCCAAAATGGCAATTTTGAACAAGCACATGATGATCCACTAGATTCAAACGGGAACCCTATCTTCAAACCAGGAAGTTTCCTCACCAATCGGGAACCGATCGGAAAATGAACGTCACAAGCATCAGCCGATTGAGTTGGCTGTATAGGGCTTCAACCTCCAATCGGAGTCAACAATAGCTGGCTGAAATCCACAACTGGCTGTATGTTTCAACTGATAAAAAACCTGCCAAAAATGCATGGCTAAATTCTGAAAATGGCTAGCCACTAGGCTACCCAAAATTTGCAGCCAAAGCTACGCACACTGTCCTGCGAAGTTGCCAGCACACCTCAAATCATAGGGTCAGTTCAAGAATTGTAGAGGCGGTTGGTGTTTTTTGGAAAAGTTTTCATACACTGTCTATAGTCTACTGGAGGACAACTTGGAACACCTTCCCATGCAGTAGCAGTTTCCGTGTTGTCCACTAGACTCTGTGCCGGCCACCTGCTGGCGGCTACCCTGCAATCATTACAAGCAACCATTTGTTTGGCACCGCATGAGGGACAACCGTATCAGTCATCTCAACAGCCTTTGTTGCTTTTGGCGTTCATTGACATGTTCTCGTATTTATGGCCCATTCTTGTTCCTGAAAACCCTATTCCATGTCTCTCAACAGTTACCCCGACAACGACCAATATGGGAAAACACACCATACATATCATACATGGAGCACTTGGGTTGGTTGCATTCGCAACTTTTTGAACAGCACATAAGATGGATAGTGATATTGCCGTGTTTCAACATATGTTTTGTCAACATATGTTTTTTCAACATAACCTCAGGTGCAACAACCAATGCAGAGTGAGGTTCAAATTTATTAAAATGATATCAGCGCCCAAAGTCCACAGATTCATCATGTTCCCCATAAAAAAACATTGTCACTTTTGGGGTATGCCCCATTTATAATATAATGGTATATTATATATATATAATTATATATTCCATTACCCCACATGATCACCTATCAACATATTCCATCAACATCACTACAATCTACAACATAATATCCCATTGAATATTCCGTTCTAATATCCCATATGGAGGTTTCCTAAAACGGTGCTACTGTACGCCAAGTCACTATAAGTTTCATCCCACTTGACTTAAATTGCATTAATAAATATGATAATTACTGGTTGGTGGTATACCTACCCCTCTGAAAAATATGAGTTCGTCAGTTGGGATGATAAAATTCCCAACTGAATGGAACGTCGTAAAATTCCACGGTTCCCAACCACCAACCAGATAGTCTAACTTGGAGAATTTGGAGGTGTACCCCTGTGTCTTCGGAACCCTATGTCCCTTCACCGTCCCAACATGACTGCTCTACCTGGGCACCCAGGTGCCCTCTGGGCCGCCCAACTCATGTCTTCACTGTCCAAGCCCCCTAGTAAGCCTCGCACCTTACCGAATGGCTGCTAAAAATTAGCTGGGGAAAGGTTAGCAAAGATGAAGTGAGTATATACATGACATTGAATTGTCAGAAAAAACTCCAGAGCATAGTGGATAAAATATGACATTTGGCGGATTTCATTGAACACGTGGGAAAATTGAACGACAGAATGTTGGAGTTTCATTAAACACAAACCACATTCAACTACCTTAACAAGCAACAAGGAATTTCACATTACATTTGTCCAGCAAACATGAAGATTCGAAATGAATGAATGGGAAAATAACCACCAACACTGTGCAATAATAGGCTTCCAAAAGATAAACATGTTTATCAATGATGGGAATGAGTTCTGAAGTAGTAGCAAGCGGGATACATATCAACCAACTGTATTTGGGTAAGCAAAAACTAGATGGATGTGGCGTCAGTTTCGGTTTAAATGAATGTAGGCCAAAGCAGGCAAAACCAAGTGGGTTTAACTCAACCTATCCCATTGGGCTACGCGGCTACGCATCACAGTGGAAGGAAACTAGGACATATCACAAAAACTGGAGGTGAAACGAAAACACAAAATCAAAAGAACAGTTTAGCAGCACCAATGGGGATATCACCAAGATCACGGAACATCATTCATCAACAAGAAGAGTTTTTAAAGAAGCAGGAACACATAGTAAGCTCCAAAAAGATAGAAAAGGTGATTTACCTCCAAAGTTGAAGTTGATTTAATTCCAAAAGTAACCTCCAAAAATCCCATAGTAACCTCCTATGTCCATGGGATTTTACGGTTTTCCTATCTTTTTGGGGGTTGCTCTTGACCACCAAACTCAAGCCGATTAAGCCCGGCCAAGCGGGCCGTTGGCACGCTGAGTTCTCCGGGCGGTGTGCCATAGCAAACCCAGGGCCTGGCATGGTATAAACCATGGGTATATCATGGCGAATTCCAGATCATAGTTATGGGAAATCATGGCATATATATATATATTAATATAATGGGTACAGTACCACCAATTTTTTCTATGCAAATCGGAACCACATCCCTTGTTTTTCTCCTGGCGCCGCCCAGCACGAAAGGGTGTTTACCCGCTGTACCATCCAATCCCTGCCTCCTTGCGTCCACCTCAGTGATCATCAAGAATTTCCGCGGTGCTCCACATATCGGCTGAGGGTACGTGGAATCTCTATGCAAAGTCTTCTTTTTTTTGGGGGAGTTGTCAAAATCCCTGGGATCCCAATCACCTTTGTACAATCAGGTGATCGCCAACAGTTTGATGGAGATGCCTGGAGCAATCATCAATGCATCGCCCTAATTGGATCATTGTTGTTGGCTGTACACACATTGTTGCCAGCTTTCCATCATAAAATGACTTGTATCCTGTTGTTGCCAACAATACCCATTGTTGCTGCTGAACGAAAATAAAATGTCATGGTTAGCTAAACTATTCCTCTAGTCGCTCTAGTGTTGCTCAGTATGGGTACGGATAAAAAAAATCAATCTAATAGTCAAAAAAATCAACACTCTCAGTATCACAGTATCACATCCATAATTGCCAGTTGTTTTTTAAACTGCTAGAAGGACTTATGACTCTCAACAATATGATTTTCAGCAGATCATTTGGGTGTTTCCCAAACTTGGGTGTTTCTCAAACTTGGGGGCACCCTTGCACCATTTGCCCTGGTCAAAAAACAACAACAACTTGTATAACAACTTTGGGTACCCCATGAGTTGGGGAATTCCCATGAGTCCCCATGATGCTACCCATCCAAGGTATCCCCACTCAGCTGACCCATTCATGGTGGAATCCCCTGTTCTGTTGACTCAAATCCCCAATTTTGTTATACTTACCCTATGAAACTCGGCAATTAGATACCCTGCATCTTTGTGTTCTTGCAGTTCCAGATTCGCATTTTTACCATCCAAAATCCCCAATGTTTGGTGATTATGTCTTTTGTTGAAGATGGTTTCACACAAAATCACCCAATGTCATCCATATGTCATGTCTTGAAACCAGTTTTCAACTGGGATTTCCCATGAAAATCCCCACGATTTTCACTCAATGGCCAGGTTGCAGAGCCGCGACATCAAGCGCCCAAAGCTCTCCGCCGCCAAGGCCCTGAGGGTATGAGTTTCTAGATATGGCTATGGGTCAAAACCCTGCTACCCAGTGAAACCCCAAAATAGTTCGTAAAATGGATCTTCATCCCACTAAAATTGATCATAGGTTTCAACCCATACCCATATAGATGGATCGATCAAGAGATTGATTAATAGATTGATTGACATAAATATATTGATATAAATATATTGATAGATACAGTAGGTAGATAGATGGATGGATAGATGGATAAATAGATTGATAGATTGATTGGTGGTCAGCTAGAAAGATATAGGTTCATAGATAGATAGATGAATTCTGTAAAATGTTATACTCATATGATATATATATATATATATACATATTATAGTTTAACTAATAAGGATTTAGTATCAAGGATTATCATGGGCAGTATCCATCATTCAGATTGACCAACAACTTGGATCTTTCCACATGATGTCCATCACATTAGGCAACCCAAAAAACAGTATTCTTGATAGTGATCCCATGAATCACCAGAAAATCGTCAACTAAAATCCCATTCAAAACCCGCCAAATTCAAATCAAATCCCATGACATCATCATTGAGTCACCATGAAGTCCCGTTAGCCACTGGAAAACCCCCATGAAAGCACCATCACCCAGAAATCAGCATGAAGTCACCATTCACCCTCAAAAAAAAACATATAAATCACAATCGATATCCCATGAATTCTGACTGAATACCATTAAATCCCATTAATTCTCCTTGTTGGTGGTTTCAACAAATCTGAAAAATATTGATCAGCTGTGATTATTATTCCCAATAATCCTTTCCCGCTGTTACTAAACCCCCCAAATACTAAAACATACTAAAACTAACTAGGGTCCATCTCCCAGTTTGGAAAATTTCAGGTTCGCCAATTTGACTTTTAATTGATCCCCTTCAGCCCTTTAGAAAACAATTTAGAAATAAAGCTACCATTTGTGTGTTTTGCCCCCTAATCATAAAAACTAGTTAACCCCGGGGTGTGTATTATTAGGGTCCTTGATCCCAACCCCTGAATCCAAGCTGCCTGGCTGCTCTAGCTGAGCAATATTTAGCTGACATGAGTCTGTCTTGCTGCCTGAAAAAGTGAAAGCCACTCCTCTGCCTTGCTGTCTGCAAGGTCTTTCTGAGCTGGCTGGAGTCTTGATTTTTTTAGATCCCATAAACACCTATGTTGAGGGTTTCCCTTAATTTTAGGAGGTTAAAAGAAGAATTCAAGACTCGACTCCAGCCAGCTCAGAAAGAGGCAGGCAGCCAGCAAGGGAACACATACAGTCCAAGCGAAGGCAGCCAGTCAGCCAGGAAGTCTTCCTGGCTGACTGGCTGCCTTCGCTTGGACTGTATGTGTTCCCTTGCTGGCTGCCTGCTTCTTTCTGAGCTGGCTGGAGTCTGAAAATTATAGATCCCAGAAACATATAATTAGGTTGTAAGGTTCCTTTAATTTTACGGGGTTAAAGACTAATTAATTAGCTTTAAAGGCGCCAGCCAACTCTGCACTACGCCTGCCTAGTTTCTGTACTGTCTGCTCGGCTGCTACATCCCTGTGCAGCTAGCCTGGCTGACTTCCAGGCTCTGCCAAGTCCTGTCTGGACTGGCTGGAATCTTTAATTTATAGATCCCACAAACAAACACCTATGTTGAGGGTTTCCTTAGTTTTAGGTGGTGAAACAGTATAATTATTAAAGATTCCAGCCAGTGCCTCTCTGCCTTTTTTTTTCTAGTGTCTGCCTGCCTCAGCTGCATCCCTGTGCCACTGGGCTGGCTGACTTCCAGGCTCACCTGCCTGCCTCACTCACTGGCACCAGCCAGCTGAAAGGAGCCCTGCCTCTCTGGCTCAAGAGCAGGTGGCTCTCTGCGCCCACTGTCTGATTGTTTCTGCCTGTCCTCGGTGCCTCTCCTGGTCTTCGCTGAGGCACATGTACGTGTCCTGAGTTTCCAGAATGAGGTAAATGATTAGAGGTTGAAGTGGAGGTTGATAGAATAACTTAGTCAGGAGGTATATATATATATGCAGTATAAAAATATATATATATATATATATAAGAAATGGAACCTATATGGAGATCTACATAATGGTATTCCTATTGCTACATAATGGGAACGGACATAATTATCATACTGCTGAATGGAACCGAAGTAATTATTTCACTTTTGTAATTATTCCAATGGAATTATTTGCTGACTATCTGATTGATGACCAGGTGAAGGAGCTGCCTGCTCTGCTCCTTGGAAGACAGACAGAGCCATGCAGGCAGCCCAGCCAGCAGCAGTTGTCGAGGCAGCGCAGCAGGCAGCCCAGCAGCCAGTGGTGGAGGAGCTGCCAGTGCTGCAAGAGCTGCCTCCACTTGCTGCTGGGCTGCCTCCACTTGCTGCTGCGCTGCCTCCACCACTGGCTGCTGGGCTGCCTGCTGCGCTGCCTCGACAACTGCTGCCGGCTGGTCTTGACTGTGTGTCTGACCACGCGGAGGGCTGACTGGCTAGCTGCCTGGCTGTTTGCTTGATCCCAAAAGCAATGGAGGCTTCCTGTGTGTGGACCTGACCCGCTGGATGCTGGATAATTACTGATTCTGACTATCTGCCTCATGAAACCCCTACTGTCAACACATGATTACTATATATACACGTATAATTGATCACATGAATATAATATATATATAATAATATAATATAATATATATATATATATATCTTCAAATAATGAATAGCATGAATTCGACTTTGGTTCCTTAATAATCAATACCCCCCTAACAATAAAAACTACCTGAGGTGTTTATTACTTGGGGAGGGGTGTTAGTATTATTAGGGGGAGGGGATTATATGGAAAAATAAAACATGTTCCAAACCACCAACCAGTCACTAAGTCCCCTAAATCCCCATGAAATCCATTGAAATCCCCACAGGTTTCCCATTTCTTCGCTCGGGCTCCGCACGTGGACTGCTCCCAGCTCCCCAGGGCGCCCCAGCCCGGGACGGCAGCGGCAGCCTTGGGTGGTGGATTTTTAAAGGGTGATTTGATGGTGGATTCACATGGGATGTTATGGTGATTGAATGGAATTTCATGTTGATTCATAGGGATTTAATGTTGAACCGATTTAATGGTTTTTTCTCGTTTTTTTTATTGTGTTTTGATGGGTTTGAATGATGATGTCATAGGGTTGAAGGGTGACTTAATGATGATTTCATGGGGTAACCAAAGGATGATTTCATGGGATAACCAAATATATGGCTTGACCTACCGAACCCCCCCGGTTTTTCATTGACATACCAAAAACCCCGCTGAATGTTCCTGAAATATGTGGACAATAATAGAAAATCCACGTGTATAGTGTATGATAGTATATGCATATATCATTGAACTAATACCATCTGGTTATTTAACATAGCCATGGAAAATCACCATGTTTAATAAATAAACCATCTATAAATGGACCATTTTCCATGGCTATGTTAAATAACCAGAGGGTAACAGAAATGCATCATAAAATACTCCCAATCTTTCAGATGTTGCCCAGGGCGCGCCCGCAAAAAGGTGTGGAGCTGCGCGGCATCCACAGCTTTCACGGCGCGGAAGACGTCCACCTTGGTGACTTTTCACCAAGAAAAAATGGGGATTTTAGGAAAAATTGGGGACTTCCACTAGCAAACTTTCGAAAAATTGGGGATTGTTGCCAACAGACATTGTGGACATGGTGATTTCAACATGATTGACGGATGTACAAAGGCCGTTTCAACATGTTTCAACCATCCGAAAGTAGGACTTAAGATGACTTACCCTCTGGTAAACTAACATAACTATGGAAAATCACTATTTTTAATGGGTAAATCAACTATAAATGACCATTTTCAATAGCTACGTTAAATTACCAGAGGGTAACCATCTAAAACATGGGAGCTCACCAGAACAGGTGATGTCAACAAGAAAGGTTTGAAAAGCGAACAAGTGGATTTCAGCAGAAACAACGAGGAGTTCATCATCCAAAACTGGACGGCAAGCGATAAGCCATTAACAATGACATTTTAACTGACCGGATTCGGGACATATGGGGTACCCCTAAATCATCAATTTTAAGAAGATTTTCCATTATAAACCATCCATTTTGGGGTATCCCCATTTATGGAAACCACCATATAATGACTAATTCCCTATTTGAGAGTACTTGTAACCCAGTTAAGAACTAAAGATTTGACATATGGGTCAATTCGTAGGTGGCATCATCCGGAAAAAAAAACTGGTCTTTTTAAGGACCTACTTAAAACAACCACCATTTAAGGTGATCCAATTCTGAGGTCCAAAGATTGAAGTTAAAATCGATGATTGATGGCTTGCATCCAATATTCACAAAATATGAGAACGAATTAATATAATGGAATATAATTGAACATTTATAAAGATATAATGAGGATATAATGGGGTATTTTTGGTCATATGTTTCGTGGGATTTACCCTCCGGATGGCTGGTTCGATGATTTTCCAGCCAGCCACGTTTGGAACACCAGAGGGTATGTGCCACTAATATCACCATTCTTGATATTTCCTGATAGTTAGTGGAACTCCCATGAAATCCCCTTAAATCAACATCAAATATCCCCATTTAAACCCTATAAATCAACTTGAAATCCAGCCAAGTACCAACAATCTGTGGTTCCTTCGGCTGAACGCCGCCAATGAATCCCAACTTAAAATCACTTCACAAATCACTTGTAGCAAGCCGAATGATAGAAATTTAATGTTTGATCGATACTAATCTATCTGAACATGTAATTAATTAATCTGTATGAATCTGTGAATCTATATTTATACCATATTATGTTACCATATACCATGTATCCAACCAAGGTTTAAGCCAAGCAGGTGAACCCACTGAAAGGTGAAGCAGCTGTCCTGCCCGGCCCGCATACGTCCGGCCCTGAGTCCGAGGCAAAGAGTCCTCCGTGACATGGGGAGGACATGGTGTGACTTTGTCGCTGGACCTTTATCTGGTAGTATCACTGTTGCTACTTGAGTATCATCATCATCATCATCATCATCATCATCATCATCATCATCATCATCATCAAAAAAATGAAAATCAGCTAGCATCTTAATTTTGACAGATTTCATTGATGATATACATGAATATACTACCATTTTATGTGGAATATGTTGACTATCTCACTCAGCTCTGGATCGCTCCCGCCTGAGGTCACCACTGGAGAGTGAATATCAATCCGTTTTCATCCATCCCGTCCGAAAAATTATGATCAATAATTGAATCGTTCAATGTTGTTCTCCGACTGTTCCGTCCGAAAAAAAATCCTATCAATACATACCAATAGCATCCTAAACCAAAGAAATTGTCCTGCGGAAAGCCGTCAATTTGTTGTAGACTTTCCATTCGTATTGGAAACATTCGCCACTCCAACACATGTATACTCTAACTCTTACCATGCAGGTCTCTGGACTACTGTGTGTTGCCTGGCAAGTGCTATCATATACGGAAGAAACGACCGTAGATATGGAGAATGATCCATGTAATGTGTAGATCATGTCCAAATAAATCCAGGCATGTCCATGGCGCCGTCCTTCACTCCAAAGGCTTGAGAAGAAGATTCCCGCCCAATCTTTGGCCTGGAAGATCCAAATTTTGGAGCCATGGTTCGAAAAAAATGGAGAGATACGGAGAGATAGACCTAATGTGTGTCTATATAGTCTATATGTGTGTGTATATATATATGATGTAGTTCCTTTTTTTGTGTAAATCATGAAGAGATAAACCCATAACTAGCTGTACTATATTGACAAGCTACACTTGGGTCATTTTGAGAGGTACATGTTTTGGTCAAACAAAAACATGGATGACCTGGGCCATGGATTATACCAATTGGTGATGATTTCAGATACATACTATCTAGTAGCTCATATAGTTTAATCTGTGTACATCACCTCATACCAAGTACATCCAAGTACTATATCTGCTAAACTTGCAGATACCAATTGAAACTAAATGGTAATTAAGATCTACACCCCTCTCAAAACCAAAAAAAAACAGGTATGATTCCCTCTGAAAACCCAATGGTTTCTGCTATGAGAACCATAACCATTGGCTTATCTGCTCTGCCCCAAATCGGCCTTGGCTGCCACCGCTGGACTCAGTTGCGAGTCATCCACCTTTTTTAACCACGACTTTTTTTGTGCCCTCCGGCCATGAAACATGATGAAAGATGGCAATGATGTTAGATCCATTTAGTTCAATCTTTACCCAGTACATGGGGTTTTGTCCTGGGATATGTCACATATGTCCAAGAATATGGAGATACAATGGGCATAGAATGGGATTTAAAAAAAACCTGAGATTTTTTGTGTGTCTGAGAATGGAGGTATCCAGGTATCCCCCAATATGGCAATTTCAATGCGAAAACGATGATAAACCTGTGACTTTTAGGGGTGCCCATTCTCAGACAAAGCCCAAATCAAACATGATCAGTGCTTGCTTCTCCAAGTCCCCCGAGCTGGCGAACTGCATGAACGAGAAGTCATGATTCTACCCTCTGGTAAACATACAAAAAAGCTATTGAAAATGGCCATAGACATAGTGGATTTACCCACTAATAGCATGGTGATTTCCCCTCGATTTTTCTATGTTTACCAGGCCGGGTAACGTCTGGTCCAGTCCGCTTAATCCACATTTTCCGCCGCTCTTCAGCAGAAGTCTTGCCATCCATGCAACGTTCTAAAATATTCCAAGCACGTTAGGCGCTGGCGGGCGAATGCCATTGCCACCTGCAGCGTTGGCACTTGAGATTTGGACAGTGAAAAAAAGTGTGACACCCAAAGTTCCGTTTCTGAAATCCACAGTGACAATGTCCACGTTTCGAAAATCATGGTCCAAAGCTCACAATTCACTGACCAAACCGGGCGAATTAATCGAGTAAAGATGAGTGAAGCCATCGGTTGGAAACCATCAGAATCGTAGCATCCATTTTACAAGACAAGCCAACCGTCATCACTGGCCATTGGCAACCAAACAGTTTCCCCAGTTTAAGATCAACCCATAAACCCACTCGGAAGGACGTAGGGGATGTCTGGTTTTCCTTTCTTGAGGGCTTTATCAGTATACATAATTTGTATACATACATCTATGTAATATAATGAAATACAGTATGAAGTAGAGTCAAACCAAATATAAGATAACATAATATGATACAGTAAAGATAAGGTATACATATATAATAATATTATATATATATATCCCATCATGATATTCAAGATTACCCAAGTGATATTCCGAAAGAACTTCCAGTTTTCAGACAAAGCCACTTGGTTTACTCACTGGACACCTAAGCTGCTGCAAAGCGTGAGTGCGAGTTGCGGCACTGCGGGCATTTGCTGCGACTCTCCGACCTTTTTTCGGGAACACCCCGCGACGGAAAATTGTGACGTGAGTTATGCTCAGAATGACAGAAGTTGGAACAACAAACTACAGTAAAACTATGTACCCTCTGGTAAACTAACATTTATAGTGGATCTACCCATTAAAAATGGTGATTTCCCATGGTTATGTCAGTTTACCGAAGGTAAATATGTCAATCATGGGCAAATCATAGGAAAGCATGAGGGGATATGGGGATATCAATGGAAAATCAATAGGAATAAACCGGGATACACAGATCATGGGGTTAAGGGAAAACTACAGGAAGCATCAGGAAACTATCAGGGTTTCTATCATCAAAATCAAAAGTTGGGAGTTCCCGCAAATGTTGCCTTCAGCCATTTCCCAGTTATTCCCCATGTCTCCTTGCGATTGGGGCAACAATGCGGTGCAAATTTCGACTTTCCTTCTGAAGCAGCACCATGGCCAACTGCCGCCACCGCCAAGAGGCTCACTGCTAAGCACACCTTCGAAGCACTCGCTGTGGTAGATGTGGTTACATCCCAAGACCTTTGCCAGGTTTGCCAGGTTTGCCAGGTTTGTGTCACATGTAAGTTTGCATATCTCGTTGTGCAGCTTTTGGCGTAGATGGTTTGTATATATGAGAAGAATATATAGATAATTGATGATAACTGTGCATGTATTTATAATATTTTATAATCTAAATATAACTATAAATTATGCTGTACAGTTCTAAATTTCATGATGTTTCTATTTTTTGCCTGATAGCCAAGTGACTGAAACTTCATGAAACTTGTAAGGCATCCTTACCGATCGTCCCTGGGAGTTTACCCAGCCCAAATCCACAACTCGTCTCTGGTAAACATATAGAAAAAGCTATTGAAAATGCTGATTTATAGTGGATTTATGTGGATTTACCCATTAAAAATGGTGATTTTCACCATAGTTTGTTGTAAATGGCCATAGAAATAGTGGATTTACCCAGCTACATAGCATGGTGATGTTCCCATCCGTTTTTTGTATGTTTACCAGGCCGGGTAGTCTCAAGATGTTTCAGAAGTTTCAAGATTGATTTCTTACAAGTCCAGGACGCACATCTCCAGAAATCTCCAACACAATTGAAAGGAAAGCATCTCCAACTTCCAACTCTGAAAAAACCAAGGCGCAATCTGTGGCCGACCATCTTCCAAGTTCTCCAAGCAAATGGCGCAAAGATCCGCCGCGGCGACGCCAGCGTCACCGTCCGCCAGTCCCTGGGAGCGTTCCACAACTCATCACTAAGGATACATATGTAAAAAGTCATGTAAGGGATATGGCCATGGATCAATACCTATAAATACCATTTTTGGGGGGATGAACATCCATTTTCGAGCTATTTTGATGTTCACCAGGGTTACAAGGTTTTGAGCCATCCCCATATACCCCCAGAATATGTCACATGATACAGTGCCTCTATGAAAAAGGGTCCTGAAATTCCCATTGCTGGTTGTTACATTGTTTTCTCTTTCCTTGGGACACACAACCAACTGTACCATGCTGAATCATGCTGATTCATGAACTCCTCCAAGGATTGCTCTATCCCAAGGCATGTACCCAGCCGTTGCTGGGAAAATTCCCCCAGGTTTGTTGCATCACCTATTGCTGGGAACATGATCCCCCAAGTTTACCTGGTTGGTGGTTTCAGCCATCTTGAAAAATATTAGTCAATGGGAAGGATTATCCCATATATTATGGAAAATAAAAAATGTTTGAAACCACCAACCAGATAAGTTCTCAATTTGTGACATCAGTGACATCCCTAGTTTTCAACTCACGGTCTGAAGACCCCTGGCTATGGGTCATGCTCACAGGGTCGCAGAAAATTCATCCAGCACGAAACATCCAAACATATACCATACCCCCAGAATCCAGAAACCATAAAACCTTGAAAAGAAAACAGTAGCCATGCTAAGAACCATGTTTTTCCAACAGATCTACCCCCCAAAAGCACCATTTTTTTGTGGTAGCATTGGCATTTTATAGCATGTTATAGCATTTTAACAGCATGTTTGACAACATTTGACAACATTGTATATAGGATGTTACAGTGATAATCAATTATATATTATAACTATATATCGTGTATATATATATAATAGCATTCTAATAGCTTATATGGCTACACACAAAAAAAAAAAACATGTGTATTCCAACTGTTCCATGCATTCTCCACCTGTCGTTTCAGCCCAAGGCACATGTCCTTTCAGCGCCTTCCGATAGAGGGACGCTTTCTCCGGGAGCGACAGGACCTCATAGAGTGATCGCCACAAAAATCGTTGGATAAGAATCATGGGATGTTTACGGTGATTGAATGAGATTGATTTTTTTGGGTTTTACTATGTTTTACTTGTGATTCATGGACATTTCACCAAGAAATCATTGGGATATTAATAGGAACTATAGCCAAAAAAAGCTTCTGGTAATGAAACGTGGCAATGGACACCCATTTGCAAGGGATATTCCCAGCTAAAAGCTTCAGGGGGATTCTCCAGCGATCGCCACGACAAAAACATGACTTGGGGCTGAAATGACTGGTGAATTTCTGATTTTACATTCAAAATTGGATTTTATATGATTCTATTTTACCATAGGATTTTAAGCCGCAGAAAGTGAGCTGTCAAGTTTCGACCAAAAACCAAACCCTCAATACGTTTGAACAGCATAAGCAGCCGTTATCTTTGGTCGAAACCAAAGATAGTCAGTCCTCCGAAACCTCTCAACCCGAAAAGAACTATTTAAAAACAAAAACATGATTGACACCAACCATTTTTTTTAGTTGATTGAACCACATTGAAAACCCATCTTTAAAAAAAAAACACGCCACTCTTCACTTCCGAAGACCAGCGACGTGTTCGCAGAGATTGGCCAAGTTCGTCAGGATATTCACCTCCACACGTCGGTCCCCAATCTTTCGCGCCAAGGTCAGCGCCTCCCTGCAGGCGATCCATGGTGCGCACGGAGGTTTGATGCAATGGGAGGTACCCAAAAACATGGCCAATGTTTATAAAGGATTTTGATGGATTTTGTACCCCTAAATCACCAATTTATATCAATTTAGAATTTAGGATTTTCATGATTTTTCATTATGAACCAACCATTTTTGGGGATCCCACATTTATGGAACCCCCGATATGTATCCATATGTGCCATGGGCATAAGACGGTATTGGATGTATATGGTTTATGGATGTTTATGGTCATTTTATCCCATGACATGGGACTCGAACTATGGACTCCAAACATCATAGGTAGATAAAACCCTATGAACATGGATTGACCATCCCCAATAGGGACAAACATCATCCAACTTTTGACTATGGCACTGGCATGGATATCAGATGATATCATGTGATGATGGGTCCTTATTTTTTTCAACTTTGACGGATAGATACGGATAAGAATCTCATGATTTGGGTAGATCTGGATGAGTTCACGTTATCGGGTAGCCCAAAATTTGGGATGGCGTCCTCCGGTCTGAAATATTAACCCATACATCATACATCCATCCAGCATAGCCAAAGTTTGAAATACCATGGGTAGATTTCGCAAATAACAAGAGTTGGCAAACGATACAATGGTGGGATATCCCACCAACTTTTTCAGTGGAGTCAGAAAGTTGTCAAAATATTGTAGGTCCAACTTGCCAAAACCTTGCGGCAGAAAGCAACTATATACTGTACTATGTCGTAATTCATAGGGTTATTTACCTATTGAACATAGGTAATCTATGTTCACTTACCACAGATTATCATGGTAATTATTCTATGTTTTTGCTGGGATCTTGCCACTTCAATCTCCATGTTGAGGTCCAATTTTGTTCCATAGCAACCGGACACAAAGACCATGCAAGCGCTCCATCGAAGCACACAAGACACGTGAAACTTCCAAGAAATTTGAGGAAAGCGTCCGCATGACTATATGGAGAAAATCCTATTAAAATTGGTGATTTTGGGGTACCCCCATTTTAGGAAACCTCCATATGCTGCATAAGTGATAATCCCACTACTAGTACAAAAGTTATTGTAGGTTTGCTTCATGATATGACATTCCACAGATTGTCCAAAATGTCGCATTTGTGAAAGATTCGTTCCCTCTGTTGAAGGCCCAAGGTTCTCATACTCCTTCTGAGCCTCCTCATACCTGCAGTTTGCCGGCTCTGTTTGGTTTTCTTTTGCGCACTGGAATACACACTTTGCAATAGCATTTGAAGAAGGGTATTCTAAGTATTCTATGAACGATTTGTTGAGTACAACACTAACATCTAGCTCAGGATAGTTTATCCAACTATTCGACGGCAGGAGATGGCCATGGCGAGTCGGTTCCGCTTGGCCTTGATCCAATTGAACCTGAAACTCATCGCCAAAATTCAGGTGCACGGTATATCAGGTATACGGTATGCTACAACTGGGATAACTATACAACCTAAAAATGACCCATTTTTTAGCTGGATTTGGGGTCCCTGTTGCCTCCCAATCGCTATGTCGCCTCCATAAAACCCCTGGCCTGTCATCTGCACAGAGTGCCGAGGCGTAGTTGGCTAGAAGGGTCACCTCAGACAAAAATTGGATCATGTTCTGCAAATGACGACTCCAAGGTAATAACAATTACCCTCTGGTAAACTAGCATAACTATGGAAAATCACAATTTTGAATGGGAAAACTCACTATAAATGGCCATTTTCAATAGCTATGTTAAATTACCAGAGGGTAAAAAAGATGATGCTTGTAATACTATTGTTACTATAAACATGAACAAACCAACTTCGGTTTTTGCGGTCCAAAATATGCCAAATTTTTTGTTCCCCTGGGTGACTTCTGGATGTCACTGGGTGCGGCACAGTGCTGTGGGTGTTACTCCCATCCTGCAGCTTCAGGGCCTTGCGGAAGTGCTCCAGGGATTCCTCGGATCACACAAAAAAACCTGAGATTTTCAAAAAGAGATTCTTGGGGTGCGGGGTACCCTCTGGTAAACTAACATAACTATAGAAAATCACCATTTTTAATGGGAAAATCCACTATAAATGGGGTATTTTCTACAGCTATGTTAGTTTGCCAGAGGGTAGCAGAGAAATCTGGCTTCGTTTTGTTTATAGTTTGCTCCCAAGACCCTAGAAATTGAAGGGTCAAAACCCGGATGACCATCCGAGCCAAGAGCTGGGCCATACAAGCATCGTAGTGAAAATCTGCAGGGATGCACAGACACTCCAAGTGCTATGAGAATGGGGGAGTGCTGGTATCCTAGCACCCACCCTCTGGTAAACTAACAGTTCGCGAACTGGAAAATCACCATGTCCAATATGTAAATCAACTATTTCTATGGCCATGTTCAATAGCTTTAAACAATAACCAGAGGGTATTTAAGTTGGTGACTGTTCACCCTTCCAGCGGGATGACCGTCCCCATATGGTTCTGATCCAATTTGCGCCTTGAGCTGGTTATCCCATTCATTGTATCCCACTTGATCACCATATGACATATATCCCCCTTATGATATGCAACCGAATGCAACCATGGTGGTTAAATCCTTACCAATCCCCATGTTTTATATCCCCAATTCATCCAACTACAATGAATAAATAGATAAATAATGGATGCATGTGCCAGGTCAATGGATAAACAATGGATCAATGGTAACATATCCCATGAATTACATTGGCTTGGTGGGAAAATCTTAACCAGAAACCATGGTTTTTACCATGAAATATGGGTGTTTCCGGTTAAAAAAAAAACGTAAACCGATCCAATGACAATTACATTCATCACCAATTACATGACCCTCTGGTAAACTAACATAGCTATGGAAAATCACTACTTTAATAGCAAAATCAACTATAAATATCTATTTCTATGGGTCATCTAGACAATGGCTATGTAACAAATTACCGGAGGGTAGTAATTAGTAGTCATTGTTATGCCATTAATAGGCATTGTTATCCCATTATCCCATTAAATTATCCCGTATTATCCCATTATTATCCTATTTTACCCATGAATAGCCATATTAATCACCATATTCATATTATCCCATTATTATCCTATATTATCCCATGAAATTACCCATTATTCCTATTAATAGTCATGGTTACCATCTGGTTATTTAACATAGCCATGGAAAATCCCTCATAAATGGAGGTTTCTAGCTGGGAAAATCATCTATTTCTATGGGCCATGGCTTCCATGGCTATGTTAAATAACCAGAGGGTAAATCCCATTAATTAGCAACATTCCATACTGAAAAATATCATTAAATCCCTAATAATCACCATTAAATCCCTATATTTAAGAACATTTCTTAGGGTCACATGGCACCCACCGAGCCCTCGAAGCGCCATCAGCCAAGCCTCGGCACGTCGTCCTTCCATCTGTCCAAGGCACATGCCCAAATTGCCTGGAAGAAATGTAGCGCAGGGCTGCAAATTTCACTTTTTATAAATGCACCTCATATATATATATATATATATATATAGTAAATATTATAATTTATATAGCATATATATATATATAAATATATATATATATATATGATGTTTTAATGAATATATTATAATAATATGTTGTATTACGTGTGTTATATTATATTGTATATTATATATGATATATGATATATGAGATTTTATTAAGTATATATTATATAATATGTTATATACATATATGGATATTGTATGTTATGTACATATATGGATATATATATATATATACATTATGTATATTATATCATATATCATATATTTGGGTAAATAATAACAACCTCACATCGCGACCAAAGCCTGGAATAGTAGGGGTAGCTATCCCAAAATAGCCCAACTTTTCAGTTTAGTGAATTATGTTACCCAAATAGACATATATATATATATTACATATATATATATGATTATATATATGCAAGATTTCAAGACATTTCACAACATGTCACATTCAAACATTTTTTTAATGTGTTTTCTCACTTGTTTCCCAGCCGATTTGGAGAAACTTTTGTCATCTCAGAGCACCGCGCCGTGCGTGCCGCGCCTTCGGCGATGGCTTCTTCGTGAGGGGACAAGACCCGCTTGGCCAACATCAAGGACTGGAAATACCTCAGCTGGGAATTTTCGAACGGATGGAGACATGATGGGTTTATGATGGTTTTTTCGCTTCTTTTCTCATTGGAAGCTCCAATGAAGTGCCTGTCACATGCATCCATGGTCCATAGTATAGATGCTGGTAAATGACTTTGCAAACTTCACCAAGTAGAAGTAATAGCAATCAACCATAAGGTTGTTTCCCGAGCTGCAAATGTTCCGCTTCATCAAGGTGCTCCTGTTTCACCTCCAGCTGCAATGGATTGGTGAACGCACTTAACATCTGTGGCCCCCTAGCTGGCTCAATCAATACCCCAGCAACATGAAGCTAAGGTACATCTGGTAGATACAACTCTGCCTAACGAACGTACACTAAGCCACTAAGCGTTTGAGACATTGCCACAACGAATCGCAAAAAAAAATCTGCACGACGAAGCACCAGACATGTCAGGTAGACGTGGCCTCGTGGGAGCCCATACCCGTTAGCACGTTGAAGGACAACTGCATGTCCTTGGCGCACAGCATCGTGGAGGATGTGAAAAAACAAGAATTGACGATGCAAGCAACACACAAGAGAAGACACATACTACATACATAAAAAAAATCATATAATATATGTATAAATATGTATATTATATATAATATTACATATATATATATATATTATAATACTATATATATAATATTATATATATAATGTTACATATATATAATATTATATATATATACATTCATAAAAGATCTCATACAGTATTACAGTATATCCAACAATCCAACAATCATTCATCACCCCAGGGTTACTATCCAACAGGGCTACTATTCAATCAAGTTGCCTTGGCACCCTGTCATTCTTGAAACTTAGAAGAACTTCCACAACATACCCAGAACATTCAGAAAACTTCCAAAACATTCAAAAACCTTCCAAAACAATCAAAACAACTCCCCACACATCCAGTGCATGCAGGGCAAAGCAAGCCAGAAGGACACCTTTTTTTTTAAGCCTTCTTCCTTGCTGCCTTCTTGGCAGGAATGTCAAGTTTTTTTTTGTTGGCCCTTGCATTTTCTGTACCCAATCGGGCCCAATGCTTTGCATGTGTGTGCATCAATCTTACCAGGAGCCTGTGCAACTCTGCCCCCCAATTCAAAGCCAGGTTCCCCAGAAATAAATCATTCCAAATCATACCAAATCATTCAGGAATTAAAAGGAATGTTTTGGAATGATAGTCTGACATCAGAAATAAGAGTAGATAGTACCCCTCTGGAATGGCGCCCGTATCCTCAGAGAAGAAACAAGCCTCGGGCGACGCCTGTCCCCCAGTGGCTTCATGTTCACCCTATGTCGATGCCAGGTGTCGTCGTGCTGATGTGCCAGTTTCATGGCCTGCTTGTAGGCAGCATCAATCTCCTGGCGACTGTCCCATGTGCCGGAGAGACGAATCATGCCAACGCAAAAGTGGGGGACTGATGTGGCCTGATAAAGGGTAGATGAATCATGTAAAGTTAGTTAAAATCTAAAATGATATCAATGATATCTAATATGATAATCATACAATTACGTGTACTTATGTGTACTTAACACCTGAAGCAAAGAATTCGGTCTAGAAATTTGCGATGTCCCATCAAATACATTCAAATACCATGAAACATTGAATCTGTGCGCGGCATTGTCTACTCAAAGGATAACTGCTACCCCAAACCATCAGTCAATTTCGATCATCATCCCAAGTAGTATGATAGGCTATTTGAAGCCATTACCAACCAAATATATCCATCAAAGAATAGTAATAGATCCGGGTCCTGTAACATGATTTTCTTCACCATTGAGTTCTAGTTCGTCAACCATTTACGGTTGAAACATGTTGAAACCCTAAATTTGGTCCGTTGAATCTTGGCCCCGTCCTCTTCCGGCGCATTCAGCTTGTCTAGGCAATTGGCCAGTAAGCGATACGCTTGCCCCTCCTGGCCGATGAGGATGCTATGAAGGTGCCGTCTTCCAGGATGAGAAAGGGCTATGATTCGGGTGTACCCTGAAATTGGTCCTTTCAGGGAAAATGATGACAAACCAATGAGTTTAGGGGTACCATATTTTCAGACAAACTCGTTGATTGGAGACTTTCTTTTGACTGGTGGTTGATTGATCCACTCAGTGGAGTGTATGATCAGTCTAGCTCTTACATGCTCTTACTATATCAAATATATGAATGTGCAAACCCATACCTAGGCCAGAAAAAACAACAAATTCACATCTGTGGATGCAATAGTTTTGTTTAAAGACCTACCAAAAAAACACATCATCACATTGTATCCCCATTCTCATTTGGGTGTAAAACCCTCCAGTAAACTAACACTTCGATGTGGAAAAGCCACCATGAATTTTCCGATCATTTTCCCAGGGTTTCCGTATGTTTACCCCAACAGGGTAACCCCCCTGAACACCCCCAGAAATTCACCAAAAAACCATGGGATTAAATGAGCCATGAAAAATAACCATATCCCAGCCCATTTATAAAATTTATAGTGGTTAGTAAAAACATCATCCCCAAATAAACCACTTTGTATAACCCCCAACCAAATTAATTGGAGTACCCTCATGACTTCGGAAACCTCCACATAATTATCGACCAACTAGAGTTAAAACCCTTTACCAGTTATCTTTATGGTTATAAATGGGCTTGTCATTCAAAAAAAAATGAGGTGACTAACTGACTCATAACTGGTATTTCGGGCCAAAACTGTAGGGATTCAGGTACCCCCAAATCATTCATTTTGGATCATTTTGGGTGGATTTTCCACTGTAAACCAGCTATTGGGGTATCCCCTCATTTGTGGAACCCCCCAGATAATCGTCAACCAACGGCCAGGAACGTTGGGGTATACCTCCTGTCTTCCATGGCCATCCACTCCCAACACCGGGAGATGCTGGGAACGACGGAACGACCGGCTCGTCTCCTCCTTGCCCAGCTGGGCGTCCGAAGCCAAACGCCGCATGCAGTCGAAGCTCCTAAAATGCCGAGATGGAGCCATTGAAAGTACCATCTGGTTATTTAACAGTTCGCCATGGAAAATCACCATTTTTAATAGGTAAACCATCTATAAATGGGCCATTTTCCATGGCTATGTTAAATAACCAGAGGGTAGATGATTTGCTAGTTGAAGTTTTTCTTCATAGCTGTGTAAAATTGACAAACTTGACAGAGGGTATCTCATACATGAGTAATAAGGATTTAATGAAGGTTCCTGATTTAAAATTGATTTGAGGCCTCACCAATAATGGAAATCCCAGTGTGTGGCCAGTAGTACAATTATACTATATATATGTTATATATATATATATAAGTGTGGCACAACCCAAATTTGGTGAATAATAATGTCAAATCATTGAAGGAATCTAAAATCTGATTTAAAATCATGATAGTTGTAGCTTTTCTGCATGGTATATAATTCATTCCCTTTTTTGGGTGGGTTCCCCACGTGCAGAATTTCTGTCCAACACTGGTTAAAAATGGGAGTTCGGGTACCTTCTATCTGAAATCTGGATTTGGGAGTCAATGGATCGAAGCAACAAAATGGATCAATCCATGGAGCATGGGTGACAATAAATGATCAAAAGATATCAAAAGGTCCATCTAACCCTTAAACATATGGAGGTCATTTGGGATCATTATCGCAGGTAAGATGCTTTTTCGAGGAACCCCAGGGACCCCAGGCAGTTTTCTGCAGCTCAAGTCAGCAAGTTTGGATTCACATGTAAGGAACATTGAGGAACTACAGCAACAAACATGCAAATTCAACCAGAAGGAAGTGTAAACAACAACAGCTAGTGCAATGGGGGATGACACATTCTATCAACAGCAAGAGGGATATCCAATCCAGTACAAAATGGAAATGCTCCAGTGCCTTTGTTCTCACTTCAGGACCAACAACCAGCCCGAATCCCTCACAACTCTGGGCCATGTTCCTCGCACGTTGGGGACGATCGTCCCAAAAAATCAAAACACTATGGCACTATGGTTGGAACTTCGGAACCGCTGTATAAAGATAACCTGAGACCTGTGAGCTTTGACTTCATACTGGTTTCCACAATTGGCTGGTTTTGTATCCCCATAACATCCCATTACCATTCAAACTAAAGCCAATTAAAATCCATAAAATCACCTTTTGACGGAATGACATGCGCACACCCAAAAAAAATGAATCTCATGAAAGATATAAATCAAAAGACATAGGCTGGAATTCAGCATTAGGTTGGGCACACAAACCCGGGACGACTTAAGACAATGCTGCACGACTTGCGGCCGGTACCGTGTAAGTCACCATGCATTCCTGTGTTTTTTTTCGCCCGTCCATCTTTCATTACCTTGTAGAGCGTCGTTTTCGCTTCGCGGAATGCGCAGCTGTGGAAGAAGCGAACGCCAGCCTGCGAGGCGACTCAGATTGGAAGCTAGGAGAAGTTGTGGATGAATGGTTAACGGATAATGGGTATTAACCTAGCTCTCAACCATTAGTCAGGAGATCGAGTGGGATGGACAATGGTTGATAAATCTTAGTGGACACATTTGAAGTCGATTTTACCAGATATCATGTAACAATTTATGAAAAGTATATATACCATTGGGTTATAATTGTACCAATACAAAGCCCAATTCATTCCACTTGGATATGCGTTTTTTCCAGTAGCCTCTGGTGATTTATCTTTTTGCGAATGGGACATCAAATATGGCTGGCTGGGAATTCCACGAACTAAAGGGGCTTCTATAGATGAGAATATCATCTACAAATGGGGATTGGTAATTCATTGCATGTACATCCAGAGGCCCATTGGATGAGTATTGATAATCCATAGATAGTCAATTCTCTATGGCCTGTGTAGACATCCATTTTGTTCCATGATTTACCGTTTTAAAGTGGTGATGTTCCATTGCAATTTTTAAATTACCATAAGGGTACCATTATATTCCTATTGTATCTTAGACTATAACACTATATTATTGTGTTTATCACACATTATTCCAATTACAGGAGAGTATCCATAATTCATCCATGATTCGTGGTTATACCTGGACCCACATTATTCCCATCCTATTCCCATTTATCCCCATTAGTATCCCTCCCATTTAGTATTGGGTGGATCCTACATTATTCCAATTATCCAATATTCATCCATGATTGTTGGTTATACCCCCATCTATTATTAGCCACTAATTATCAACCATTATTGGGTGGATCCCACATATAATTCCTCCCACATTATTCCAATCATCCATGATTCATCCATGACTGTTGGTTATACCCTATAATTTACCCAGATTATAGGGTATGGATGTAATTATTTGAAGGGTAAATTATTTGAAGTATTCCCTGTACTAGTAATCTCCATTTGTAGTAATACCATGACTGTTGGTTATACCCAAATCATGCATTTGACTTTTTTAGGTCATGGGATTTAAGGGGAACCCCCATTATACGTTTAGGTGGGAATCACCTATAATTATTCCAATCAACCATTTTTGGGAGCATCTGCAGTATTCCCCACCCTAAAAATCTTCCCAACATTTTCCGAGTTCCATGGGTCCACGTCCGTCATCATAAAACGCCTCCTGTTCGCGTAAGACAGCATCCTTGGCCTTGGAAAAAAACATGGCAAGTCATCCGGATAGCCCACTGGGTAATTTTAATGCTACTTTAATGGGAAAATCCTAATATATATATATATATATATATATATGTGTAAGTAAAATGGTGATTTAATGGGACTTAATGGGATTTAATGGGGATACATATGTATATATATATAATTATTTATAATTTTGCTACATAGTTATGGCAAGCGATGGATGAAACTGGACCAAGTTATGAGTCCGATGATTTTCCGTAGGTTTTGACATCTGACATGATTAAAAACCTGGGCATCTGGCCATACAATTATTAGGTTTTTGTTGGACATAGGTAGATATCTATACAATATTATATACCCATAGGATCCATGGTGCTGCTATATATGGTAACATTTACCATCAATATACCCCCAATGTTAGCATATATACCATACATGGATCCTATGGGATATATATATATATAATGTATATTATTGTATAGTGAAATCATAAATACACCCAGATTCGGGCACAAGAATCTTGACCGATTCATACCCACAATGCCTTCATCAAAGGCACCGCCGCCTGACGTGCTTCCAGCGTTTCCGCAGTGGAAGGCTTCACGGTTTCGGCCGTCGCCGGCGGCTCAGGGGTTTTCTTCGCCTGCGGGAGGTCCAGTTAGGTATACCTAAACCACCAATATCATAGTACATCATAGTATTTTAGGACAAATAACATCCGTCTATAATGTACTATGATGTACTATAATATCCACTAGAATAACTGTACTATGTTGGTTACATGCACAATACAGCATCTTATCCCCATAGGTATTTCATCTGTTGGCTATGATATGTTGTGGTAATCCCCAATACTCTAAAAACTAAAACAATCTAAAACCAAATAGTACCAGTGCCTACAATACACAATCAACAAAATATATTTCAAATGGTTGCGATTGGCCTCCCTTCCTTTAGATACTCTGAACTCCAACCTTTGGCAAGTCTCAAATCAATATCAGTTATGTTTCAGCAAAATAAAATTGCTGCGCCATGTTGCACCACCTTTCATTTGAGGCACATATATCTATGTTGTTGCATCAACATCATGCATGCTACCTTTGAAGTATGTCTTTCCCCACGCAAAGTAAAGTCCAGCCAACATAGTAACATAAGATACATATATATATATAGAATCATATTCAATCGTAAATATTAACTAATATAGTACGATATATTCGATCCACATATAATTCCCATTCAAACAAACCAATATAAATATACTGTAGTAACATAATAGTTAACATATGAATATGTTTCCCGTTTTTTTTGCCTCCCATGGTTTTCCCATGGTTTTCCCATGCTTTTCCCCACCTTCTTGGCCGGCTTGTTGAAGAACCCCCGCGCCAATCCCGATTCGGCCCTGGGCCGCGGCGCCGCCTTCACCGCGGCCGCCACGTCCGACGCCGGCGGCGCCGGCGCCGGGGCGGGCGGTGGCGAGGGCGACACCGACGACACGGTCGGCCTCAAAGCAACGAGACCCGGCTGGTGATGTACCCTCTGGTAATTTAACATAGCTATTAAAAATAACCATTTATAGTGGATTTTCCCATTAAAAATTGTGATTTTCCATAGTTATGTTAGTTTAGCAGAGGGTAACGTAGCTAGAGAACATCATTCTAAACATGGAGAAATGTGGCATGTCTAATAGGTAAATCATGATATATTATAAATATAGTTTTAAATGGATCTCTCTATGATCTCCTTCAACCCTCCGATTTGTGGATCGACACTTGAGCAGTGTTCAGAAACCCCGAATTCGTTTCATTTCATGTTGGTTAAGAACGGGACTCCCAGTTCATGAATTATGACAATCCCAAATTAGTACTGGGGAGCATACCTCCCTATAATCATCAACCAACCATCATTTATCACTTTTTACATATAATTATTGTTCACTTATATCCCTCTATTTTGACAGTTAACTGCCCCAAGAATGAAGCATGCCATCCATTCATACTTATGTTACATCATCCCACATATGTCCCAATTGGGGATGGCATCTTGGGTTACCCTCTGGTAATTTAACATATCGCTCTGGAAAATCATCATCTTTAATAGCTAAATCATCTATTAATGGGCCATGTTCCATAGTTTCCATTTATCTGGGCAAATTATATCAAATGACAGTAATTCACTAACCTGAAACTTGCGGCCATTTTGGGATGATTCCCTGCAATCTAACCATGATTCCAGGGTTCGGTCGCAGCTCCATGCCCCTTGAAGCCGTGGCAGGCGGCACTGCCACTGTTGTCGGGTCGATGTCACCCGACTCCAACGTCACCATCTCCGGGTCACGCTGCGCATGCTGCGCAACAATGGCGGAGGGCCGTGAAGCGCGACTCAGGCGCCATCTCCTGAGGTGGGTGGGTTGGAAGCAAATGGACGCTAGTAATTGATCGCTATTTCTCTATATATCACTATATAAAATCGTGCTACTATAGATCATACACAATAATAGTATCATAATGGTAAACAAAATTGCAGTAAGCGATATTGTTTGGAGTTAATGCATAAGTTCATCGTCTAATTACCATAGTAGTTTATATGTACAATTTTTGGGGATAACCCAAATTAACCAAGAGAGTTTTGTGGAATCCGGGTTTGGCATTGGGAAACAAATAATCAACTTAATTAATAAGGAATTGAACATAATAAAATAGATGTTGTGATGATAATTTGGCGATATTGTTTGACATGTGACATGTTATTTGTTTGAATTGAAATTTTGAAGGCGTGGCAAAGGAACACAATTCTGGGATACCCTCTGGTAATTTGTTACGTAGCTATTGAAAATACCACATTTCTAGTTGATTTACCCATTAAATCCCACTAATAACATGGTGATTTTCCATAGTTTTATGATGTTTTATGTTAGTTTACCAGAGGGTACATGATACATACGAATTTAGATCAGTATGGATCCGCACACTACTTGATCTACTTGATGCAGCCTGAATCCATCTCAACGCCGTTATTGTCACTGATCTTCAATGTTGCTGAACCCGGCCACATATCCGCATGTCTTCTTCATATTATCTGAGAATATCTCAATAATTGAACTACTTTAAACTGGTCAAAACATGTCTTTAACAGTTCTGATATGTCATGCCGTATCTTTCCTTTTCTGATAATTTCTGATGAATCATCTAAGCTTCGGCATACTTCGACTTTGAATGAGATGAACCTCTCCCAACTTCTAAGCTTAGCCAAGCGTAAGGCTTAGAATGACCTAAACTTGCCTTCAACTATAGTCAACTCCCAATCATACCCTGAACAAGGCACAAAAAAGGCTTTTTTACACACCGCAAACATACCTCAAACAAATTCAAACAACCCCTAAACAAATCCGGCTACAAATGGGTGGTGTGACATCGCAGTGAACTGCTCTGGTGACTGGCTCGACTTTTTAAGACCTGTGATGCTGATTCCTGATGCTCATCCCTGACGCTGATTCAACTCGATAGATTACCCTCTTGGCTCTGCCAACGCTTCATCTTCAACTTTATATAATATATTATATACCTATTCTAATTTCTAAAAGATGTCTAAACTGTAAATGACCCTCCAGAAACTCCTTTGTTCACATTGCTATACAGGCTATACTGCTTAGCCACAGCTTCAAGACCCGCCGCCAGATCCGCCAGCGCCAGCAGAAACTCAGCAGCACTCCGAGACCGCAGAGTTTCAACCAGCCGCTCGGGAGCAACGATGCCAGGCGCTGCCAGCGGCCGAATGGCCAGGCCGCAGCAGCCATGGCCCCGTTTCGATGAAGGCCCCGTGGAACGCAACGGAAGGCGTGGGTGAAGGGGTCAACCCCTGCAGTTGAAGGCCTAGAAACCAGTGAATCTTGTAGGTTACCATAGGTTATCACCATGTTAGAAATAGATTAAATAGGGTCATCATTCCATTTATTTTATGAGGTGACTTACTGACTTGGAACTGGTATTTCGGGCAGTAGCTGTGAAAAATGTTGGGATCATGACAAATGATTGACATCGCCAACTAGAAAAGAAGGATATGGATGGGATATTTCGATGGATGTGATGGATATAGGTGGTGAGTGGTGATTTTCCCACGCTATGAATTTAATGTCCTTGACTTTTTGTTTTTTTTTCGGTATAGCATTCACCCCGCTTGTGCCCAGGATGCCTCAGTTCTCGCAGTTTGGTCCAGTAACTCCACAGGTTTCCTGGTTTTCTCTGGTAAAACGAACAGTCTCTGAAAAGCTGATGTCCGTTAAAGTCGTGACTGCTGATTGATCAACTTCTATTGGACACCCAAACTCACCGACAGGACATCCTATGCTGCCGAATTCTGAGCCATAAGGCAAGCCCAAGGCCAATTTTTCCAAAGCTCACATTTCTCGAGAAATTTGGAGAACATATTTTCGACTCACCGATTTTTAGCAAATCCAACCCTCCAAAAAAAACTAATGCCCTCTGAGGACCCCAACCCGCAGAAGACTCAGAATCACGTGGAACCTGCAGCACATCCCATTGCTGGATGATCGACAACTTCTGCAATTGATCAGCTCAGCTGGAAATCCCCCATCTACCTCGATTATTTTGTCCCAGTTCGCCCGTCCGTCCGGGGCCCCAGCACACAGCCATCTTGGCCCAAGCGTCGATGACCTGCAAAAACGCTGAAGAGTTTCACCCCATCCAAAGCATGGCAGCATGGCTCGGCTCGCCGAGCCCAATGATCAATGGATGGATTCGGAAACGCCGAATCAGGACGCCCAACCTGGTTGGTGGTTGAGCCTACCCCTCTGAAAAAATGATGGAGTTCGTCAGTTGGGATGATGACATTCCCAATATATGGAACACATATTCCCAAAAATTATTTTCCACGGATGAAAAAAAAAAACAAGTAAGAGTTGTTGATCATGTGGCAAAAACTCATACCACACACATCCAATTTTGGAGGGTTACTACCTGATTTCTGGTGAGTCATTGGGGTACCTCCAAGGTCAATCTTCCAGCACTTTGGCTATACATTTGTGGGGCCATCATCGTTCGCATGTTCTCCAAACGCGAACAGTCCTGATCCCGGACCATGGCTTTAGTCAGTGACAGTGACTTTTCCCCGTTTTCCCATCAATTCTTGCTACAACTATGGTACCCTCTGGTATAAACTAATTATATAGCTATTGAAATGGCCCATTTATAGTGAGTTTTCCCATTAAAACTTGTGATTTTCCATAGTTATGTTAGTTTACCAGAGGGTTAAAACTCAAACATTGGGTTAAAATAGGCCAACACAATTTGTCACGTCGAGATATGTTGAGTGCCTGTGTTTTTTACATCACAACCGTCCCCCCAAACTGGGATGGATAGTCAATAAGCTTGAGCCATCCCCTCTTCTCCTCATTTTTTGGTGTGTCAAATCATCTTATTCCCCCCATGATTGGTTAAAACATGACCAATTACCCCAGGTGTTTGATTAGTTGAATGAAGGTTTAAGTTTAAATCACCAAAACATTCATCTTGATGCATTGGTTCATACTCAATCAAGATTCAATCACGTTAAATCATGTTGGTGGTTTCTCTCCCATCTTGAAAAATATGAAAGTCAATGGGAAGGATGACATCCCAACAATATATGGACAAATGAAAATCATGTTCCAAACCACCAACCAGTAAATCATGTTGCATCCTAACTACCACGGGTCACAAACTCTTTGTCGCTCCACGTCGTGGTTCCCGCCGACGGGAACGACCTCCGGAGAAGAGGTTCTGCAGCAGCAGGAAGCCATGGTCGGGACGCCGCCAACCTCCACGGGGGACGACCATAGGACCATGGGGTAAATGCATAAAAACCATGTGGGTTGATGGGAAATCCCCCTTGGAAGTCTATCTGTTTATATTATGTTCATATTATATAGCTGGCAAAATCATCGAACTAAATGGTGGATGTTCAAATGCTAATTCTTAAGTGGCCCCATTGTTGGGAAATGTGGCCCACAAAGGCTGATTTTGGGGGTTTCAATGTTTTTTTTTTGGCCTTTAAAGTTTGGGACTTTACCACATGTTTGGAGAGATCCGTGTGGCTTAGCTGAGCTTTCAATCTGATTCTTCGCTGGTGAGTAGATCATCCATGATAATCCCATTGATACCAAAAGATTAAAGGATTAAACTAGCCATCTAAGATTGACCTAGTTTTGATGAGATGGATGCCCCATCGAATTTCAGGGGAGACGTTGTGACCCTAACTCTGTAGGTTACACAAATTTGTCACAAGCTTGGGGCTATAGAATGAGGTTGCTGAGTTCCATGTTTTCCCAAAATGGCCTTAGCTACAAAATGCCAATTCATGTTCAACAACCTTGAAAAACGGACGAGCTTGAATACTGTCATATTCTGTCCCTATGTCATGAAACTCATCATGTTTCCTTATAAAATGCCACTCCGATTTTTATGATTGGCTAACATGATTAAAATGATTCCTTTATCAAATGAAATTCACAAATTTAAGCTACAAAATCTTGGGCCTGGATTTCATGTCACGGTTAGCCTGACTAAAATGGAAGCCTCTGTAAGAGGCACAAGGCCACAAACTTTGTAGCTTAAATTCGTAGGGGAATTGAGGTGGGCGTTTTGCACTAGAAATTGGGATTGAATCAGTTATTGAATCCCAATTTGGGCACAAGTCAAGAGGTGTATCGGAAAATGGGGAAGAACCATGGTTCCAAAAAAACCATAATTTCGGCCATCTCAAAAACCATTTGATCATGATAAACCATCCATTTTTCTACCGATTCGCTGGGCACCCCCTGCACATCGCCAGCACAGCACAAAGGCCATGGGGCCACAAGGCTTCCAGCGCCTGGCCCAGGCTCCAAATGGTGTTGAAAACATCCATTTTTTGGAGCGAAATCCCCATGAAATCAACCTGAGATCCTCATCAACTATGCTTGACTCCCAATTCTTGTGTGTTAAATCCATGAGAATCCAACATGTCTTCCATTGAAATCAGATAACATCAGCCTTTTTCTGGATGAAATCCCGGAATACCTGCCATGGGCAATCAGAATCCCCCAAAAAAAATGGTGGTAGAAGTTCCTATATTCACCACTTAAACCATGGTATTTTCAATGGATTTCAATGGCTCGTTGTTGGACAGCCATGCTGCAGCGTGCCTCAGCCCTCAACTCCGGGTTGTTCGCCAGGACGTTCGCCATAAAACTAGGCCTAAGTGCGGTGAAGGCCTTCAACGGAAATATGGCGATTTTCATAGGGAGACATGATGGGAACGTAATTAAAGTATGAAACACGACGGGAAAGAACATGAAAAATATAGGGAAAAGATGGTGGGACACAAATTATAGGAACCCATAGATCTAACGTGATAATTAACCCAACATAAATTATAGGAAAATTATGGGAACATTATAGGAACATGGTGGGAAACATGATAACTATATAATGAATGGGGAACATGATGGAAAACATCATGGGAACGGTTTCCCCCTGAATCCTGGTACAAACCCAACATATTCTTCTCGGAAAAAAATAAGGGAACCGGTTGGTTGGGTTTTCTATTTGCCATCGTTAATCTCTTTGCTTTTTGTTGCAGCTGTTTTTACTTGGGGATATTCCATGATACCCTCTGGTAAACTAACATAGCTATTGAAAATGGCCATTTATAGTGGATTTACCCATTAAACATGGTGATTTTCCATAGTTACGTTAAATTACCAGAGGGTATTCCTTTTTATGAAGCGTAAGCAAGCGGTCACAAGCTCTGAGGTATCCTCAAGTTTGATGCATATAGTTGGTGGTACCTCAAAGTTCAAGAGGCTCGCAAACTAAACTTGACTAAATTTCGATGAATATTTCAATTGAATGACCCGGAAATCAAAGGTGGCAATTGTTTTTATCGCCATTTATCGCCTATGAATGGATGTTTTTTCATGGGAAATTCATGGAAGTATAGCTGGTTTTTCTTTTCCAGCAAGCCATGGACCTGATTCCCAGAGTTCCTAAGTTCCTATCCCATGTCCAATACTAAATCCAATTCATCACCATAAAATCCCAGTAAAATCACCCCAGAATCACCCCAAAATCCTATATCAAACATGACAGTTTTGAATTTCGACCCACGTTGTTTTCCGCAGGCTGCCAAGGGATCCAAGGGACACCGCCTCACACCACGCTGCAGACCGCTCACCGCTGGGCCTTGGCAGTGCTGCCTCCAGTTCTGCTGCTTGAATTAAAAAAAAAACAAGTGGATAGTTTACCCCTACTAACCATTAGTGAGGTCGCGATGTGAAGTCGTTATATGCTGCTGATATTCCCACTGGCGGAGGATTAAGCAGTGGTGGTATGTTTAATGTTTAAAATTATCCAAAACATATCCCCAAAAAAGGCAAGTCCTACAGACATGCTTCAGAATTTTAGATCTAAAACATTCGAACAAACGGCTTTCATGTTTTTTAGAACCATTCAATCATATGATTCTTTAAAAATGATGAGTTTTTCGTAATGGTGGTTTCTCCAAAATGATTCAAAATCGTCATGGTGGTGTCTCCAACTTGATTCAAAATCAATAGCTTTTAGCCCTAAAAATCAATCATTCAAATCCATCAATGGTTAATCAGGTTAATCCATTGAATTTCCTTATGGCAGGTTATACCCATGAAAATACCAATCAAAAATACCAACCCTCATAAGTGTGGATTTTTAATATTTTTTAATTAGATTGGAATTGTCATGGGATTTTCATCCATTTATAGAAGGGGATTTTCATGGATTTTCCATTGCACACCATCCAGCTATTGGGGCACCCCCACCCTGGGCCTTCGCACGCTGCCAGATCGCACCTGGCCTGCACCGCCAGGCGTTCTACCAAGCCGCGGCGCCACCAGCGGCCCTGGGAATGTAGTTGGGATTTTAAGGATGATTTGATCATTTGGATGGGATTTTCAGGGGATTTGATAGAAATTAAGGGATTTAATTGGATGTTTATTGGTGTTTATTGTGATTTAATGGTGATTAATGGTGATTTTAACGGGAAGACATCAGGTATAATAATGATTTGAATGAAACAATTGGGACTATAATGAACATTCTTGGAAAATTCTGGAAACATGTAATCTTATGGTCATGTAATTGGTGATTTCAATAACAGTTATTATACTGCCGGTAAAAACATGATTATAGGATCATACAGTCTATAGCTGTTTTAAAGGGATTTTCTGGTGATTCATGGGAATTTAATTATCAAGAATAGGGATCTTAAAGAGATTTAGTAGCTTGGGAAAAACCGGTTGGTATCTGGAAAAAAAACATATCTATAAATATATAATATGTTTACAATTATAGTGGATTTGTTGGTTGGAACATGTCAAGTTATAGTGGATTATAGTGGAACTTGTATCATATTATAGCCCATAGGATCCATGGTGCTGCTATATATGGTAACATTTACCATCAATATACCCCCAATGTTGGCATATATACCATACATGGAGCATATGGGTAGTGGATTATACAAATCACCGGAAAAACTATGTGCACATCTGGGGAAGACCTTCCTGCCTGGATCTCCGGGTTGCCCACCGCCAAGTTTCGAGCCTCGACACGAATGGAATGAATTTCCAGCAACAAATTGGGCAGGTGATGTGGTACCTCAACTTTGGGGAAAAACAAATGTATAATTAATCTATAATTAATCTATAATTACCATAGTTATCATAGTTACCATAATCATAATCATAATCATGACATATCATGGTATTCATATTGATTATTCATAACAGTACAAAATATTGATAGGTATATAATGTATTTATTACATCATCATCAATCATCATCATCATCATCCTTCTTGTCCGTGCGCAGCATGTCACAAGGAACACTCCCAACTGGGCGAAGTCACCAGCTTCAAGCACGCTGCTGCAGCTTCCTCGTGTGCTGCAACCACTTGTGGCCTGGGCCACGCTGGTTGGGTCCAGAATGGCTTGCTTCGTTGAGACAGGAATCCCGTCCCCATAATACTAAAGACCCCCCAAAAATCACATGGTTTAATAGGGGATGTCCACATATGTTTGATCATTTTGGACTTAGGGGGTGTTTTTATCATTAGGATGGAGGTATTCCTTGAATTGGTAGTGAAACTCTCAGGAAACACACCTTTTTTCCACCATTCTTTTGGGTAAAACCATGGTTCCGGTGAAGATTTTCCAAAAAAAAACAATCCATTGAGGTTCGTAAGAAACATATGAAATGAAAGCTGGCAAAAAGATCAATCACCATAGGACGCATTTGGACTATATATAATCATCCTTCTTAAGTACCAATTCCAGAATACCCTCACCGAGCCACTCCAACGCTGATTTGCACAATGTTTTTCTGATTCGCTAGGGCTGTGATATCAAAATATATCAATTTGAGATTGACTCATGGTGTCATCATTTGGTTCCCAAAATGAGGTTGCTCCAACTCTATTGACTCTCATCCCCAATGGGCCAATGGGCCCTGCGATGCCAAAAACCCCGTGCTTGCAGAGTCGCGCAGGAGCTTCTTTCTGCAACCTCATGCTGCCATCTCCTTCCGTCAGCGGCTTTTCGGTTTTTGTTTGCTGCAGTCAGGCGGTAATGTCTTGTACTCATCAAGGTTCGAGATTGTCAACGGCTTAGTGTACTTGTTCATGTCACTTTGGCCTTACTATGGCTTACAATGGCTTACCAGTGTCTCTAGATACCCTCTGGTAAACTAACGTAACTATGGAAAATCACCATTTTTAATGGTTAAATCCACTATAAATGGCCATTTTCAATAGCTATGTTAAATTACCAGAGGATATCTCTAGTTCTTTTAGGAACACTTGGAGCACATATCCTACTCGAGTTACCAGCACCTTCAGCGGCGAAGCCCGCCAAGCGAGCCAGATGGTGCTCCAACCTGGGACGGTGAAAAAGAAAGGAAACAAAAATCACTATGAACAAAGGGAAAATGAAAAAAAAACATTGCTATAACATTGCTATGGCTGTTAAAAATTATGGGAAATTCACAATGATAGATGATAGATAGTGATAGATAGTGGTTATTATTATATGATAGCATATATCACATGATAGTGACATTGTTATATGGCTTGATAGATGATAGTGACTGTGATAGAGATCAACTATGGGACCCATGGGACCTCATCATCAATGAATTCTCCCAGTCAGAGAACTGGCATTTTGCGAGGATCAGCCTCACAAAATTTCAAGAAAAACAACTTACCCTCTGGTAAACTAACATAGCTATTGAAAATGGCCTTTAATAGTGAGTTGTCCCTTTAAAAATTGTGAGTTTCCATAGCTATGTTAGTTTACCAGAGGGTATCATAGCAATATGGGCGAGAAACACCAAACAGTGTTTTACTCTGATGCGAGAAACACCGCCAGATAAAAATTCCCGCAAACCATCTGCTTGCCTTCTTTCCACACTGAGCGCCAGCACAAGTCACCCAGGCGTGCCAAGAGTTCTTCATCTTCGGCAAAACTCTGGCGTTCCTGGCTGGTGAATGAATTCCAGAGAAGGGTGGGTTGTTCCAATGAAATTATGATTCAATGTTTGTTCATGGTTTTTAATGGTGATTTAACATTGGTATAAATTATAGCATTATATAACTATATATATATACATAGTGGGGCCCCCCAGTTATAAGTTGGTTTATAAACCCCCATAACTATATAAACCCCCATAACTATAGTTATAAGTACCATAAACCATAGTTATTGGAGTCATAAACCAACTTAGCTATCTTGGGGGCCCCACATTGTATATGTTATACACGTTTATATTATGTTTTCTGAAAATAGATGTACCCTATTCCATCCACTGGTTAATCATCATGTCCCATGAGCTTCCAAAATTCCCAACCAAAATTGCCATTTTGGGGGTATACGAATGAAATTAGACACACCCAAGTTTTGTTGCTTTGCAAAAAAAAACACCCACTTCCAAAATCGTTGATGTTGCTTGTGGACTCCATTTACTATTTTACCAGCATCTGAAGTATAATATTGCTGATGATATTCTATATTTCTCTGAGAAAATCAACAGGTTTATCATGACTCACCAGGCAGTTGCCGCTCGTGGGCATCTTTTTCCAGCGCAGCGCGGCGCTCAGCCGCGATCTTCAATTGGCTTCCCGCTCCAGCCTCGGAGTCGAAGACCACCCATGACTGGGACCCCAATAAAAATTTTGACCGGGTCATGGAGGTCATGGGTATTCCCATGGGTATATCAAATGCCACCAATGACTAATCATATCAACTCAAATTTCGGATTTCGCTTCATGTGTTTCTTTTTTATATTAGGCTCAAGGGGTTACGATCGATATTTTGGTCTTCGACATCTTCAACTAGAAACTATCCCCACTAAATTATCCCAATCACGGGTACACAATAATGCAATAATCAAAACATGCCAACTGGTTTGTGATTCTGGAAACCCAATCTGAACCCCCTCAGCAACAAGCACTACCTGAGCCCCCTAAAGAGTCGCGCCCAGCCCTCGTCCGAGGCACAGGTCGGGGAACATCTCCTGAGGAATTTTCAAAAAGCCCTGTTCTCAGGACCGGATGATGGCAAAAATGACACGAAACCTCATCTGGTTTGGTGGCTTTAACCATCTTGAAAAATATTAGTCAATGGGAAGGATTATCCCATATATTATGGAAAATAAAAAATGTTCCAAACCACCAACCAGCCTCATACATTTGGAGGTAAAACCATGTAAAAACCATGGTTTTGCGGTTCAGATTGTCTCAACAAAATCAGCAAAACCAATCCGTTGATACACGCATCAAGCAACCGTTTATGTGATTGGGAAATTCCTGTGGTTGGGAAATTCCTAGGTAGCTCATCTACAACCAATGTCACAAACCCCAAAAACTACCAAACAGTGTATTCTTCCAATTCTTTGCTGTATAAGATCATCCTCATGTTTGTTGGTGAAGGCCCACTTGCCTTGCTGATCAAGTTCTCAACTTGTGAAACTATTTTCTGAATATTCATCACTCCAATCCCAACTCGCCCATCTCCCGCAGCTCCTTCTGGACCTGCTTTCGTGACTCCTCCACCTCTTTGTACTTCTCACCTGGGTTATCTCTTTAGCGGATCCACCCAGAGAGCCCTGAACCAGCTTGACTCAAAACATGCTAGCGTCAAGGTATATACTCCATCTAGAGTTATGGGATCCATTTTTGACTCAAGATTGTACTTACCAAACCAAGGGATACATTGTTTCATCCATTTTTCAGAGTCATGCGCACATCCCACATCTCCACTTGCCATCTGCTGTGCACTCCGACGCTCACCATCCTTGATGAGACGTTCAAAGCGGATGTTGGTGCGATTCCTGGCCAGCAGGTTATCCTTGTGGAGGGGATATAGCCAACAGAAAAGCGTCTGGTAAGACCTGAAGTGGCATGGAGAAAGATAAATCTATGGAATCTAGGGACAATCAGATCGTATGACATCGTATGTACATTAGTAACATTAGCACTTGGTTCATCGAAACATACAGTGTTTCTACCAAAAGTGAACACATTATTTGTTCCATAGGTGTTTGTTTTTTCCGGCCGTTGATTCCATGAGAACTTGTCTGACAAGCCACTTTTAGCTAGCGTTAAGCGCATCCATCATGGGTCCATCTGGCCGAACAAGAGACTTTAAAAGAAACAAACATGAAACAAACATAATCTATAAATATGGAGGTTTCCTAAAAATGGAGGTACCCCTAAATCATCCATGTTATTTTCGGACTTTCCATGAGTCCTCCAGCTATTATTACAGACCCATCCCCATTTAGCAAGTGGTTCAAAACGCATTACTAGGATATGTCCCATATACCACTTGCTAAATGTTTATAGGTTTTGTATATACATTATCCCATATACAAGTATATGTATACATATATATATGGGGGTGGAACGATCTAGAGAAATATGAAATAAGATCGAATCATATTACCTTGTTTATTCCTGTTTATTCCATATTTCTACGGATCTTTCCATGACGCCATGGTCAAAGAAAAAAGTGTTTCTGGTTTCTGGTCATCCCATGCCATGGGAATCAAGCACAATGGGTGTATAAATCCCTATGAATTACCCTCTGGTAATTTAACATAGCTATTGAAAATCACCATGCTATTAATGGCTCAATCAACCATTTAACTATGGCCATGTTCAATAGCAAACTGTGAATGTTTACCAGAGGGTATTATAAATTCATGGTTGACCATGCGCTGAGTATGTCATGGTATCCAACTCAGGAGACCTGACTAATCATCAAGTCCCAAAAAGCTGGAGGTTTCCAAAGTCATGCTACCCCAATAGCTGGTTGGTTGAAAAAAAGTGGACCATTCCATCAATGGATGATGATTTGGGGCTAGCCCCATTGATGGAAAGCCCCATTGGTGTCTTCCCATAAAATCCCCTCATGGTCCCTGAGAAACCGCCTGAAGTCTGAGTTGTCTGCTTCGATCGAAACCTGCCGGTGACACAAAAAGGAACCGCCACGGCGAGCGGCTCGGCCGGGGGCGGTTCCAAGACGAGAGGAAACCGTAGCCAGTTCTTAAAGAACAAAAGATGAACAATGGATGTCTGGTTGGTGGTGCAATAACCATCTTGAAACATATGAAAGTCAATGGGAAGGATGTTCCGATATAAATATATTATGGAAAAATAAAACATGTTCCAAACCACCAACCAGAATCGGATGTATAAAAATAATATTCATAATTGATGGGATACGTAAACCCGCCGTGCATGATCTACATCTTATATTTTGACTCGCAGAAATATTGCTACAGACCCACAACCCACGTTTCTGGATTGATCCTACAGTATTATGATACGTGTGTTACCCTCTGGTAATTTAACATAGCTATTGAACATGGTCATTTATAGTGAGTTTTCCCATTTAAAATTGTGATTTTCCATAGTTATGTTAGTTTACCAGAGGGTATGTATGATGTTTATAAGTTATAACTTATCATAATATGTACCCTCTGGTAAACTTAGCTATGGAAAATCACCATCTTTAATATAGGTAAATCAACTATTTCTATCTATGGGCCATGTTAAATAGCTATGTCAAATTACCAAAGGGTATACCATCATATATCCTAATAAATCCCATTAAATCCCATTGAATCACCATATATACCATTGAATCCCATTAAATCCCATTAAATCTCATTAAAGTAAGGCATCTACAGTACCAGTTTCATGATCAGCGACTGAGGAGTGCACCATGATGTGGGCGAAAATTTCAATGCGCCCCGCCTGGAAAACATCAAGAGGAAACCACTGTGGCAGTCCGTTAGAAAACAAGAAATGGGGGAGGTCCTAAAATAGGGACACCCCTAAATCTGGTCGGTGGTTGACCTACCCCTCTGAAAAAATATTGGAAGTCATTGAAGTCAGTTGGGATTATTATTCCCAACTGAATGGAAAAATAAAAAATGTTCCAAACCACCAACCAGTAAATCATCATGTTTTTCGGATTTTCCATGAAATAAACTTTCCAGCTATTGGGGTAGCCTCATTTGTGGAACCCCCCGAAAGGGTTTCTCTCATGTACCTCCGAATCCAATAGTGTTCGATCATGTTCCCCACCAAAATATGTCGTTTGCGGGGTATACCCCATTTTCAAACACACCCTCCTTAAATAACGGAGAAACATCTTCCCCCAAACCTGACCCTTTCGCTTGACCAAAACTTTTTCAACCTCAATATTGAACGGCATCAACAGGCTCTATAGAGAGACCAGCCCAAAAAATAAACTTTGGGAGATGAGCAGTGTCAAAACTTGTTGGACAAATTAGGAAATCATGGTTGGTTTTCATGGGGATTTCCAAATTATAACATATTCATCAATCATGGGTAAATACAAACATCAACTCCCCGAATGGAGCATGTGAAAATCCAAGTGTTATTGAGTGTATAGTGTATAGCACCGCAAAAACATCAACATCCATACTGGATCTTATGGTAGTCCTCCAATATATTGAACATATATACTATTATGTACTGTGCGTTTGACATAAAATAAGGTACCCTATTCCATCCATCACCTGATTGCTCATAATTTTCCCTATAGAATTACGCACATTGCCATTTGGGGTGCTGCAAACCCCGAATTTTGAGAGACACCCAAATATCCCCAATCATAGATTAGCTGGTTATGCATGAAGGTTTCCTAAAAATGGGGGGTAACCCGGCGTACCACTCAAACTTAGGCCATTTTAGTATTGAAACAACTGTGGTGACTTGGGGATCCCCCCTTTCCAAAAAACACGCAGTTGGTTATACATGGCTATATCACAATAATATCTCCATATTTTATAAAGGTTTCTTAAACTATGGGTACTGTACCCCAAGCAATTGGTTTTCCCATTGATAACAACCAATTTTGGATGAGTTAAAATCTTTTTGGGGTCCCCCTTTTCAGGAAATCCCGATCTCCATGTTTACCAAAGGCGTAAATTATCATAATTCACTAATCTGAAACTTGCGGCTACTTTCTTTTATGACTCTCCTTAACTATGATTCCAGGCTTCGGTCGAACAGTGAGGTCGTTATAGCCCCACCGCTGTCGTCCCATGTCCTCCTTTTTGCTCTGGATGTACTGCTCCTCTTCTCGCACTTCCCAGTCCTCCTGCGAGCCCCAACATATCCAAAATGACCACTGACGTGTCCGAAAAATGGGATTCACCAGCCAATTATCAGGAACTAACTGCGGTCAAAGGTGATTTTATAGTGATTCAATGGGGTTCGTGGGTATACTGAATGTAGTTAAGAAAGAATATGCATATGGGTGTGTCTTAAAATGGTTCTAGATATTTGAGTAATTATACCATACGCCCCAAACGGCATATTCGTTTAAATGGGAACATAATCATAATAACCAACGGGTTTAGGGTATATACCCCTCATGTTCACACCCGTTTCTTTCCAATGTTTCTTCTTGACGAGTCCGAGAAAGCCGAAGTTTGTACTATAGTTCATGGTTCTTGCCTCAAATATCAATGGATCCAACTGGTAAAGTTAAAAGTTGGTCAATGGGGGCTCTCATTGCTGGATGAGCACATGGATGCCCTGGTGAAGATTCAGAAGATTGTCAATCATGAAGCTGAAATCCGAAAGTCTTTCAAACCTGGCTCAAGGTCGTTGTTTAAAGTTCCCCCCATGTCTTATCCATGTTTTCACAAACAGTGCATTAGCCTCTGGAATTAACATTGCTATGGAAAACCACCATCTTCGCTACGTAAACCATCAAACTCACTGGGCCGTGGCTTCCATAGCTATTTGTTAAATTCTCCATTAGTTTATTCCCATTGTGTTGGTTAAATCACCATCAATCAGCATAGGAATTCATGAATTAAATCCCATCAAATTATATCAAATTATCATTCAAACTTCAAACCCATTAAGAATCCATTAAATTCCAATAAAATCACAGGATGGTGCCTCCCAGTTATAAGTTGGTTTATAAACCCCATTAACTATAGTTCTATCATGTTCTATCTACCATAAACCGTAGGCATAGATGCCATAGAATTCAGCCACAGCCATAACAGCCATATCTCAACTTAGCACCTCAGGCATCGCGACCACACCCTCAATGCCATAGCGAGGAACGTTGACCTGCGGCACTGCGTGGGCGAAATGTACACCGTATGCCCCACACTAATTATCGTTCTATCTTCTTGGGGATGACATGTTTAGATGTGTATAACATTGTGTATAACATCAATGTATTGAATAGAATATAGAATAAATAATAATGAATAATAGGTACCAGACTAAGATTATCATTGGTAGAGACACTTGCATAAATTGCCCTGGCTAAAGTATCTAATATATTATGAATACTTGACATATAAATCCCCGACGCACGGATGAGTTTTTCGTTTTACACAGCTGGAAAAAGGCACCAATTTCCAGTCTACAGGCCATGAACTTTACCCACTTGAAGTATCTCGATACGGTACTTGGGGCCTCAGGCCATGTCAGGCCATGTGGATAAACCCGGCAGTTCCCCCATTCCAATCCATGAAATCATCACAACCCTCCGGTAATTTGACGGACAATGGCCCATGTCTACGGATGGTAAACATCTTTGTCCTATCACAAAATGGTGATTTTCCATGATTGTTCATAGCTATGTTAATAACTGGTTGGTGGTTTCAACCCCTCTGAAAAATATTAGTCAGTTGGGACTATTATTCCCAATATATCCGAATATATATGGAAAAATGAAAAATATTCCAAACCACCAACCAGATAACCATTAACCAGAGGGTAGATCACAATTTTCGTTCTCCATTAACCACGGCCCATTGCCACCTGCATCCCTGAACGTCGGATGCGAGTCACCACGGCTTCCGCAGATTGTTGACCCTGCGTGCTGCGCAGATTTACCCTCTGGCAAACATACAAAAAACTATGGAAAATCACATTTTTTAATAGGCAAATCATCCATATAAATGCGGATTTTCAATAGCTGTTAGTTTACCGAAGCGTAGGGAGCTGACGAGCTTTTTGTCCGGGACTACCCATGGCTACCCAAAATGAAATGATTGATTACAGTCAATGGGAAATTCGGGTGCCTAAACTGGAGGTACTGAACCATATCAAGCAGTATATCTCCTTACGCCTTACATAGGTCCTGTGGTAGGTGCCTCTTCAGGTTCCTGAACTGGCCATTGGATTAGTAGACCGTCTGACCTTCATGAAACCCATAATCTATGGGTAGTTGGAGGGTCTAGGCATCATCTCTCAGTATCTCTCAGATGGCAAAGTTGGATCATGTAGTTATCAGTTATCACATATCACAACATTGCAACATAGTTACATGTATTACATGTACATTTACTACTGTACGAGCTATGGTCCAGGTACTTCCAAACCACACATGCTGTGCCATCCCTATGATTCGCATCTGGATCGTGCCATTGCCTTCTTGTTGAAGAACCTTGGCACCCGGCAAGTCTGTGGCGGACAAGGCCGGGATCTCATTGAAAACAGCATAACTGGGTATTCAATGTCACTAAGCTTCTGTTTGACGACTTGAAATGGTTTTAGACATCGTCTCCGGCATTTGGAGGATCCAAATAATCAAACTTGATCGGGTTTGAATATGTTTAGTCGACGCCTTGATTGCAGGACCACCACATCCAGCATTTGAAAGTTTTTTTGGGCTCCCCACAAAGATACTAAACGTATTTCGATCGCTAAAAGACGATGTGAAAACACTATCATTTCCAGTCACTCCAAGTCCTTTTCTATACCAAATTGCCCATCATTTCCAGTGTTTCTAGTCGACTTTTTCGCCGCTGCCCCTCGCCCCTCAAGTCGCCCAACTGCCCAGCTGAGACCAATCGACATGAAGGTATGAAGATCTGCTGAGGCTCTGCTGGCAAACTGCGAACTCCGATGCTTCACCTGGGAAGAAACCCAGGAGGAACCACTGAATTTCAGGGCCCAGTTGGATGGTCGATGGACCCATTCCCAGATGATTGAAAATGGAATTTCATGGTGCAGTATATAATTGTATGGCAACTTTTATTGGAATTAAACTCTCAGGAATGGGGATATTCATAGGAACTAGCCGTAATCAAACATGGTTTGATCGAAAATCAGCCAGAGGATTGTACTTTTTCTAAAATTAAAATATCTAATAAACATTGGACAGATGCAACATCAGATGCTTCTCATATCTGCAGAACATAGATTCCAGCCACCAGCATGTTGTTTCTCTACGGAACGCCATGTAGCAGCCCTCTGAATTTGGCCATATACAATGGGGTATCTTGAGGAACCCACAAAAAAAAACACATATGTATATCCTATGGATTCCCCAAGTAGTGGATTTTTTGAGAAAAGAAACCAAATCATTTTCATCTTCATTAAGTTATATTCATCCCGCAGAATATCCAATTAAATGCCAATCCCCAGATATATTTATTATTATATGCTCTATATGATGTATATATATATAATTTATAATTTATAAACATTATATATTATATTATATTCTATTATACTATATTATATTATATTATATTATAGTATATTATATTATATTAAATTAAATATATACATTATATATAATATATCAAATATCATATGTCATATATTATATATTGTAATAAATAAAATAATATATATATACATATTGTAAATATTATACATATTATATGTTATATATATAATATTATATTATGTTATGTTATATTATATTACATTATGTTTTGTTACATTATATTACATATTATATATATATATATATTATAGTATATGTATATATTGCATTGTTGTAAATTATACTTTGTTTATATTATATATTGTTTAAATTATAGATTGATTATATTATGTAATATATTATTTATTATTTATTATTTATTATATATTATATTATATATATATATATATTTTATATTTTATATTTTGTATATTATAGTTTGTATATATTATATATTCTATATTATATATTATATAGTGTATGTATAATAGATACAATATACCATATATATAATTCATATTATATATTATGTATTATATATATATCACATGTTATACATTATATTAAATATATATTAATGTTATATTATATATATATGTATGGATTATTAATCCCCATCATCAGCAAATCCAAGACTTTGGTTGTCCCCGAGGCCGGCCCCCACTCAGTGCATCACGTTAATTTTCTCGCACTGCTCAGCGATGGTCGCCTGCCGCTCTCGGGTTGGTTGTCCGGCGTTGTCGGGGACGAAAAACGATGGAAGTCATGTGCAAAACCTGAACTGGGTAAACTGCAAGAATTCACAAACCTGAATTAAGATGAATTAAGGCTATTTTGGGATAGTTACGCCTGCTCATCATTATTCCAGTGAAGTCGCAGTGAGGTCATTATAATGTATCCAGCTGTTTTAACTCAACATACCCTGGGGTAATATTTTTTTGTGGAAAACCCAGCTGGTTTCCCCAGGAAGATGATCTACAAATCATTCGTGATTTCTCCACATCTATTGTTAATTTGCCGGAGAGTACCCATGATGGACTTGACATTATGTCATATAGTGTTATAGTTCATTAAACAAAAGGTAATGATGATGTCTGACTTCTATTGACTTCTGTGGTTTGCCGGAAAATGGAGTTTTTTCTCGTAGCATAGTGTCTATCTGTTGAAACATCATGGCCTCAAAAATGACGGCCCAGTAATTGCATCACAGTACCTACATTTTCGGCCATGGGCGATTATGGAGGAAGAAAGCTTTAGCAATCACAGGAGCAATCGGCAAAACCTCAAGGGAGAAATCTGATGTTTGGCCACACTTATCGTTCTCCAGGGTTCACTATATTGTTTTACATCCTGATTGCAACAACTTGAAACACGGTCAACATGGGTGAGGATCTCTATTGATTCTATTGTATCTCCACTTCAGCAATTTGTGCGTCTTATTATTTCACAGCTTTGCGTTTTCTCTTGCAACCCTCCGTTGCTTTAGCCGGCCTTTGTTTATCTTGGGTATAAAGTCCTCATTCTTAATGGTTAAATCATGTTAAATCCAGGATTTGGGGGCAAAACAAATCAGATGAAACCAAATATCATAGTGTTTCTCTCTCTCTCTCCCTCTCTCGCTATATAAATTATAATGATCTATCTATCTATATATATATATGAATATATATATATACCATGGAAACCTTAAACACCCCATTAAGTACCATTCATTGCAGGTTGCATCCTCAAAAAGTCCCAGTTCAGCCCCAATTCGTACCATAATTACTGGTTGGTGGTATACCTACCCCTTCTGAAAAATAATAGTCAGTTGGGGTTGAAACCACCAACCAGTAACCACCAATATTTGGATGATTATTGGAAAGTTGGGATGAATCTGGTTAATAAAGTCAGTTGGGATGATGAAATTCCCAATATTATCGAAAGTCATAAAATTCATGTTCCAAACCACCAACCAGATTAAGTCATAGTAGTCCCACTCTTGATGATGAAAAACTATGTTAAACCTCCATTTTTCACGGTGAAGCCGCTAGATTCTTAGTTGGGTCCAAACCCTCATGTTCACCGGTGAAATCATCATGATCAGTGGTAAAACATTGTAAATCATGGCAAAATCCCTCCATTTTCGTGCGAATAAAAACACCATTTTCATCCATTTTCAGTGGTAAAACATGGTTTTTACATGTTTTTACCCATAGTAAAACATGGCTTTTAAAATTTTACCCATAGTAAAACTTATGTTTTTCCAGGTGTTTCCCACGTTTTTCCCAGGCTTTTCGTTCCGGTTCCACCGGTTTATCGGCCACGGCCGGCCATGGCCTTGGACTGGAGCTGCTCCGGCAACGTGGCGATGCCCAGGGCCGCCGCCAGCAAGCGGTGCACCAGGACGTCCGCGTAGCGACGGATGGGCGAAGTGAAATGGGTGTAACCTGGGGGAGCGATGGCATGATGGGAGATCTGGGACATAAATATATATAATGTATATATATATATATACTGTACATTATAAATATTATATCATGTATCATATATATATATAATTATATAATTTATAATCGATATGGGGAATATATCTATGTGTATAGTTATCCAAGCAGAAATATATTTTCACATTACGGAGGTTTCCGTTTCATCATGGGGGTAAAAAAAAATCTTCATCCATTTTCATACAGTGTCCCTTTCTTTAGAGGCTTTCAACCAGCCGAGGTGCAGGATTTCGCAACCATCCACAAGGGAAACCAGGATGGATGTTTTGATGATAATGGATGATCATGGAATATTCAGATCTATTTTGATGTATATATAATAACCATGGAATAATTGATGATTTGATGGAATATTCAGATATAGTTTAAGATGTATAAGTAATAAGCATGGTATGTGAAATATAGACCTGATCTGAATCTAAAGTAAAGTATAACTCCATAAGTCCATAACTATAAATGGAGCTATGTTTTTTTGATAGATCTATTCAAGTATATTGATAGAGACCTATATTATATCTATGTAAATTTATTTATAGTAATATAGATCTTTTATAGATCTGAAAACTGATCTTTAAGTAAATTTAGAGATATATGTCTATATTGACAACAAAATCACTGCGGGAGTTTAAATATACGTGTGTATATATATATACATATATATATATATATTGTGGTTGGCAAAACGCCGAACCAGCACTGGTAGCTCCAACTTCCTCCTCCCAAAGTTCCTCGGCCGCTCCCTTTTGGCAACGGCGACAAGCAAATCACAGGTGCCCCAAATGCGGCAAAGATTGACAAAAGGCCTGGCGGCCACCAGCAAAATGAGCCCCTGGCTCTGCAACAAGACAGCCTCGTCTTCCAATGGCGACAAGCGATATCAATCCTCAACCCACCCGCATTCCTAAAGGCTCCCTGAGCCAAATCGCTAGTGTGGTGTTGCCCCATGGTTTAGGAACTCTATGAGCACGTGAGAAAGCTGGGTGGTCAGTGACATGTCAACCAGGAGTGCAATGATGTGGATTCACACTCCCAAAAATCCAATGTTTAGAAAACATTCATCATTGCACCGTTGAGACTCGGCTGTCTTCAACCAACGTAAGCGATTCCTGGAGGATGCTCGATTCTTGAGAATCTCCAACTCATCATTGAGCCTGTAGCGACCTAGTTTCAATGTTTCCCTCAAAAAGGACGTCTCCATGACCTTTGTCAAACAATCGGCCAATTGAGCTGCACTATGAACCCATCTAAGTTCCACACCTTCGGAAATCAGGTCTTTGATGGCTCTGGCGTTGAGTTGAGTTCTATACTCTGCACAGTTTGGAGTGGCCGTTCGGGTGATCAGATCGTAAAGTGATTTACAATCGGTTGCTGCAACACTTTCGGGTAAGTTCTGAGCTTGCATCGTGGCTGTAGCAAAAGTTTGGGGTAAGGCTTTTAGTGTCGAGTTTGGTTGTTTCCAGTTCACGGTCGGATCCAGCATCCAGGCCCAGCACAGTCGCATCCACGACAAGTGATCCAGCACACTGTTTAGAGAAACAGTTTCGGCGGCCAAAGTGCTTGTGACAACCCTCTGAATCTTTTTGCAACCCCAAGCTAATGGCGATACCGGACAAGACACATTTTCACTTATGAGTCTATGGGTTCCCATTATGATACTTCCAGTATGTGAGCTTGGATTACTTTTTGATGCAAAGGACGCGTCAGAAAACGCAAGGAACCGAAATTCTTCCACTGGGATTGGTTGAATTTGAATGGTGGTATCATGGTGTTTCTTTGCTTCATGAAGAGCTTGATTGGCTGTTATCAAGGTATTTATAGTTGCTTTGTTAATGGCTGATTGTAGCATGCTGAGTCTGCTGGATAGGTCAGGTCGAGTATGTACTGCGGCATATTGGAGACTGCCTACTAAACCTCGTAAGGCTTGTCTTTCCTCCTCAGTCACCACAGCATCAGGTTGTTGTTTTCGTTCTCAAGGGGAATTTTGATTGGGTCGATGCTTCGAACGTATGTGGATTGTTTCATGGTGACAGTTCCATTTGGGAGTTGATTCATCTCGATTCCAGTGAAGGTGAATTGTTGTACCTTTTTACTTCCGAAGGGATACTTCTTTTCCAAAAGATCCAGTTTGTGAGCAAAGTATTGACTTCCCCCGCAGATTCCATCATCGACGTGTAGTCCAAGAACCCCTTCAAGTGACCCCTTTTCATGATGGTATAAAACAAACTTGCATGGATCAAAAGGACTTTGAGTGAAGCCAAGCCGCAAAAGTTCTTCTGATATAGCAAGGAACCATTGGTAAGGAGCGTCTATGAGACCATAAGCTCCCTTTTCCAAACGGCATACTTCATTTGTGGCTAGTTGGAGGGCTTCCACAAGTTCACTCACGGGTTCTATGGCCAGGACTCTGTCAGACTGTGGCTTTCCTTGCAGAAATGCTGCACGGATGTCAAACGATCGCAACTGCCAGCCTTTGGAAGCAATGAGTTGTAACAGCAACATTTTGGAATTTCTTCCCAATGTTGGTGAATCACGGGGAAGTTCCTCTAGCTTCGGATCCAAGTACCCAAGGATTACAAGTCGGGCTTTAGCCTTGGTGGTCTTGCCGATTTTCTGATCATCTTGAGAGGGGTTATCTATCGGTTTCCAAGTTAATACCCATCGACATCGTAATATTTGGTCATGAGGTACTTGGTCACGAAGAATTCGAGAGATGGTTCCCGTCTTGATCCAGTTTTGAATCTCCGCGGTTTTGGCCTTTTGAAACTCAAGTTTCTCAGCGGCTGTCAGGGATGACAACTTGACCTCCGAGCGTTGGCGCTTTGCTGCCGACACTAGAAAAGCCATTTCGGACACATCTGATTCATCCTTCCAGGCTTGAATGTCCCTTGCATGGACAGGTATTTCACATCGCCATGCCAACTGGTCTTCGGCAGTGAACAGGCACGGGTCATCATCGATGCAAATTAAACTGTCACACATGAGATCATCATCACTGGCTTCAGGAACAGGGGTAGTTATTGCTGGGTCTTCAGGTCCATTTGCGGTTTCATGGGTAGATTGATCGTTATTGGGTTCAGGATTATGAGCTTCAGGGTTAGTTTCATGGTGGCTGGAGTTTGGGGAGTTATGGGATGGTACTTCAGGTTCGTCATCTGGTTGCATTTGTTGGGCTATTATGGAAATGGACAGTTCATTGGAGTGAATTGGTATGTTACGGGCCTCATTTGCAGTCACAGGTCGCACATGTTCGGGTGCACATCTATACAACTTACACGCGAGAGTTGTCCACACGGTCTGGGCATTTTCATGAACCACGATTTTCATGGGTCCTAGCCACTGTCCCGGGTTGGTACCCCTGCCTTGGCGCCAAATCATGACCCATTCGCCTGGTTCATATCGGCGACTTCCCGGTCGGGATCTGCGAAGCATTGCCCTACGAAGACTGGCGTCATTGCCGGCTTGGAAGAAAGCCAACCGGGCTGCCTCTCGCATTGCCAGTTGTCTGCGGAATGCTATGCCCTGAGCTGTGTCAGAGTCGGCAAGGAAATGTGCAGGTAACATCTCGTCACTGCACACCGCACCAGGCATTCGGGTTTGCTTACCGAGTACCAACATCTCAGGTGAAAAACCTTTCTTCAAGCTGCTGGCATTTTTGGCTCTCACACACCAGTACAAAGCTTGAGATAAGTCTGAATATTGGTTGATGGCATGCTCGCTTTCATACTTGGTAAGCATTGTCTTGAGGACAGAACCATGGCGCTCGGCCTTGCCATTCTGGTACTGGGCTTCTGGGCTGATAGTGGTGAGTTTAATGTTATTACTTTGGGCGAAAACTGCAAACTCTTCGGAGTTGAATTCACTACCCGCATCAACAATAACCTCACTGGGGGAACCAGCACATGCAAACCACATGTCAATCATGAGTTGTATGATGGCTGCCGATGAACGGTCTGGAGCAATTTTGGCACACTGGAAGTTGGTGGCCCAGTCAACAATGTGAAACACACGTAGTTGGGTTCCATCCTTGTTGGTCCAGTCAAACTCATCCATACAAATTCGCTCATTGAAATCCATTTCATCACGAATACTTCCTGGACGGGCCAACTTCGGTTGCTGTTGTTCCAGGCACGTTGAACATTTCAGGTCCAAAGCGGCTTGGGCAACTTCAGCTCGAAATCCTTGGGACCTCAACAGAGTGCTTAACCTCTCCCCACTAGGGTGTCCTAGGTTCTTGTGAGCTCTGATCAGGGCTATTTGTTCATCCTTGGGCAACGATCGGAATCGAGCTGATTGGCAGGGATTGTGCACATCGGCAGCCTGGGAACTGGTCAAGCTCTGTGTCGCTTGATGTGAAGCCAAATTAGGATCTGACCTCTGAACATTCTCTTCGGTTTCTTCTGATGTCACCTGATCCGGTGAATTCTCTGGCAGCGTCTGTTGACTGTCAGTTTCACGGGAACCTGTCATGCACGGAGAATTGGCACTCCCGGTCGTCGGCAACGGGGCAGGCTTCTCACGAGCAAACAAAGTTATGTTTATTCGGGTGGCATGTGAAGGTCTGATCAAATTTCTCTTGGCCAGATTTTCCCAGAACTCCCAATCTTCTTCGGCCCGAATCTCCCCTGATCCCCTTTCCGTATATATGCATCTTCTTAGTGGTGCCATGCCTTTGAGTACATGTTCAGGGGGAGCTAACGTTCGGCTGGCTCCTCTGCATGCAACAACGGAAATAATTTCTTTTCCTGGGATAAGGTTTTGGATTGCCTGAGTGACATCCCCATTTTCCAAGCAACGCTTACCAACCCTTGGCAACAAATTTTGAACTTGATCAAAGATGTTTTGCCACGCCGTTTTGGCATCTATTGGGGTGGTCTTGACACTGCACTTTTGCCTCTTTCCCCATGGCATTTGAGAGAGAGACCGGTTGAGTGCGGCTGAGCTTGGCAGATGCATATCTCTGCAGTCTCTGGCGCTTGGGCTTTGGTGATTCCGGGTGTTCCTCAGCAGCAAGTATCGGCCAAACTTCGTTGCGATACGGAGCTTCGGATGGCTTCTGCACCCGGCCTAGTATGAAGGCCAACTTCCTTGCGAACTTTCTGGGATAGTTTTCGGTGAACGAGGACCTGTTGACCCTTTGACCTTCGACTACGACATTGCCTTCTATGATCTGATGTTGATGGTTACCAGGGCATCTCAGACCATGAAGTGATTGTACCATAAACTTGGAAGTAGTCATGATGGTCAATGCTTTCTTGATGTGTAAACCATTGTTCGGGTCCCTCAAATCACCAGCCATACATAGATCGACATCAACTGACAGCATGTAGTAACGAACTTCCTGCATGTATGGAACTTTCAACATGATGGAACCACGAGGTTGTTCCCAGTGCATATGGTTCGACTGCTGTCGCTGAAATCGAAGAATCACTACCCCAAGAGCCAATTGACCGATGTGCTCCATCCTATCTTGCTGCAAAGCATCCCAAGATTCTACGGAACGACTGCCGTTGAGACATGAGAAACCACTCCAAGGACCGCAGGTTGGAGAGAACCACACGTGACGGGGTCTGTGAGTCACTAGCTTGTGAAACAAACTTTCTCGGCCTTGGAAGGTTTGCAAATCTCCCTGTGCCATGCCAAAACGCTCAGCACGGTAACCAAGCTTTTGGGCTTGGGCAGTGAGCTGACTCTGGGGTCCGCAGAACACTTCTAACAGATCCAACCTCTGGCCCTTTTCACTGCAGTGCTGTTGATGTTGTTGAATGATTGATTGAAGTTCTTTGGTGTATTGTTGAACACGTCTTTGGAAATGGGATCTTTCACGGTTACTTTCAGGAGTGAAATGATTCGTGGAATGAAAATTACAATCAGCACTGAGATCGCCAGCTTGCAGAACTGCTGGAACACTCGGATCTTCGGTCCGGCTCACTGTTCGTTGATCAAGGTCGTGGTGTTCTGCTCGATGTAGTTGATGATCTTGTTCAGGGCGTTCTCCACCTGAGTCATGCGACTCTCCAGCTGATTCACTGTCTGATCTGGGATCATCGGCTCGATGGGTGGCGTCAGTTCGCCTTCTGGCAGGACCTCGAACAACTCTGGGTCGTCGTCCAAGTCCCATGGATCTGCCGGGACTGCGGCCATTTGGGAGGCCATCGCCTTGGCTTTCGGCTGAGCTCCTCGAAGCTGTGCCGGAGGCCCATTGTCCCTCTCGGTGGCTTGGTCGACCGCACTGTGGGTCAGCATCTTCACACCCGTCAGTTCGCACCTCTCTACCTTCTTCTCCACGTAGTACAGGAACACCCGGTGTTCCCACTTGTTGCTGCTGTGGTAGTGCTGGGTGAACCACGTGACCCACTTTTGCTCCCGGGTCCACATGTGGTTGAACGTTTTCCCCACATGAGTTTTTCCGAACTGAATCTTGGACACCTCCAGCTGATCCATCGACATATGGCTGAAATCGTACTCTGGATTCGGCGGAGGCTGTTGCACCTTCTGGAGCCTCTTGGACAGTGTCGACATTGCCATAGCACGTACGTCGAATCACCTGGAAACTTCGTGGTACGGTTTTGGACCTGAGTGAGCTCTGGGTTTCGGATTCTGATTCATGATTGTTGTCTTCATCTTTCAACACACTGACATGTTCGTTGATGTGAGTTTGTGTGATGTTTGGTATGTCAACCTGATTGGAACCTGGCATCTTGGACGGGCTGTGAAACATGGTCTGAGTTGAATTGGAAACTTCGGCTGGTATTTCCGGTGTTTTGGACTCTGTGGCAGGTTGATCACCCGAATCACACACGGTCGCATGTGTTTCGGTCGGCTTGGAAAAATCATCGGTGGACGAGACCGGCTGTGCTAACTCATTCAAGTCGAGGAGAAACAACCCCTTGCTGGTCAAGTTCAAACGAAACTTCTTCCTAAGCTTGGAGGCATGCAACATGTGACTGGCAGTATCAATGGTGGCTCCAATGGCTCTCAGCAAGGTGTTTGACAAAAGAAAGGGAGTCGATCCGGGCACGACTGCAACTTTGAGCAGCAATCCCGAAATTGGCACAACCAGGGCTTGTTGGCTCTGTAGAATCCCATGATTACCGAACCTGAAAGTTACAACACAAGGGCATCGGGTCACTTGGCTACGGATGTTGGGGTCCAGGCTATTGAGTAACTCAGGAACTAATTTACTGCCTATCACAGTCTTTGTTGCTCCCAGGTCTACAATGCCAAAACTCCCATGTGATGCAAAACATGTCGGCTCAGGTTCAGGAAGCTCGCATTTCTCACGGTCAGAACTGCCTGCCAAACGTCTTCGAAGACGAAGTCGGGCGTCATAGATCTCATCTTCATTCCTGACAGCACGGCAGTCGTTTCCATGATTTTGATTCCAGTGGTGCAGGGTACTACGGAGCTTACTCTTGGCTGAGTTAAGTGTTATCTCACCTAGGTTAACCGCATGGACCATTAAAATTACCTCTGGGTTATGCTGAGCCACATCCAGGGTCGGCTCAGAATGCAAAGGCAGATTCAAAAACTCCATCGGCAGTGCATTGGTGGGACTAGTGCTGCCCGTTTCGATCACCTGAGCAAACGAAGTAGGAGCTTGCGAAGATCTGGCACTGGCACCTGCAGACTCACGACGATTCGGACACTCTGCTTTCCAATGGCCAACTTGATTGCACAGTCGACATCGCGACTCCAGGATACGTTGCTGCAGCGACTTTCGGGACGAATGGTGCCCCTTTGTGAATTTGCCCTTCACACCTTTCCAACCACCTTTGGTTTTGCCTTTCTGTGAAATTGGCCAGAAACCTCTCGACCTCACCTTCTCATTGAGACGGCGTCGGGCATCTGTGTATGCCGTAAACGCCGAGGCTAACTCCTCGTCGTTCTGGAGGAGCTCCGTGGCGGCTGCCTCGAAGTCCATCACCAACGAAGCGTCATCATCCCCTTCCTGGGCGAGGATTTCCACAGTTTGATCATCATCATCCAGTGCATCGGCAGCCATGGCATATTGATCCTGCTCAACTTCATCGATGTCATCAGTCATCAAAGCAGTTTGATCGTATGTTTTCAATTTGGATACCTTTTTCCCAGAAGTCATCTCTTGGAAAAAACCAGCACCAAGCATTCTAATGGCTCCACTTACCCTGGCAACTGTGAGTTCCCCTTTGTCGGTGACATCGGCGTCCACAAGGACTCGTTTCTTGTCTTCAGCTGAAAGCATTGACCCACGCAAAGTGACGTAAGCTTGTAAATCACTCAGTTGAAACTTCTTGCTATTCAGCTCTGTCCACATGATGTCTGCCCTGGCCAAGTAGGAATCGGCACTTTCATCACTTTTCTGCATGCACTTGTAGAGAGCTCTCTCCGCGAACTCATACTTTTTCTCCAAATCGATCTGGCCCCAGTGGCCTCCAAGCAACTCAATGATCCGTTGGATCGACTTGCGGTCATTGGCTATCAACTCTGCCTGATGCAATTGAAGCTTCTTAAAGGCAGATCCAGCACAATTCAGAATCAATCTGGTGGCAAGTTCCGTGTACTTTCCAGAGGGCCAAGCTTCCAAAAGGAGTGCAACTTTCTGTTGGTACACTTGCAGATCATCCTTACTTGGATCGAAGCTGGGAACCAGGTTGGCTAACTGGTTACTGACTACGACGTTGGAGCTATCAGTCCCATCAGAAGATTCGGGCATCTCAGCTTCCACCTCCCCGGATCCTTCCGTTCTCAGGTAACGGATGCTCCGCTACCAGTGTGGTTGGCAAAACGCCGAACCAGCACTGGTAGCTCCAACTTCCTCCTCCCAAAGTTCCTCGGCCGCTCCCTTTTGGCAACGGCGACAAGCAAATCACAGGTGCCCCAAATGCGGCAAAGATTAACAAAAGGCCTGGCGGCCACCAGCAAAATGAGCCCCTGGCTCTGCAACAAGACAGCCTCGTCTTCCAATGGCGACAAGCGATATCAATCCTCAACCCACCCGCATTCCTAAAGGCTCCCTGAGCCAAATCGCTAGTGTGGTGTTGCCCCATGGTTTAGGAACTCTATGAGCACGTGAGAAAGCTGGGTGGTCAGTGACATGTCAACCAGGAGTGCAATGATGTGGATTCACAATATATATGTGTGTGTGCTTCTTATTATCCATTATATGGCGATCTATGGCGGTTGTTATTATGAACCATCTATGATGATTATGAACCATATCTAACAATCATAGGAATATAGCTGGAGTCAGCGCATGTCAGCGCAAATAGTGCGAACACTTTTTGAATTCATACCATGGTATATCGCAGGATATCCTTTTGTTATTCATACTTTGTTCCATATTGGATAAAATATCATGATTACTATATGGTTGTTATGATCATGTTCACAGCCCAACTCAGAAGAACTATGACTGCTATCTATGGTGACTATCTATGGTGGCTTTGGGATAGGATGGAAGTCTGGATCTATGGGGATAATCGGCAGTTGATTCTGGGTGGAAGCTGAGATCGCAATGCCGTGGAACCATGTTGTATACTATATATACACGCATGTATAAAAGTTTTGGTGTTTTTCATGTTGGGGTGGAAGATGCTGAGACCTCAAGTTTTTCCGGCGACAACTTGTGAAATCCCAGTGTATGATCAGTTGCAAGGTGGATTGAACTTATCTGTCTGATGCAATTTGGGTTTGAAAGTAGGATATCCCATATCTAATTCCAATGGATTTTGTTCTCATTAAAATTAGAGGACCATTTGGACAGTATCCCCCATTTTTAAGGTAAAGCCATCTTTGTTGAAATCTGAGGTCCCCTACGCTCCATGGCAAGCCCATAATGCGCATAAAGCGCAGGCTGTAATTCCCCCGTGCAGAAATAGACCGCCTGATTCATGCACCTGGGTCACAAGCGTCACAAGCAACCCCCACAATAGACAATAGATACAGTATCAGCCCTTATTGCTGGTGGTTCATAAGCCCTTAATATGCCTTTATGATTGCTGTAATATTGAGTAATATTGGGTACTTGATTGGGTGGCTGATGGGTCAAACCCTATGAACTTGCCATAGATGGAGGAATCAACATCCATAAGGGTACCTGGGGTGCCAGGGTTTTGACTCATAGCCACGTTGTGTGTGCATTGTAGATAGCGGCTACGATCCGTGAAGTCCCCCCGTGTTCATGGCACAAGCCCAATTCTTGACGATTGTCTCATGTTCACTCCTTAATGGCTTCCATGCTAAACACATGTCAAGTCCCCAACTTTTCATGTTTCAACCATGTTAACCCTAGTTTCGCCTCCATTTTTTCATGGTTAAAAGATATTAAAAGCACCTGACCTCCCCATGTTTGAGGAAATCCCTCCACCTCGTTGTCATGATCCGTACCAAGGTGTTGAAGAAAGGATCCTCCCAAACAGGGCAGATTTCACCAAGACCGTGGGGTTTTCTGTGGATTTCATGGCAGAAATCCTGTTTCAGTGGATAAGTGGTAAACATCCCATGATTCATAGCTGGTTGGTGGTGACTTACCCTCTGGTAAACTAACATAACTATGGAAAATCACCATTTTTAATGGGTAAATCCACTGTAAATGATCATTTTCAATAGCTACGTTAAATTACCAGAGGGTAACCATCTTGGAAAATGATGGAGTTCGTCAAAGGGAAGGACGACATCCCATATATGAAATGGAAAATAAAACATGTTTGAAACCACCAACCGGATAGGGTTTCAACCATCCTTTTGGTGGTGCAGGATTTCGCTGGCCCATCCACTGTATGTGAAAGATTGCCGGAGGGTAAGTCTGTTGGGAAGCCTGTAATCTTGCGGCGTCTGAGATCTACAATCCATCTTACCTATCTTTTTGCTGGGCCTTCATGTAATACAAAGCTAAGAAACCGCAAAGATCCAGAATAATCGGCCTTTTATGGAACTAAAGTGACTCTTGTGAAATGCAAACGTTGGGAAATGTTTTTGGGAGAGTACATGATATCCCAATCTTAGTTTCGTGGGTGAACAGACTATGTACATCTCGCACAGAACCATCCTGCAGGTAGTGTGCTGCACCCAAGTCATCTTTATCATCCAAACCAACCTTATGGCTTTACAATATATATATATATATGTGTATAGCAAACCCAGAAAAGGTAGACAAGTAAAATCAAATAATCACTATTTTAGTGATTAGTTGGATGCTCTTTTCTATTTTCTTGAGGGCTAGTGTACTACGTGTATATATATATATATACACACACAAATGCATACTGTCGCTTTGTCCTGCCATGCAGTGACTTGTCAATGCTGTTTTTGTTGGTCAGACTCACCTTACCCTGTTGGTATACCTGGCTGGCAGGAAAATCCCGATTTCCAACGGGAAATTCATCCAAGTTTGCGCTGGACCATTGGAGATCAGAAAATCCATTGTTTTTTGGTCCGGAGAAACCCCGTGAAACAACCAATCACAAAGAAGAGCATATAAGTGTAACAGCATGTAACAGCAATATCTACCATAAACCCAGCCTGGTTGGTGGTATACCTACCTACCCCTCTGAAAAATGATGGAGTGAAAGTCAGTTGGGATGGTGACATTCCCAATATATGGAAAAATGGAAGTCATGTTCCAAACCACCAACCAGCAACTAACACCATAAAAGTGTCTGGATTGAGGTCAAACGGTCAAACTGATCCGAACTGTCCTCGGCCTTCACGGCTTTCTGCAAGGATTCCGACAATTCCTGCAGGCTCAACAGCAGGGCAGGAACGCAGCGGGCCAACTATTTCTGGCCGCAAACAAAACAGAGACTGCGGATGTCTCCGGATCATTTTCTGCCTGGAGTGTCTGATGAATCTCTCCCCTTTTTGTGATTTCCTCCTTTTCTAATTGGTCTTTGATCCAACGTGTGGGCACCATCCCTTTTTTTGGTAAACCACCAGCACCCAAGTGAGTGACATACCACCTTAGTTGCCAGGACAAGCCGCCACCAAACTACCGTCGCCAACCCCTGAGAAACCAGACTGCACAACTTCAAATTGACTTTGGAAACTTCTTCCTAGTGGAATGCCCACAAATTGCTTAAGTTTCTGTCGAACTTCAGACGGCCCCCGGAGGCCTTGTTGTTCCCAAACTTGAAATCATTGAGACCGTGCTTCGCAAGGAGATTCTGAAGGGACTTCAGCTGCTCATCCTGGCAACGGCCATCTTGAGACATCTGGGAAAAAAAACATGCTCTGAAAAAGGGGTTTTCACCAGCCCAAACTGGGAGTTAACCATAGTTAATGGTGATTTAGTGGGGATTCAATGTTGATAATGTTGATTCAATGCTGATTTAATGATAGTCAGTTTGATTTAATGGTGATATCATGGGATATATGTAACCAATAATATTATTTTGGTGTGCCTGAAATTTGGGTATACCCTGCAAGTGTTGCCACTGAACGATAGGGAAGTTGATTTTAAAGCCTCAAATTTAGGGGTATCCCATTTTCAGACGAACGGACATGATATGACCATATCAGTCATTCATGTTTTCTGTGTTCACCGTATTTCACCTCAACAATGTACATCCTTTCTTTCCCACTTTCAACCCAAGATACAACTCACCATGGGCCACCAATTCCCATCCCCATCCATATCCATCCCCATCCCCACTCCATGGATTGGTTGGAAAACCTTCACCGGAAAGCCTGGTGATTGTTCCCTCAAATGTTTCGGGGCTTCGTTCAAATATACCGTTATATCCAGCATGATCCTGTTGTCTCCCCATGATATCACCGTTCAAATCACTCAATAAGCCTTGAACAATCACTAAACCACCATTCAATCACCATTAGACCACCATTCAATCCGTATTCAATGACCATTCAGTCAGCATGAGAAAGCCATGTCCCATCGGTCCCATCTGTCCCATCAGTCCCATCTACCTTCGGGGGTGGATGTCTCCGCAGGACTCCGAACATCGGAAAGGTGTTGAGGATCTTCGTCGCCACAGCCTGATTCGCCAGCAACATCAGCTCCTGTCCGGGAAAACGCTGGGAAAAAAGAAGGGGAGTAGTCGATTGGTTCTTTGGTTGGTGATTGGTTGGTGACTGGTTGGTGATTGGTTGGTGATTGGTCGGTTTTGTTATATAATTGGTTGTTTTAATGGTGTTTGATTCGTGTTTGGTGGTTTCTAGATCTTAATTGATTCATGGCTTTTGCTTCCCAGGAGTAGTTTGTCTATGGGTATCTATTCAACCCAGAGCTTGCAGGTATCCTCTTGAAATACCCATTAAACCTGACTATATAACCCCCAATATATCACCATTAAATCACAATCTGATGATGGTTTTGATCTCCTGCTACGTTTGAGCCACTTTCCCCCTGCGCAGACATTTCTTTAAACTCAACAAAGCGCTCGTCTGAAATCGATGTCACCATAGATCTGCCGCGCAGGTGTCCCACCAGCAAAGGGGGTATAGCCTGCTCGTCTGAAATCGATGTCACCTAGAATTCTAGCACGCAAGTGTCCAACCAACAAAGGGGTGCAACAATACCTGGTTAGTGGTCGGTGGACTGGTGTCACTGGGTTCATGTTCAACCCCAAAGGTAGGGCGGTGTCAACCCATCCCCGCCAAAAAAGCTATGGGGCTCATCATGAAATCCACCATCGAACAATATATGTGTTTTGGGCTCCAATCATTTTTGAAGCCCAATGAGACCAAACAATCTAAACAACTACCCTCTGGTAAACTAACATAGCTACGTATGGAAAATCACCATTTTTAATAGGTAAATCAACTCTAAATGGGCCATGCTCAATAGCTATGTTAAATAGCCAGAGGGTATATGGTTATTATGGTTGGTCACAATCCCATCCCTACGTATTCTGCCTTCATCTGCCTCCGGTTGGAGTTGTTTGCTGGGATGGTTAAAAATCAAAACGATGCAATTTGTAGAACATGTCAAGCCGCACCCTAAAATGATACCTTTCCTTTGGATTCATTATCCCAAAACGGTTTGAAATCATTTCGCATCTATACATCATACAAACCACCAACCATCCTAGCATTAATTATGTGGCTGTCAAAACTCTAATTGCACTGGTTTTCGGACCAAAATGGCCGGGATGTGCCGAAGCTCATCCCCCAAAATATATCAAAATATGGTGTTTCATCATGTTTCATAGGTCACCAGCGATTTCTCAAAGCCTCCAGGCATGAAAACCATGCCCCCATGTAAGTCCATGGCACATCAAATGAGATGCCGCGTGATTTGCATCTTGTAGCCCAAGGCGAAGCCGAAGCAGAACACGAAGCTGGCCACCGCCTAATGGCGATTGCTAATTAATGGGATATCCATGGGAAATTGACAAACACACACATATGTATATGTATATGTATATGTATATTATATATATAGGAAACAAATATGAGATAAAAACCTGGGAACATATTGGGAAAATACATCCGAATATCAATGGGGATAGTATAGAATCATGGACCAATCATGGGGACAAATCCCAATGTGAATCCACAAGAGAATCTTGCAGTTCTCTGATCGGATGCTTCAACCCAAAACATTCTCCCGGGCAGGGAATGATGCAAAACAAAACCCTGTGGCATCTGCTGGCGCAACTTGAAGCTGCGCGAAAACTTGACATAAACCAAATGGTGCAACAAAAATCGGCCAGCCTTCTGCACTCGCGTAAAGATGACCTGACCCCAAGTTTGCTTCCTTAGCTGAAGCGTTGAGCTGTGGAATGTGTTGGACTGCAGCTGCCCCGTTTAGCCAGCTTGCCATCTTGGTTATTCTTGGTATTCATAGACCTTCAAGAAATTATTTCAACAAGCTTGCCATCTTTGATTTTTCACCGCAGACTATGCCATAATATGGGTGGGTCCAAGAATGGACGAAACTCCCCAAAATCCATATGTGAACCATATCTAACCCCATACATCCTATAAATTGAAATTTCTCAGGGTTTGCCGCAGATGTTTCAGACCCACGCCAAATCACTAATGAGCCAAAAAGAATACAGCTCTTCCGTCTAAAACTGCTTGGCTGATAGGTATCCCAATGATGATCTACCCTGTGGTAATTCAACATAAGATGAAAATCAATGAAAACCACCATGTTACGTAAATATTCTGAAAACCCAAATTCATGTTACGGCCAATTTACAGTTTTGGAAGATTAAAACAAACTGTAAATTGGCTGTGGCTTCCACAGCTACGTCTTTGATTCCCAGAGGGTATTCCATGAAACCCCAAGAAATTCACCCCAACCATTGCTAAATGATATAGTTACCTTGGGATTAAACAAACCATTTACAAAATACCTAAATAATCCTATATATATATACATATATCATCTATTCGGAAATCTATTCCATAAAACACCTAACAAAAAACAACAAGAAGCATGAATGGTTTCGTTTAATTCATCAAGGCATCGGAATGGTATGGCTGAAGGGATCCGATGTCCCATCATCGGCCAGGTCCCATTGGTACTCCGCCTGCCTGGCCGTGGCATCGGCCAAATCGCTGCCAAACATCTCACGGAGAAGCACCAGGGATAGATCCTGGGTCGGGTGAAATGCTGCGTATATATAGCCAGTGTAATAACATGTAATAACCATCAGTTGATGAATATAATGCACATATATTATATATATAACCTGTACATGAATGTGGTGATATATCCACTCAAGACTTGAATTTCCACCATTTGTTGTGGTTGAACAAATATAACTATCATTGAAATGATGGGTCGAATAGTCGTTGTCATGAACAACCGAACTCCGCCGTTGAAACAGTTTCCAAGCCCGGAAATAGCACAAAACCGGTGTATGCAACCGGAAAGTCATCTTCGAAATTCATCTCAATTCCATCTTTGTGGAATAACTTCTGGTAATCCGACTAAAACCCCCATTCATAGGTGCGGTGTTTATTTACGCCAGGGGATAACCGACTAAATCCAGTTCTCTTTGTTCCATCCACATGTTTGATACTCAGATCATGTTCAAAGCCAGTCAGTGTTTCATCAATTCAGGAACTGTTTAGGAGTTGCAAAGTTTTTAAGAACCTTTTGGATAGTACAACCAGCTAAACCCTCACTTTTGGTGATTCAAGAACCATTCGGACGGTTGTAGATCCCAAGTCTTGATGCTAAGATCACCATATGATTACACTTTGTGATGTACCCTCTGGTAAACTAACATAGCAATGGAGAATCACCATTTTTCATGGGAAAATCCACTATTTCGACTGGGCCATTTTCAATAGCGAACTGTTAGTCATTACCAGAGGGTCACCAACCAACTTTGGATGGTGAAAACATCCAGTCCGGGGCACGGTGCCCGCGGACACGCCGCTGGAGGTGTAGAACGGC